TTCGGCTCGTCGGAACCAGTCGGCTAATCGATTCGGCGTAAGCCGAGTAGCGCCGATTTATCGCACGCGAGAGGACGCGTGCGCGCGGCGCGGCGCGCGCATTCCCACGCTGCCGCGACCGGAGGAACGGGACCGAGCGCGCCGAGTGACAACTCCGCTGGACGTCCGCCGGAATAGGAACTTGCAAGTGCAGTCGCCACGCGCGGCAGATGCGTCGGCATTGTGATGTCGCTCGATACATAATGGATAGCGTGGCGGCGTCCCGTGCGCGCACCTGTACGGCGGCCCGAGAGAAAGGGGTGAGCGCGGAGAGGAGCAGCAGCAGCCAGCGCGGACAAAGCGCAGCTGTGGGCGATCTCTCGCGACACTATATATTATTGTCCGCGCGCGCGCGCGCTCTAATTGCCGCCTGGGCGCTATCGCAGCGGCGCATCGGCCGTTGGACCCGCAATCAAATCGCATCGCGAGACGAGCTTTGTCTCGCGCGCCGGCCCGTCTTCGCGCGCGCGCGAGGGCCCGTAAACGCGCGTAATGGCCGGGGCGAGCGCGCGCGCGGCAGCTGTCCGAGCCGCGAGATCTGCTATTACGGCGTTGCGTGCCCGATCGTCGCGCGTGTTATTATCTCACGCCCCCTTCCGGCTTCCTCTCGTTTTCACCGTGCGCGCAACGCTGTGTCCGGGCGGCGCCGCCCGCGCAAAATTTCGTCCCGCTCCTCCGGAGCGGAGGCGCGGGCGCGCGCCGCGAACCTGCACTTACGTCGCCTTCCTCGCTTCCTTCCGTCTCCTTCGCGGAAGCGCGCCCTCTCGGCCTGTCGGCCCTTGGCTCGCGCCGACAAAACAAACATCGCTCGCGCGGGCCACCGACTTCTCTCGCTGGCTCTACCCGGGCCGCGAGTCCAGTGCCCGGACGCCTCTGCCACCTGGCCGCCTGTCCGTCGAGGCCCGGAACCAGTCGCGCGAGTTTCCCGAGTTTCTATTCCGAGTTTCCCGCCTCTTCGCGGCAGCGTCGCGCCGCGGCTACCGAGAGCGAGACGCAAGAGCTGCTCGAGTACGGAAGCCCCGACGCGGGTGCGCGCGGGCTGCGGTTTCGCAGCGTCGAGCGAGCGACAATCGAGCGAGCTGCTCGCGCGAGCTGACTTCGGGGCGACTTCGAGACGCCGCAAGTCGAGCGAGGGACGAGAGCGCGAAGGTCGGTCAATCCCGCGCGATAAGCTAATGGGCGACATATGCCGCGCTCCCGTGCGGAGCCCCGAGATTGGCAGCTGCGCGCGCGTGACGCCAAGGCGAAATCTCGCTTCCTGCTCGCCTCTCGGTTCTCATTGAGCGCGCGTCCTTGGCGCGGCTAATTATTATGCGACAAATAAGTGCATGTGCGCGGCGACGCCGGCACGAGAAACCGTGAGAAAGCAGATCGATATTACTCGCAGCTCGTAAATGGAAAATTATGCACAAAGGCGCACGCAAAGTCAGTGCGCGCGCGGCTTGACCGTGCGTGTGTGTGTGCATGTGTTCGAGCGCGCGCGCGTCGCGTTTTCTTTTAAGGACCGATCAATAGAGCGCAACCAGGCCGGCCGGTCTTGATTTCCGTTGCGCGTCTTGCGCGTCTCGCCTCCTCGCGGCGGCGATGTCCGCGCGCGCTAGTATAACGAGCGGTTGCACGCGCGCGCGCGCGCGCGCGCTCGCGTCCCCCCGAGAGGGCTCGCGTGCGCGAATCCGCGCCATTAGCATCGCCGCGTACACGGCCGACGCTCGCAAATTATAGCCGAAGCTCGGAGCTGACGGATACGTACGCGCGTATATCTGGCTAAGTAGACGTTGGCCGCGGCGCGACCGCGCGATCGCCGTCCGAGTGCCGGAAGCGTCCGTTCCGCGAAAGCCGCTCGATTCGCGATACGCGCGAACAGCGGCGGAACGACGCCGTCCTCGAGCCGAAGCTCGTCGAGATCTTGCCGCGGCGAGAGCGAGCGCCCGTCCTCGCGCCGACGCTCATTTGGTATGGAAGCCGCGCGCGCCGTCGATGGGGCAATCCGTCGTTCGATAACCGCGCGGATGCCGCCGAGCTTTCGCGAGCGGCGTTTCTCCCGGCGCGAGCGAGAACAACGCTGGCCGACGCCCGCGGAGTACGTCGGGAGCACTTTGCGAGCCGGATCAGCTCGCGTGTCTTTCGTTGGCGACAGTCGCACGCAAGACCTATTGCGTCTTCTTGCGCAAGCCGTCCGAGTCGAAGCCTCGACGTGCGCCGTCCGGTCCACCGAGGCGGTGAATTTCGGCGCGAGCAGAGGCAATTTCGATAATCTTTCGCGCGCGCACCGCCCGGCGATTGTCCGTTGACGGCGCTTCCGGCTCGCCACTGGCGGACACGCTTGAATCACGCCGCAGGCGAGTCACAGGGCGTTCGGAGAGTCCGCGAACGTCGTCCAAGCGAAGCCGTCCAGGCAGTCTCGCGGCGTCGGAGCTGGGCGCGGGAACGGCCGGGCGGCAGGCAAGCAGGCAGGCGGCGAGAACTGGCGCGGCCCCGGAAGCCGGGCGAGAGCGCGGGCACGGCGAAAGCCGGCGAGATGGTTGGCCGCGGCGAGGAAGAGCCGCGGAGAAAATGCCGGGCGCAGGCCGCCGCCCCGCAGCGCGCGCGCGCGCGCGCTAATTAATGCAGTCACGCTTACTCGGGTTATCGCCGGCGCTGATCGGCCAGTGCGCCGGCGATTATTAGCCGGCGCGCTGCGGACGGAGGGGGCGACCCGCGCTCGGCAACATGGCCAGCGGGCGCGCGCGATGGCGTCCGCCGCGGGGCGCGCAAGCTCGACGCGACGGCCGACGCCGCCGAGGATCCGGGACGCGACTCACGTCCGCGCGCGCGCGCGCGCGCTCGCGGCGCGGTTCGTCGGCCTTCGAGGCGCGGCGACAAAGCCCGCCGCGTGCTCCTTTCACGCGGGCGCCTGATGAATGGCGCGCGTGGCCCGACTGCTGAAGCAGCCCGGCCACACCCGCCCGCAAGCTCCGCGGCTAATCGTATGCGCGCGCGTTTTTTCCGCCGAGAGTACGCGCGACCGCGCCGTGAGAAGCCCGCCGGCGGAGCGCGAACGAGCGTGAAGATGCTATCGGCGAAAGCGCTGCTTCCTCCGCGCGCCGGAGGAAGCGCGGACCCGTGCAATCCAAATAAGCAGTTAGCCGGCTAATTTACCTATACGCGCCGCGGAGCGTTGCGCACGTCGCTGGGAACGGCGCATTGTTCGCCGCGCGGCGCGTGCATATTCATGCCGCGCCTGAAAAAGAGCAGGCCGGCGCGAGTTATTACATCGGCGGCTGCTGCTGCTGCTGCTGCTGCTGCTGCTGCTGCTGTTGCTGCTGCTGCCGCTGCTCGCGGCAAAAAAAGGAGCCGCGGCCACGCGTCCAGCGCCAGCCCGCGGCCTTCGATCGATCGCCTCGTAAAATCGGCCCAGATTTCCGCTCTCTCTCTCCAAACACACAGCTGCGCCGCGCAACGACCGACGGCTACCGATGGATGCTCTCTTTTTGCGCCGCGATTTCTCCGCCAGATTATTTTTGCATTACGACTGCCGGCGATTACCGCGCCCGCCGGCGCGGCTCAAGGATACGCGCTCGGGCCTCGTTACTCGTGCGCGCCGCTCTTGTGCAAACCTCCGCATTGTCCGGTTCGATCTAGCGCGGCTGCGCACGCAATTACTCGGCGCTGATTGGCTTTTCGAGAGGCGTCGGGCGTAAAAAAGCCGAGCGCGCGGCCGGCGTTAAATCGCAAACGCCGATAAGCCGCGGAGGAGCACGCGCGGCAGTAAAAGGGGGAAGCGAGAGAGGCGATCAATCATCTTCGGGAGCGCAAGGCAGTTTCCGCGGCGGCGGCGGCGGCGGCGGTGACGGAGGAGGCAGGTGGCGGCGGCGAGGCATCAATCCACGCGCACAGGCTGCGTAAACGCGCGGCTTTGACGGCGGCGAGGGGGCGAGCGATCGATGCCCGCGGGAGATAGCGCGCGGGCCGGCCTAGGCGCCGTAGATCAGTGTCGCGCGCGCGCATCTGCGCCGATGCTATCGGACGCGCGTCGAACCCTTTCGATTTTTGCGCGGGGGCGATCGGCATCTGGACAGGTAGGCGGCCGCTCCTCATTAGCCTAAGCGCTGCAACCGCAAATTATCGGCCTCGTTCATCATCGGAAAAATTGGCGGTTTCGCCTCGCGCGCGTCCTCCTTTCTCCGAACGCCGGGCGCGCCTCTTCACCTGCCGCCCGCTTTCAATCACGACGCGGCGGCCGTCGCGCGGCGCGGCCTAATCTTTCACGCTCCGCGCGACAAAAGGCCGAGCGGCGCTTTCACGCCTCTCCTCCTTGGGTATTCAGCTCTCTCCCGGCGCGCCAGGCGATAATCGATTTCGACCTCGATCCTTTGTGCTCCCGACGCCCGGACTCTCGGCCCGGCGCATCCTGCCCGTTTGCCAACTCGATGGCAGATCTCGCGGTTTCTGGCCGCGTGTTTCGCAACAGGGGCCGCCGGCGTCTCGGAGCGTTCAAGGATGCTCGCCGAAAGGCAGTTTCTCTCTCTCTCTCTCTCTCTCTCTCTCTCTCTCTCTCTGGCGCGAATAAAGAGAAAAGTGCAGGGGCGCGCCTTGATAATGGGCCCTTAAACGAATACGTTTATTCCCAGAGGGACGTGTCTATATCATTGTTGAAGATTTCCTGTGTCCGTACTTGCGGGCCATATGTTGTGCGCGCGAGCCGTGTCATTACGCCGAGGCCTCTCGTGTGTGCTCTCTCTCTCTCTCTCTCCTACACTCGCGCGGCATATGCGCGTAATTCCGACGTACGGCGAGGACTAATCGCACGCACACACGGAGGCGCGCTGAAACTGACCGGGCGCATACGTAACGCCAGGCGAGACCACGACGGGTTCCGCGGCAAAGTGGATCGGCAATCTGCGCTCGCCGATGCTAATTAGTCGCGGTTAATTAAGCGCCTCGGCTTAACGTCTCGCGCTCGCTCGCAGCCGCACATGCCGACGCGCGCCCGCTGCACAATGCCATCTGCTTGGCCCCGGCTGCAGCTCGCCTGCTCCTTTATTTTATTTTTATCTTTTCGTTTCCACTTACTTCGACGCGGCGTGACGAGAGCGACCGTGTCCCGGAACACAGCGCGCTTTCATCGGAAACGGCGTGTCGTGGACAAGGCGAACGATTACAAGCGAGCCGCTCTCGCGCAGCAGCAGCATCGACCAAACCAGCAGACGACGAATCTGTCGTACGTGTGTGACGTGACGTCAGGAGATCCACGGCAGACTGGACTCGGGCAAAATGTTGCGTTCCGTCTTGACGAATCGTAAGTTGTTTTTCAAATCCTCATCGACGGCTCCACTCCTTTCACACCTGCGTTTTCTTCGTCGAGCTCGCATTCCTCGCTGCTTCCACGCGCATAGCTGGCTCTCAATTCTATTTGACTTTTAACGCACTAGCATAACCTCCAAATCTCTAATGTTTTCTCTGTTTTTCACTCTCGATATTTTATATGTACATCAAGTAATTCCATCGCAAACTTGGATTAAGCAATAGCAACAATCGTCTTGCATTATGTTGCTAGAAAAACATGGTTTCTGCTTCTTCCATTATGTAAAGTTACGCATCGACTTAAGTCTAATGGCAATCAACTACATGTTTTTATTGTATGCACTTGCAGACGTTTTCCAGCAAGGATTGAATGTACTGGTGAAAAACAATGCCGCTATCCTGGGCACGCAGAGCGCGCTCTTAGAGCAAACAAAAAAATTAACAACACCAGCTGTTGGAAGCTCATCGACAACAGCCCCAGCAACAAAAGAACCTTACAGTCCCTTCCCGAAAAAGAGTAATACGGTTGAATATGCTCTGGCTAGACTCGACGATTTATTGAATTGGGGCAGAAAAGGTAAACAGGCAGTTTTATAAACGAAATTTAACAAATAATCCATTCATATTAATGTTAATATTGTTTTAGGTTCTATTTGGCCTTTGACATTTGGTTTGGCTTGCTGTGCTGTGGAAATGATGCATATTGCTGCACCTCGTTACGATATGGACAGGTTTGGCGTTGTATTCCGTGCCTCACCCAGACATGCTGATGTAATTATTGTAGCTGGTACACTAACAAATAAGATGGCTCCTGCACTAAGGAAAGTTTATGATCAAATGCCAGACCCTAAGTGGGTCATTTCTATGGGCAGTTGTGCCAACGGTGGAGGCTATTACCATTATAGTTACTCTGTTGTTCGAGGGTGTGACAGGATCATACCTGTGGACATTTACGTACCTGGTAAGCAAAATTCAATATGTATTTTCTTACCTTATTTCAAAGCTTTTAATAAACAAATGTTAACCCTGCAGGCTGTCCTCCCACGGCAGAAGCACTCCTATATGGAATTTTGCAGTTACAAAAGAAAGTTAAGCGAATGGAGACTACTCAAGTCTGGTATAGAAAATAAACTTGTTTATAATATGACAAGTAGTCAAATTTTTAAAACAATCAACTGTAAAATATTAATTTATGATTACGTTTAAAATTAAAAAATCATTCAAAGATTATTACGCCTTAACTTCTATTATTGTGAAGAAATTTTGTTATTAAAAATGCTTTGTTAGAATAAAAATGATCTAAAATATATGAAACAAAATCTTTTACATTTCTATTTTTATAAACCAAATTAAAATAGTTAAATCTTCAAACGTTTCAAATAAAATCTCATTAAACTATATCAATTTGAATTCCACTACGTTATTTTAAATAAAAAAATTTTGTTTATGAAGTTATGATTACGACAAAATTTATAAAATTTTTCAATAAAAAACTTTCAAAAATGTTTTCTTTCAGTAATTATTTAAACGACATACTTCGAAAGAGAATTACTTAAAGAATAAATGAATAAAATACTGTTTGCGTCGTATCTCTTATTATTATCAAGGTCATAAAGGTGTGTGGAGAATAATTTACAAATTAAAGCAATTTTATAGTAAATCCATATACATTTTCACAACGGACTGCACATTCATACAAAAATTATTATATCTACTATTTTCAAATATCCCGATATTTCTGTAAACAATACCATATACCTTTACATTTTACCTTTTTTACAAGATACAGAAAACATACCGAGACGAATATTTTTGCACGTAGATTTTATTTATACTTTAACTGGTTTATAATAAATTTGTACGCGTGATTTGAAGTGCAATTTTTATCATTATAATAATAATTTGATTCTGAAGTTCTTATACTTAACTGTTAGCAACTATTTCACAAAACGACTTTCTAGAGTCCGAAATATAACTGGCCTTGTGGTTTAAACTTTGCAAAATTTTTAGCATTTGAAACAGCATTCAAATTATTAATACTTGAAAAAATAATTTTGAAAAATTAATATCATATTCATTAAATTCGTCTTAACTATTGTTCACCATTATTTACAATAATGCATCAGTGCTATGGTTCAGACTTTTTTTTATCCAATTTATAAATGTGCAACATAAGGAATACATACAATATAGTTAACAAATATATCAACTTTTTGTATATTTCAGTATTTACAGTGTTGCTTATTATTAAAAATCTACAGTAGATTTATCTCAACCAATTTAAAAGTACAATTGACAAGTGCCCTCAGAGTTATATAATAACACTGACTATGATATAAAATTTGACACTAAAAGTCATAGACAACGAAAATGATGACCGATAATGGCAATAAATAATAAAAATTACTGTACGTAATATTTAAGAATAACTTTGATATGATATTTATTTAAAAAATGTATGATTTATTTAATGAAGTTTAAAATAATTGATAATTAAAATTATCTTTCCTGCCTTTTTTTCATAAATTTTTTCACGTAACAAATTTTTTACGCTTAAAGCCATCGTAATATATTTTATCTTAATTACTGAAATTTTAAAAATAAATTATAATTTTCTTCAAGAGTGCAATTTCAATGTAAATCAATGAAATCTTTCAATTTTTAGTTATTCATATAACAAATTTATACAGGTACTCATACATACTTGCGCCTTAGGCATGTTTCAAGCTTTTTCATCTCATAAAATAAAATAAAGAGGGCTTTTATTTTATTCCAGTAATCCTTCTGGACGAAATATTTAAATTGATCAGTACATGATAGCAAATTTCAATATCTTACAATATGCTTAAAATATGATTGTCTTTATACAACCAAGCGCTTTCGTGCATAGAATGTTTTGAAAATACCTGACGTCGGGGTTCATATAAAATTAAACAAGCCGGGAGTACTAAGTCTTCCACTTGACTGATCTTAAAAGTCCACTAAAAAGTTCTATCGCGTATAGCTCAAATCTCGTTATTTTGTAAGTTGTCAATAAACTTCTCTAAAAACACTCTTGAGTAAATTTATAAGACAATGAATCGGTATCTGTACACTATAAAATTGCTTGCGATGTAGAAGCAGCTGAGTTATTTGGTAAAATAGGTATTGGGCCTTCGATCCATTGTATCAGAACGTGTTCACTCATTTGCGTGCTTTGGAAATGGTCTTTCAATAAAGTTTGAGAAAAATCGGAATGCACCTTGAATGCCTCAGTTTCACGGGCGTGATCACCACAAATTCTACTCAAATCTAAAAAAAATAAAGATTATATTAATCATGTTTATTATATCGCAAATTTTAATGGAAAAATGTATTTTTTTTAATTACCTTTTAAAATTGCATTTGCCCATAACTGAACATGAACGTCTGGTATTTTGGAAGCTAAAGTCAATGCAGGATTTATCATATTTCCAGATTCTTTCTGATTTCCTAATGATAGGAATATATGGCCAAGCAGTACTAAACTGCAGGACGTTAATCGATTTAAGTCTTCCGCATTACCCATTTTTAAAGTTTCACGAAGGTATCTCCTATTTAAAAAAAAAAATTGTTATTCGATACTCGTAAGTTATAGAAATTTAATAAATTGTGCGATCAAATTACTTGGCTTCATTATATCGTGCTCCAAAGAATGCCTGAAGACCTTGTACATAAAATGCAGCAGCTCTTAATGGATATGAAACAGATAGCAAATTGTCTGGTTTTATTCTCTCCACAAGGGCGTTTAACTCAGTGTCTCTCCTGGTTCTAATATAAACTATTGCTAAATTCAAATTTGCAAATGTTACCAAATCTCTTTCTTGGGACTTCTAGAAAAGTTAAGAAATGTTATTAAGATATTCAAGCTATAATTATTCTAAATTCTTCCTGTAATAGCAAAAGTAATTACGTTCAGTGCAGAAATAAACTGAGCCTCTGCCTCGCCCATGCAGTTCATAGACATTGCATATAAACCTAACAACACATGCAACTGTGCCCTATGAGTCTGCAACAATTTAGGTTGTATTCTGCATATTTGAGAGGCTTGAGCAATTTCAGCTATAGCTAAGCTTTTATTTCCCATAATGAGCCGACACATCACTATATGCTCCAACAGCATTACTTGAAACACTGACAAGATTGGTTTATTATCAATAACTGCAAATAAATATGTATAATTAGCTAATATTCAATGCTTTTAAAAAGAAAAAAAGATTGTAAAATATTTAGATCATAATATTGATACCTTTTAAATGTTCTATTTGAGTAAGAGCTTTTTCAGTATACTTTTGAGCCTTATCCAAGTAGCCAGTTTGGGTGGAGTGCATTACTGTTACCAGATAAACCAGAATAAACAGATGTTCTTTTGGCATCCAAATGAACATATCACCAATGTGAGGCCCAGCAATAGCTTCATCGGATGGCCAATTTTGGTTTGATATGCTTTGTTGTAAGGACTTTAACATTGGTTTAGCACTTTTCAGCTGTAAAAATTCAAATACATTATATTGGTTAACTTAAATAATCTAAAAGTAGGATTTATTAGATGGTTAGTTACCTGTCCCAACAGTAAATGTTGAGTGACAACAAGGGTCCAGTAAAATACTTTCAAATAGCTAAGATGATGTGGATTGCCTTGCCAATTTTCTATTTGATGTCCTACAGAACTGAGCAACGGAGAAACTTCGCTGAACTTTCTATCTATGAGCTGCAGCATACAGCGGCTAAGTACAAACAAAACCTTAGTGTATTGAGCATTGCTTATTTGCGTATAGTCAGCTCCCACTGCCAGCAAACCTACAGCAGCATTCAAATCTTTTTCGGATGCATGGATTTGCTATTTGTCAAACAGTAAATAAACGATAAATGAAACTGTGTATTTATGGGAATACTGTTGTCATTGGATCCATAACTTACAGCTAATTGGAATATGAGCCTACAGTGCCAGTAAACATTGTGCTGGGACAGTTCTACAGCTTTGCGTAGTATATTTTGACTGAGTACAGTCTGATGTTGTTGTTCAAAGAGGTCAGCCAGCATACTGGCTGACTCAAACTTGACGTCATCGAAGGAGTTGATGCTCTGGCTGAGTTGCCACTGTAACGAAAAACGTAAGACAGAGTTTAGAATTGAGTGCAATTGAGGTTAAGTGAGTCAAATGTAAAAGACGATGCTAATTTCTACCGAGCGCTCGAGGTGGGTTCTGGCGAGATCGATGTTTTTGGTGTGAGTGAGGAGTATCGTGCCCAGTTGCAGGTGGGTGCGCGCTTCAACTCTTGGTGGCGGTTTAAAGTTGAAGACTGCTTGCAAACACTGTATGCAGCACTTGATGCTGGGTGGACTGGCGGTGCGGAAGTTCTCGGCGAGACCCAACAGCGACAGATACCAAGCATCCTGGCTGGACGCCATTTTCACATGTCTTGCTGTCGGGAAAGCCGCAGCTGCCTCTGTGCTCTCAGTTCACCAGCTTCCCAGCTCAGCTATGGCACACTATAAGTACTCGCACTGGCTGACCGTAAAACAACGGGAGAGCAAAAGGAACAGAGAGCATGCGCGCGAGAGAGGGGCGAGAGAGAGAGAGAGAGAGAGACGCGAAAGCTAAGATTGTAAAATGGTCTACGCAAATGGGATTCTTTATATTATGCAGCAGTGCAATAATAATAATAGCCGGTGACTACGAGTCGTGTTTGGCCGGAGTTGCGAGGCATCCACACGCGCACTGTACTCAATCCGCTCGATTCTACGACGAACAAAATCGCGTTCGTACAAACTGCAGTGGTGCTGCTGTTGCGACTAAACAAAAACAGAAAAAATGCCGTAACGTAATCGCGCTGCGCGTATAGAAATACTAGATAGCTCATTGCAATGATTCCTCTGCGCATGCGCGTATTTCACGTCGCGCTCTCTTCAATGGTCATGATGACAGGTGTACGTATACGTATTTATGTACACACGCATGCATATGTACTTTATACTATAGATCTACATATACCTATGTGTGTACTACATTCGAATGCGGGGAGAGCCCAGGTGCCCAGGTGAAGGAATTATGTCTACACTAATTGTCAAGGAAGATTTTCGATTTTTTTAATGTCACTCGACTAGTGTCAAAGTAAACAAAACGGACGACGGCACAACCGTATAATTTAGATAACGAGTTGTGGTTGATTTGGTATAAAAACCGTTCGACTACTTGAGAAAAGGTCTAAGTGCATAATATTGCAAGCACCGCCAAAAAGTTAAGAAATCAACGAAAACACGATATAAACGTATGTAGAAGTTTAGCATGTTTTCTAAATTCAATTTATAATGCACAACTTCACAGAATTTATATTATCGTTATACAATTGCAACTACTTGACGATTATAAGGAAAGAGTTGCGTGTCAAATAAAAACAAACAATTCGACTTGGAGTTACCCAACAAACAACTTGTTTTCTGAAATCAGAGCAAACTACATTCTACAAGGGGGTGTCCAAATAAGTCTCCGCAGCCGAGTACTCCTTTAATTAGTCGTTTTTTTTCACAACCACATCCGCGAGGGCTTTTTTCATTTGCTATGCAGGTATGAATGTGCGTGGTTCATTATTCGGTTCATTTGCTATATCATTTGCAACATTGTTTTTGAGTAATTTGTGAACAGTATGGCAAAATAGAAATGGGAATTCTCGACAGTTTGGGTTTGTGAATGAGCGAGTATAATCGGCGCGTGCACACGCGTACGCGCATCGTCGTCGTCAAGCTGTGAAAAATCGAGCAATGAAGTTTCGGTTTTGCCAAGAGAAGGAAGAACAAGAAAATGATAATTGGCAGCACGGGTGTTCCTTTCTTGCGAAAACCACTGACAAAGTCGGCGAAGTTTTCGTCGCCGTTGTCGAACGAACGGCTACGTAGCAGCGTAAAGGCCAGTCGTGATGGTAAACGAGACCTTGTTCGGCAAAGCGACCTCCCGCACGCGCAGTCAAGGTTCGCTCGGCCGAAAAAGTGGTGTCGTATCGAGCGAGCAACAATGGGACACGGCAAGTGGAAATGAGCGGTGGTGCGGCGCCCGCGACGCCCCCACCAACGAGCTCGTGATCGAGCGCGTGCATGGCGACGAGCGAGCACCGGAGCAAAGCGCGTGGGCCAGTGTACGGCGAGCAAGTGCCACGAGTGGCAAGCGCATCGGCTGCACGCACGATCGCACCATGGCCCGCGACGCCTCTCTGTGCCTCTGTCTTATGCTGTTCGTCGCTACCCAACTGCCCGGCGGTTCCGGCACCGAGGTAAACAGCGAATCCGAGCCCGAGCTCGCCAAGCTCGTCAAGTTCTTCAGCAAGCCCGGTGCTTTCAATCAGGTGAGAGAGAGAGAGAGAGAGAGAGAGAGAGAGAGAGAGAGAGAGAGAGAGAGAGAGAGAGAGAGAGAGAGAGAGAGAGAGAGAGAGAGAGAGCTTGCGAACCACCGGACCTCGCCGTGGACGGCGATCGGTGCCTTTCCGTTGCACCGATGGCCGCTTCGCTGCCGCGCGACCACGCGAGCTTTCCTCGGGTTCCGAGTCTTGGCTAATCATTTGTAACGGCTGGCTGCAATTGCGGACGCGCGAGCTCGTCGACCGAAACCAGGCAGACGCGCGATGAAAAATCAAAAATTCGACATTTACGTTTGCAGCTGTTGCGCGCTTGTCGAGAGTAGAAAGTGATTCTCGAGCTCGCGTTGAGTAACGAGAGGCGATGCAGTCGAGCAGCCTTTCGAAAGGCCAAAAATCCGGCGGAAAAGAAGCGTCCAACGGCATCCCGACCGGTCGTCGTCACTGGCGCGCGCGCTATGACGAGCCGCGCCAGAGACGAGCGAGCGTTCGCGAGTGCAGCGAATTTGCCGACTGTTCGCAGATGAACGAGATATTCGGCGAGGAGGAGCAGCCGGCGAAGAGCACGCAGTCCCTGTGCCCGGGCGGCGCGGACGGCCTGGAATGTAGGCGCGCGGAGGCGCGACGCTCCGTCGATTGTCCCCGAGGTAATGTAGTTGCGCGCACGCACACTTTTGCTCGCGCTTCCGCGTCTATTTTTCCCTGTCCCGTTCGCCGATCAGCTGCCGCCCTTGGCTGCCCCCGCGCGCCTTGTTTCTTTCTCACTCTTCCTCGCTTTGTTGTCCCATCCGAATCGCGGCTCTCGTTGGGAAAAGCCCCGCGCGACCGGCTTCGCGCGCGCCGGAGAGGGCCGTTCTCGGGGCTCGGAGCGCGAAAGCCGCGGTATTTTCTGGAACGCGGAGACGCTGGAGGGGCAGGCTCCGCGCCGTCGAGCTTTTCTCGTTACGTCACGGGCGCGTCGCGTTGCAACGCGTCCACGCGCATGTAGGCTCACTCTCTGGCCGCTGTGTCCACAGGCGACTGCTACTGCTACAACTGCTCGAGGGCGGGCCCCGAGCTGTGGGCCTCCTGCTGTCGCGAGAGTCTGAAGTGCTGCTCGCATTTGGCCGCGGCCTGCCGCACCTGCGACCAGCCGCCACTCCACCCGTTCTGCGCCAAGCACTTCAAGAAGTGCCTCTCGCAACTCAACGACAAGAAGCCGTTGCTGCCCTGAAATGCCGCGTCTCGACGCGGGTCCGACGACTGCGCGGCGTCGTCGCTCACGGCCCGCCTGGCGTGCTTGCGTAACCGCTGGCGCGCAGCTAAATATAGCGCGGCGCGCGCTCGGGCTTCCAATAAAAAATCGTTTATTGTTTAACCGAATGACGCAGTGCCAAGTTGGTGCGCAAACCAACGCGGACGGGTCGACTTAATTCGCGCGAGGCACCCACACTCACTGCTCCTTTCATTCATCCTTTCCAAACCCGTCCTCCTGACTCTCTCATACTCGTTGTTCAACAAACTTGCTGCGCGCGCAGACAGCTCCGACAGCCCAAGGGAAATGCGACGGTGCTCGCTCACGCTTATTTTGCAGGATGTCCAATCAAGGTGACGACCAGTGGCCGTGCGTCGATTGCCGTGTAAAAGCAAATAGAATGTTTCGTGATTGCCCTCGTAAAACTGACATTTGTTACCGAGAGACCAATTTGTCGACGCGAAGCAGTGAAAAACTCGAGTCATTTTCGCCTCATAAATATTTTTAAAGTTACTTTTCCTTTACAAGCGATCAATAGTCTATCGTGCAGTCTGATTTTCATATTCATCGTGCGAAACATCCGATCTCCAATCAAATTCTAATTGATTTCGCAATTTCCTTTCTTACGAAAATCCTCGCAGTTTTCTGCCTCCTTTCATTCTTCGCTGTTCAAGGTGATAAAATGAAATAAAGCTTATTTGTTTTTGTAAAGAATCGTTTCCAGATATTTATAAATTTTTTTACACACAATTTCGTACTTATTTTTAAAATAATTTTTGTTTTCTGAATTTCCTTGCAGTTCTCATCGACTTGTTCCAATCATACATTTTACAGTTATACTTTCCAACAGTCGCTATTTGCGCTTCCTTTCCATTACATTCAGTATTGTACAAAACACAGAGATTCTTGTTTAATATTAGGTGATTGCAATGTACTTTTGTTATTTATGATTTTTTATGTGCCCTATAAATGATATTCAGAGTTTTAAGTTCAAAAAGCTATTGCTTAGTACAAAGAGAGACATTTACACTATTCTTTTTACCATCAACGTTTATTCAGTTGCATTATATCCATATCGAAAAGATGTCAAGACTATATACTTGCTCTTATTACTTTATGAATGAGACACAAACGGCGAAGGGCGAGGAAATGCGCTTAGACACAGCCAGTCGAGAATATTTGTTATTATTATTATTTTTTGTGTTAATAAATTTTTGTTATATTATAGAAAATTGCTTAATAGGAGGATCGATTTAACAAACTTCAAAGAATTAAAAAATGAGACTTTTTGTCTTTCTTTACAAGAGCTACACTCACGACAAAAATATCATTGAAATAAAAAGAAAATCAGTACTATGCTTACATCACGTCGACGTTCAAAGGTGTCGCAACAATTTGACTTTAGCAACTGCTTTAACGCGGTTTTCAACTGCAAGCACTTACATCTCTCAAAAACGCACTCATGTGATGTTTCAATATGAATTTCATACAAGAATTCCGCATTACATAAAAAAAAGTATGCGTCATGCGTTAGTGCTCTGCTCAACACAAAAAAAAATTGATTTCATACGAACACACAAACATTGTGTTACTACGCCACAAAATAACACTTCCTCCAGATTTGTATGAATAGAATTTAACTATTTACTACAACCATCTGCCATTCTTTAGTAGTCTTACCGAAGAAATGTCGAGAATTCGGAGAAAGTTAAAAGTATATGTAGATAGTATGCGGAGTACAGGTACCGTCACTAGACGCCTTAAAATTAGCATCAACAAAAAAATCGACTTATTTAAACCTAATAATAGCTTAAAGATGAAACATTTTCATAAACTAATTTATTAACTGTCATTGTTAGTCCGACGCGATTACTAGTGTTATTGTTCAAACAGATTGACAACCGTTCAATCGACAATCATTATGTTACATCTACTAATTTCCTAACATATAAACGTTTTACTGCGATTTTATTAATTACTGAGATATCCAAATACACTCATAATATCACGCATTATGCACTCGCTTCTCTCACTTGCTTACCGTCTTAATGAATGAAAACCGGCAAAGCATTGTCGGCTTATGATCAGCAGTTTTTTTACACAAAATATCGTATTGAAACGACGCTGTTTCGCTTAAATAAAGTTCCGCTCTTTATTTTGAGCAGCGTGTTTCTTCGTTTAAAATTAAAATACACTAAACGTTTAATATTCCCGCGTAATCCGTTTAAAAAGAAGAAGCACTTTTTTATAGAGCGTCGCGCACACATCTTCGATTGAGAGAGGTAGCAGCAGTAGCCCCGGATTTGGCCTTCGTCACCATGCCATCAAAACCCGTGCGACGTCTCGATTCGCGACTAGTAAGCGCCTGGTTACGTCTTCCAATTGTTGTGCGGGTGAGCTCGCGGTGGAGCTTGACTGCCTTGTGCCTGTGATGGGATCATGTCAAGTAAATACTGACGTTGAAGGTTTTCCGCGGCTTGACGCTGAAACTGATCCAGACCCGGTATATTTTTGCCGCCAGCGGCCTGAACCATTGCCAACTGATACGAGTACAACAACGCTGGATTAAATGCTGGACTAAGCATGTGCGCTGGCAGTGGTTGGTGTGCCGACAGATTGGCTGCTACCGGATTCGATTTTGCCATCTCTGTAAATTTTAATCAATGAGACATTAAACGGAAAATATTTACTCCAAAGTCTAGAACTGTTACCGAGTAGTAGCAAACGATAAGCCAAATTTTGTTCAACGTACCTCGAATCATTTGTTGCTGCAAAGCCATTGCTGCCGGATGTGGAAATTTGCCGCTTTCGATGAGTTTAAGCAGCGTATTGTCTTGGTATTGTTTAGAAGTAGGAGGAGTAGGCGCCGCAGGCGGTACTTGAATTTGCTGTGGTGCGGGAGATGGCGAGGAAGTCACCCTTCTCGTAGGGGTTGACGCTTTAGGAACAGATTTTGCCACGGGTGGATCTGGACTTGGACAGGCCGCCTGTGCTAATCGCTCATCTATCTCCTTCTCCTGCTTCAATGCTTTTACAAATGCTGTTTTTAGCCTGCAATCATAATTTTACGAAATTAGCTTTTTTTTCGATACCACGCTTTTTCTTTTTTAGCTCAACAAATTTCTTACCGGTTCGTGTGTTCCGCCTTGAGTGCCTTCTTGACGTTGGTCGTAACGCAGTGTTCACAGATAACTCTAGGATCCCGACCGTTTGGTCGCTGGAAAGTAGCGTGTTGACTCTGTGAGCCATCTTTCTTGTTACTTGTGGGCTTCTCCCATTTCCAAACTGGAGTGAAGTCTGTCTTGCACTGAATGCACTCAAACGGTTCGGGCGGTGGAGGAAGCGCTGGTTCCTTCGTTATGAAATCCACAACGTGTTCTAGTCCAACAAGGTATATGAATTCTGGATTCGATGGGTTTGGTACAAAATGCATTTCGGGGGGTGGAGGTTTGGGAGGAGGTATTTGTAATAGAGTTTTTTCCAATTGTTTTCGGAGTGCTTGCTTGGCTGCCGCTTGGCGTTGTGCCGGAGTTTGCGCATCATCTCGCGTGCGATCCTGTAAAACATAGACAACATTGTAACAACATTTCATTAGATGCCGACATTACATTGCAAAGGGTTATCATTCGCAATACATGATGATTGTGATAACAGATAGCTTTCAAAGATACAGAAGCAACCTTCTAAAATTATTACAGTGCTACGTTAACAACAAAGTAAATCAATTTACAATGCTTTTTAATGTAAACACCAATCATCTATTCAAGTGTACCTGATCAGGAATCACAGTTGTGCTTAGAGGCGTGCCAGACTTGTTTTCTTGAGGTCCAACAAGCTGTTTAGCATGTGCACACAATCATCGGTTAAAAAAAATCGATTTTAATTTTTGAAAAGCCGGCATTGGATGGTAAAAGCTTTGGCGATTCGGTCAGTTCTTTTGGCGTAAAAGATATTGCATAACATATGAGATCGTGTTCGAATTTTACCTTGGACGACACTTGATGCGCGGGCGTTGGTGTGGGATCTTTCGTGGATCTTTCAGTTCGGTCAGACGGAGCATGATAACCAGGTGTTCCAGACGAACCTCTAACTCGTGGATGAGGTGGTTGTGGTATGACCATGTGAGGTGGCATACCAGTCGAAGACATTGCATTCCTTCCAGATGTTGGAGGCAACAGCATACCTGGTGGTGGTGCATGAACACTACTACTCCTACTTGGAGCAGGCTGGCCTCTCAGCAGTGGTGGTGGTGCTTTACCAGTTCTATGACTATAAATTAAAACCAATCTCAATAAAACACTGGGTTCTTTGCTTTCATTGTGGTAAAAAACGAAACATACCTATGGCTTGTCACTGGTTGACAAGTAACCGGAGGTGGTAATTTGCCAGATATTTTTGGCACAGCTTGAATGTTTTCTTTCAATTGCTGTGATTGCCTTAACTTCTTAAGCAGCACCAATTTCATCTCCTCTGACCTTAAATCTTCCCTGAGCTTCCTCAGAGTTCTTTCTCGCTCTGCAAGTTCTTCGGAAGACAGCTCTTTAATTGGTAGCATTGGAGGCAACTCAGCTGTTGAGAATAAAAATAACATGTATACACAACCAACTATAAATAAATGAGAAAAAAATCTGATGCATTTTCTGCATAAGACTCATATGTCAAATGAAAAAAAATTATACCTTCATCATCGCTGTCAGATGCATTGCCGTTAAGATAGCCATTCATCCTTGGCTCATCTGGGCTCTCAGCATAACTCCTCTCTGTCCTAGGTCTGAGACTGCGTCTGGGCCTACGGTCATCTCCAGATTTTGGAGCCAGAATACCTCTGGAGGAGTTCCTTATATCTCGTGGCTCGGGCATATTATCCGCGCTGGGACTAGAGGAGTAATTAACACCCAAATCTAGGGCTGGTTCTGTGTTGTTGATTGAATTGATTGGTACTGGCGTGGGTTCTCTTCTGTTGCTGCTGCTAAAATGTCCAGAAAATTTCAATATGCGAATAACTGTCGAACAATTATCAAATAATCATTAAAATTTACCTGACGCTCAAATCTACGACATCTCCATCGCAGTCCATGGCTTCCATGATTCGCTAATCCTGCAATTAGTTTGAAAGCAACATTAGTGGCGAGCTAGCCGACTGTCAGACAGTGGCCACAGTCCGAGCGCGGTAAACTGTTTCACCTGCTGTGGTGTGCAACGTAGGAGCCAGCGCTCGGAGCCGATAACGGTAACGAGTCCCGATCGCCAGAACAAGTAGTTATGCCATTATCAGCACGGCTTTTCCTCTCTCTCTCTCTCTCTCTCTCTCTCTCCCTCTTTCGCGCAGCCGAAGCTACCAACCGCACGCGCGCACAATACACCGCAATCAGACACAGACGCACGTACGACAAGAAAAATAGAGAAAAAAAAACTAACCTAACCTCGGATGCGCTCCCTCACCTTGACCGCCTCTGCATTACTACGGTGAGAATGCACTGTGACGGATTCGCATTGGATCAACGTCCTTTCCTGTCCGTAGCAGACGAGCCGAGATTTGTGTACCTATTATATTCAAACGTGACGATACATTCGACAACGGCGATACGTGTCGGCGGTGGTGATGCTTCGCGGCCGATCGAAGTGTGGACGCGGCATTATTGTGTGTGCAGAAAGCGGAACTGAGACAGAGAGCGACACGAAAGCGAAATAAGAGAAGTGAGCGGATTGGGTCGCCGGCCGCGAGCACGAGAGGGGGGAGGCGTCGAAAGGAACACCGAGACGCAGGAAAATTCGGAGACAACGCGCACCGTAAGCTTGCTGCGAGCTCTAAGCTATTATGCAGCCTTCCACACAGATTAGGGTTACCTCAGCCCTTGGCAAATATCTGTCTCTGTCTGTCAGATACGCGGAAACACTAATACTTAAACAGTAGTATGGCCAAAGTCGTAGTCTCGGAACCCTTGGCTTAGTCGAGCTCTGCTCCTCTCTCTCTCTCTTTCTTTTTACTGCCCTCGTCCATGGGAAATCGATTTTTCAACGAAGGGCGCACTCACACATGCTGCCACTGCTCTGCGGTTACACCAATTCCGGCTAGCTTTGCCCGGTGCACGAAGCGCTCGAGGACCAATGGAACGTGATGATGAGACTTACTGATATTGCTCAGTGCCAGTACGCTGCTGCTCTTATCAATTAGCAGTGCTATTTCTCTCGTCTTTTTTCCCAAATTTTCGACATTCATTTTAATTGCTCCAACGATTAATGAGGCATAACTACATTATGCTAGGTGAGACAAGCGTAGATAGCGACGATTGACAGATTAATCGATGGAACTATTTGTATTAGATGCTTAATGCATTTCTTCTCGTGAACCGAACTTGTCCAAAACGAGAAAAATCACCGTAGGGTAAGCAAAGTCCGATAAAGTCAATAGTCAGTAATGTTTACGTATGAATCAGAGCAGACTGGAGGTGGCATTTAAATCGTGATACGTATTTGAAAGCGTTAAAACAATCGATGCGTTACCTCTATTTCGTTGGAAAATTAGATAACACACCACTCTCGTTGTACATATCGCGTGCGTTCAGATAATGACGAGGGAGGGATAGTGTGTGTGAGACAGAGAGAGAGAGAGAGAGAGAGAGAGAAAGAGAGAGAGAGCGCGAACGACTGACGAAACGAGCGAACAATTAGGTTATGCCGCGATCAATCAAACGCGTTAGTGGCTCAAAGTTGCTCGACACGCTACAGAATCAAAGATCGTGAAACGAAGGTCGAAGACAGTCAGCTGGAGAGGGCGGAAGGTCGAGCCAGTAGGGTACTACTGGTCGATCGTCAGGCAAATCGGAAGAAGCGTCTTTGGAATGCCGGAACGAGTGTGTATACTCTACACAGCATCGCACGAAGATGTATAGTAGAGCGCGCCTACATGCCCACACAAACATACGCATACGCACGCACGCACACAGATTCACACATAGCACACACATACAAACTCACTTCACACGTACCTGGGGTAGGCTGTTCTCTCGGCGATAACCTCAAACCGCAGCCCGGGAGTCAGCACGTCCTCGTAGCCGGCGCAATTAGTTCGCTGGGCGCCACCCGCGACGAGCTCGTCGCAGAAGGCGCTTCAAAATGGCGGGCAAATCGGCGCGGCGGCCCTTTTTTTCTTCGTGTCGTAGTGTGTACTGTATACGCGACGCCGCAGTTCGGAAGTGCGAGTAGCATCGACGCTCCTCGGCCACTGACTGGCCGCTGCCACCGCTCTGCAGCTACCGCCGCACCGCGCTCGTTCTCCCTCCCCTTCAGGCCACCTTCGCTCGTAAATCGCGCCTGTAAGTGCATGCGACGCCAACTATGCACCCCCGATGCGCGCACCCAAGGACACTACTGCCAGCAGGCAACACTCCGCACTTGAAGGAGAAGGAGGACCAAGCCAACTTGTTTATCGCCAACAGCTGATTTATTATCTACTGGACGAAGTTATCGCTCCGTGGCTCAAGCTCATCGCGACTCCTCTCTTTTCGCTCGCTTTCTTTATCGCCTGGATTGCTCTTTTTTCTTATCTCCCATTGCGGATTCCAATTGCCGATTTGTAAGCTTAACGTATCAAGATTTTTTCTTTTTAGTTCTTTTTAGTTCGCATGGGATAAGCAGGGTCAATCACTGGACTATTTTTTTTTCACCACACCTTTATTCGCTGTACTGTCTTTTTATTCTTATACATTGTTTTTCTTATATATTGATTGTTATACACGAACAAAAATTTCGAGTTCTATTACAGTGTTTCTTTATTTTTTATTTCTGTTTTATTAGCATTCGTGTCTGAATTTGTTCGTCATATATGTATTGTCACGTACGTGAAACATACAAATACGACGCTGCTGTAACTGAAGGCCAGAAATGCTGTTTTTAACAATATTTATAGCGAAAAGAAATTACACTCGAATACCGAAGACAGACACTACACATTTCATTACTTAAGCGTATCAGTGACAACATTGAAATTTCGCGTGGCAAATAATACTTGAAATATTTTCGCTCGCGATTCACCCGCCAAATCTTTTTTCAAACTTCGGAAAATATTCAACAACTTTATCATCGATGACTTGGCGTTCAAATTTCACTAATCAATATTTTCACAACTTTGATATCTCTCGCGTCGCTAAAATCAAATACAATTTGTAACGAAGTGATCGTATAATAATTTTGCTCTGGAATATCTTCTAATAACGATTCTTGATAAAATGGCTAACTTTTGCTTTTTAATTATATCTCTGCGATGTTTGATAAGTGATAAGCGTAGTAGTAGTATATAACGGCAACATTTAATTACTGAAACGGATTGACCGAAAAATGACTGGATCTAAGAACGTCGGCAAGTCGAAAGAAAGAAAACGATATAGACGAAGCTTGCGTGTGTCGTTTTGCTGTGCGTAAATACACGATTATATTTATATTATTGTTGAAAGGTATATTATTACATCTTACAGGTATAAATATCTTTCTTCAGCGGCAAAGTACAATGGAAAAGTGGGCTTTAATGCAGGCATCTGCGAGCGAGGTAATCTCGCAAAATCCAATGAAATATCACCTGGCAAATCGTGCGCGAAGGTATGCACGTCGTGATTATACAATTGTAGAAAGAGGACAGAATTTTCTCGGAAACAGCCACTCGTTAGTATTGCAATAAGATGACTTAGATTTGTTGGACTCGATTATCGTTCGTTTGATTTCGGTTAATTAGGGTTAATTATCGAGGGGCAGGGGGAGGGAGTAAACGCTACGAGCCACCGCCGCGTGGCAGCCGTTGTTATTCGATTATTAAACTATCTAAAAAAGAATAACGTTTGACTTATAGAACACGCAACGAGCAACGAAAGTCGATTTCGGGGAGCAAAGCGCGTACGGTAAGATGTACTTCGGTCGGGACATTGATCGGAGGGAATTTAGAGCCACGCGATTGATTGGCATTTCTACGATATAAACTTTCTATCGGAGGCGCAGGTGAGTTTTTCGTGCCTGAATGTGCGCGCGTGTGTATGTGTGTGTGTGTGTATGTATGTGTGGATGTGCTCTCTTCCGCACTCGGCAACTTTCACTCGTGGCGCTGTTCACTGGACAAGGAAGGAAAAACAGATCGGCGACTGGAATGGATAAAAAAAACGCTGGCACGCGTTCGCGTAACTATTAGCTGTGCGGGACAGTAACGTTGGTGTGTGTGTGTCGTGCGGGCGCGCGCGTGTATATTGCGGAGTACCGATGGCCCGTGCTTGGTGAAATGAGCTTGATCGTTACGATATTCAATCGATGACTGCGGGCGTGCGGATGGCTCTCGAGGCTCGTGACTATTATAGGAACTGTTAATACTGCGTCGATAAACGGAGAGCGTGTGGAATGTTGCGCGCCACCGCGCCGGAAGAACGCGCCACGTACATAACGAAGAGTCAGCGCTCGGAGTGTCGGCATTGCACGGTTGATCATCCGAAGGGAAAGAAACTGCTGGACGCTCCGCTGGTAGGAGGGGGCGGGGGCGCACGCGACCCGCTGAACCCGCAGGCATATCAATAATCGTCGCTAATATGCGTCCTCGCTTTGCGGCTGAGCGCGCCCTGTTATATTTTGTTTCCACTTTGTTCCGCTAGTTTTATCGTTATTTATCACAGATGTTTGTTCGCTCGCTCGGCGCAGCTCGCACTTCAGTGTGGCGGCCTTTCGGATTCTCGCGCGCGCTACCTTGCGTCGGTCAGTCTTTGAACGAGGGCGTGAGGCAGGACAAGTCTGCACGAAAGAATCGTACGCAGCGAGGAACGACGAGAAATGACGAAAGAAAACACGTCAAGGTGCCGGCGGCCGAGAATCCGAAGGCTCTTCGTTATCTCTCTCTCTCTCTCTCTCTCTCTCTCTCTCTCTCTCTCTCTCTAACTCTCACTCTCTCTCTTTCTTTCGCTCTCTCTCTCTCTCGCTCTCTCGCTCTCTCTCTCTATCGGTCGTTGGTCATCCCTAGGCTATGTGAGCGCGCTGATCACTAAGGCCTGCCTTAGTACAAAAATATACATTCGCATCTTAAAAATAGGTCTTGACTCGTGCATTTCTGGAGCTCTCACGCGCGATTCTTTCTCTCTTCTCTTGTGCTTGTTGGCCCTACGTTTGCTACTTTGCTGCGGCTTTTGATTTGACATCTATAACGACTCGGCAAATAAAAACGCGCTCCTCCGTGCAGCAGTCTTAGACCTGCCTCGCTCGCTGTTTGCGTGTAACTGTGTGTAATACGTGATTGTTCGGGGCGCGCTTTCAAGTAACGTGTTTGTTATGTTTTTCAGTCTTCGATATAAATTGTTCGCGTGCGTGTGGCTCGAGATTTTGCTTCGCGTCACAGCCTCGACACGCGGCTATCTTCAAAATTCATCACACAGCTTATAAAGTCTCGTTGACATACGCTGATTGGCTCTCTCTCTCTCTCTCTCTCTCTCTCTCTCTCTCTCTCTCTCTCTCTCTCACTTTCTCTCTCTCGCTTCACTCGTCTTCTTCTATAAAAATGGTACTTAAGTTTCTTTTTTTTCCGTTTTTTTTCAGTTTGACAAGAGTGAAAAGTCGTCGAAAAGTAACGACCGGAAGATATTTGTCTACTCACTACGCGCTCTCTCGCGACTGTCCAACGCAGTCTTGTACGTCCGTTATATATATATCTGCAGCTTGATCTTGCTCCCTTTGATCGTTAATAAATATAGTCGACGACGGCAGGCCAAGTGTGTGATATTTGTTTGTCGCGGGTCGTGGAATATCGTCGACGACTCTCAGGTACATTAGCTGTGAAAAAAGGCCTACCTCGTTTCTCTCACCGATATTCACGTCCCTATTCTTTTTCTTCTTATTGTTCGACTATAAAATTTTTCTCGCCCCTGCGATGACGAATGTTGCGCCGGTTACTCCCAAGATCTTCAAAAATTTCGCTAATATTACTCTCTGCGATCTTCGATAGAGCATCAAAACATTCGCATCTGCTATATATTTTACTAGGTATATTCTAAGCTTTGCGCGTCGTAGGCTTTCGAGTTGAAAACGCATAATCACATACAAAACAATTGCGATTCAAAGTGTCTCTTTCGCAGCTTACCCTACTGTGTCGTGTCATGTAAGTGTGTGGCGGTGTGTGTCCGTTCGAACAAGTTGAGTAAGTATAAGTATAGCTACAAGATCGAAATACACACAGGACGACTGGATAAAAATTGATTATTGTATACATTTGACGACTCGACGAATAAACAAACTTCGATGGCATGCGTTTGACGATCTTGCTTTTTTCTTGGATATCGTTTAATAAGTTTGCTCCTCTTTCTGTTTGTTTATTCTAGTTTTGTACCTTACAGTGTTTTTTCGATTGTAAATCAAAAAAGTTTCTTTCTCTCTCTCTCTCTCTTCATCCTCTTCGTCAGCGCTTTCGAGACACAGCGTCGCAGTGGACTTGACGACTTTGAAATTCAAGAGCTACTGGATACATACATATACATTTATATGAGTTAGTGACTAAAATCTTCTAGACATACATAACGTTGTATGTGAAATTATCATCTCTTGCACATTCGGAGCTTAATATTTTGCTGGAGTAGGAGAGAGCATTGTTCTACTGACTCTTCTTCCGTATGAAAGCGACTCATGTCATTTGCCCGTTAGGACTGCTGATATTCCTATAGCGTAATCACAGCGTTTTTAATATGCATATATCATCGATGCTTCATCTTATGCTAAGGCGTCCGATTGGTCTTGGTATTAAAAATAACCTCGGATCGCTCAATATTATATTTTGCTGCCTTCGCGCGTTGAAGTCGAGCTTGTTGTACCGCAGTTTTTATTTTATCGCTTTTTACATATTCGTACGCGACTCTCGTAAAATTATTTCGCCTTTACCTCGGTTTTTATCGAGGTTGTTTTCGACGTTACCCGCTATTTCTATTTTTTGCTTTTGTTATCGATACTATAAACTAAGCTCCCATCCCACATGGAAAAATATTTGCAACATTTTACTTTTTTTCTTCAAATGTCTACGTTGCTGAACTTGATCGATTGTAAACGGAGGCCAAGTTCAGGCTTTTTCTATTAACTCTTGGTTATTACGTTATCTATTCCTCGACGAATCTAAATTGTGCTCCCTTGTAGTGTTTATGTGATATATCATCGAACTATACATATGTACTCTTATGACTGAGTCTACGTCATCAAAGACTTTTCGTTAGCCTTACAGTCTGCGCTGTACTTTGTTTTGTTTTGTTCCTTTTTTTCAAATCGACCTTTTGAACTTGGAATATCGATCAATAAAGCACACTCATCGAGGAACAGTCTCGTTTGTCAAACAATATGTACAATAGTTCTGGGTTCTCATTACCATTGCAAAATTTCTCTAGCGATGAAATTCTTTTTAGTTTAGTATAGGTTGTTGTAGTTTTCTTAAAATATGGATGGCTAATTCTTGTCACGAGTTGGTTCATGAACAGACTCTGAATGGGCTATTTTATCTTCAAAATCTAAGGTGAGTTTTTCAATATGATTTCACTTAAAAATTATAAAGAAATTTCTTTGCCTAAAAATAAATCTGTAGAAAAATGGAGAAAAAAACGTTGTAATGAATGGTACTTGAGTTTGAAATTTCCTGATTTTCTTGGACACTATTACTTTTGGTCCCGAAGAACCATTGGCATTATGACTTCTCTGCTGTCGCCGCTATGAGAATTTATCACAACTTTTGGAAGCTCTTCATCATTTATAAACTTCCATTGTTTACCCATTACTTCTTTAACTTCCTACAAAATGGAAAATGCTTTTGTTAAACGATTCTCTAGAAAAACTTGATTACGAATTAAATGTTGATAATTACCTCAATAATTGCTTCGCGATCTGACCACGATTCTTCATAAACGATGTTGCTCTCACCAAATTCTAATCGTTTCAATGCATCATGTCTTAAACGAACAATAGCAATTACACAGTCCAACAAATATTTCTGTCCAATGAATACTATTTCATTCAAATTTTTACACCGCCAAGCCGCAAGCACTAATGGATCAGGACTAAAATTTAAAAAATATTTGTAAGATAAATTTTATTTTCAAATGTATATTACATTCTCATTAATACTTACTTATCTTCATCATAAAAGTCAAAACTTGGAGGACTAAGATTTTTGGTAGAGTTGAATGAATTTATCCAAATGATTGATTGTAAACTATCAGGATACCAAAGAGAAATTCGATGAAGTGCTACAGTGTTAACACTTTCACAAAACAATACTTTTAAATGTGTTAGAGGCATTGCTGGTTGCAAAATTTCAGAATCCAATACTCTTACAGCATTATACGAGTGAATAAGACTAAGTCGCAGTTCACACTGTGGACTGAAAAGAAAATGAATTGTATATTAAGAATTGATTTGTTAATGTATTATGGATTAAGTAAAAAATAAAAATTCACTTTTTTTGAGTGAAGGCTATCCATGCGCTGTTACTAGCTCCTTCATACTCCCCATTCCAGCCATGTACATGTATAACTAATCTTTGCATTAATCCACTGGTTAGAGCAAGAAGTAAATCATCGCTCAAGTGATCATAATCTATAGTTAATATTGATAGTTGTTGGAAATGTGTAAACAGTGCTCCATCTAGTTCTAGGAAATCATAGCGTTCAGGATCATCTTTTACAGAAGCCAAAGCAAGATGTGTCAAACGATTAGCATGTCTGTTTTTGAGTGGCTCTAGTATACATATCAAATCTTCAGCTAGCTCTTCGATGCATCCTAAACTCAGTGCTTCAAGGCTATTGGATGTTTCCACAATATTCAACAACAGTCTCAACAAGTTATCGCCATTTACTTCTTGATTAGGATATTCAAACATACATTTGCTTGGTTCTAGGAATAATTTCCGCAATTGTCTGTTCTCACTGAGTTTTTGCAAAACATAGAGGGCTTCTCTTACAAATGCATTGCTTGATTCACACCGAATAGTCACTTCTTGTACGCTGAACTTGAACCAGTTAGATAAACATCTGAGGAAGATAAGCAATTGAATTATTATCTGCACAAAAGACGTGACAAAAAAACAAAGAAAACAATAACAACCTTGACCACAAAATACTGTCGCTATCTGTCAGATTGAATGTTATTTTTTTCCAAAAACTTGGGTGGAAGAGTGTATATCTCCAGTTCCGACATACCTATAATAAAGGATACAAAGAAAAAATTATTTAGCTTATATAAACTATGAATAGCACTATAATGCAAACAGAGAAAAGTGTGCACTAATATGTTTTGATGCAAATAGGAAGGTCTGAATATGAATACAAAAACAATAACAGAGAGAAAGAGCGAGAGAGAGAGCGAGAGAGAGAGAGAGCGAGAGAGAGAGAGAGCGAGAGAGAGAGCGAGAGAGAGAGAGTGAGAGAGTGAGAGTGAGAGAGAGAGAGAGAGAGAGAGAGAGAGAGAGAGAGAGAGAGAGAGAGAGAGAGAGAGAGAGAGAGAGAGAGAGAGAGAGAGAGAGAGAGAGCGTAAACACAATGACATTTATTTTTGCAAGTAAAAAAAGCAGAAAAGCGCCAAAAAGGGAAGGCATAAGACGAGAGAGTAATAAGCGTCAAAGAGAAAGTTGTAGAAATATAATATATAGATATACGATTGCACATTTAACATACACGGAGAAATTGCAAAGGGGAAAGGCTGAACGCAAGAAGCGAGAGCGAGCGAGGTGCAAATGCAGGAATGGAGTCAGTCGATGAAAATGGACTTCACCATATCAGAGAGTGCTGCGGAATAAAGAACAAAGTTGAACGAACCTGCGAAGCCTGTATACGGTTCTCGTGTGGTAAATACGTGAAGATCTCGAGAAGTATGACACTGGGCAAGTTGTCCCAGGATGGGCTGGCATTGTTGCCGTTGTCATCGTCGCTGGTGTTCAAGGACACTGCGCTAGTAACAGCAGCAGCTGTTTGTTGCTTGTCATTTCGCTGCCTGTTGCTGTTCTCTCTAGTTTCGTCAGTCTCCTCCTCGCTGCTGAAAATCGTTGATGATGCAGACGAGCTTGTACTTGATTCCTCATCCTCCCTGTCGCCACGGACCATCATACGTTCAACAGAATTTTGCGTGAGAGGCCAGCTAAGAGAGACAACCTCACCACTCGAGATTCTCTCCGCGCGAATCCTCTCCGCTCACTGACACACTCCGAAGTCTGAGCTCCGAGCCCGCAACTGTGACTCTGCGAGCCCAGCGCTCGCCAACACCAACGCAATTTTATGATTCTACATTGCTTTCGCGGTGAGCGACAGCGCTTGCGCGCTCTATGTCGCGCGAGCTTTTGATACAAGCTGTAAGTTAACTAACCCAAAGACATTTACAATTGATTTTGCAATTTTTTTTAATATATATCTTCGTGATTTTATTTATTTTTTACTTATTCTATCCACTAGTTGTCTTGTTAACTGTATACAATAAATTAGGTATTATTGCAATATTTAGATTAGTTTCTGCGTCCCAATGGTGCTTAAACGATTTTGAAAGTTCACGAGCTTTCATTTATCGACACTGCAACAACACGCTTGTGTATCCCCAGAGCTATTATAGAAATATTCCCGCCCCGCGTACTGTACAGTTTACAACTGCAGTTTTCAGTTAAAAGTTTTAAAATTTTCCGTTAAGTATACTTGAAATAAGAATAAAATATGTCAGACAAAAAGCGAGTTCTTATGATCTGTTTAGGTAAATGAAAATTGACTAACTTGGCTTATCAATTATTAAGATAGTTGGAACCTAACCTACGTTTATTGGTAACTTTTATATATTTTGTAGGTAATATTTGTCGTTCACCTATTGCTGAAGCTGTTTTTGCAAATGTTATTAAAGAAAAGGAATTACAAGACGTGTGGAAGGTAGAAAGTGCAGCTTTGATTGAATATCACATAGGAAAAAGTCCTGATTCCAGAGCTAGAACAACACTCAAGGAAAGGGGAATTACTGATTATTCCCATAAAGCACGTCCAGTAAGTAACAAATAAAATTTAGAAAATATGTCTTAAATTTATTTTTAATAACAAAAATTTTGTATATATTTATAGATCAAAACTGAGGACTTTCATAACTTTGATTGGATTTTTGGAATGGATGATGATAACATTGAGGAACTCGAAAAAAAAAAACCTGAAGGAAGTAAAGCTAAAATTGAACTTCTTGGAAAATATGATCCACAAGAAGATATTATTATAAGAGATCCTTATTATGTGAATATACGATATATACTTGACTAAAGTCACTATCAACGATTTAAAATGATCTTACAACTTCTTTATTTACAGGATAATGGTATTGATGGCTTTTATAAAGTATATGAACAATGTGATAGAAGTGTACGAGCATTTTTGGATAAGCATTGAAGTTAATATATTGTAAGCCAATGATTTCATAATAATTTTTTCTGTATTGAATATATATTTTTAATGAGGAATATTTTATAGACGTCATTAATAAAATATATTTTTTGTACATAATGAGCATATTAGATTCTTCCATTTTTTATTATAGAACAAATGTTATTGATTGGCCAATAATTTTTTACACTACTCTGTGCCCAGAAACATATACTTCTGCTATGTTACGATCATCTCCAGAGTAAATAAATCGTTGTAACTTTTCTTCAAGGGTATAATTTAGAATATTATCAAGAACACTATTTGAAGAATTTAAATCAATGACTAGAGCATCAAATTCTTTTCCAGTCTCAAAATTTCCAATTTTATCACTCATTGTTAAAGCTGCAATATAAAAAAGAACATTTGTGCTGATTTCAAATAGTCTGGATTTTATTTTATAAAATAAATCAATGACATTACCTTCAGCACCTCCTAGAGTAGCTAAATAAAATACATCTCTATATGTAAGTGGCTTATAATTTGATTTTACAAATGATAAATGCACTGAAACTTGTAAAGCAGCTCTCATGGCATCTAATATAGATGGAAAATTACCGCCAGAAACATCTAGAAATGTATTAAAATAATTAACAATAATAGAAATGATTTGATATATTTGAAAATAGTTTTACCTGTTCCAAGTCCAACTTTGACATTTGCTGCTTGTAATCTTCGGACATCGCATAATCCACTCCTCAAACATGTGTTTGATGAAGGACAGTGAATAACGGCTGATTGTCTTTTTTCTAGTAAAACAAGTTCATCGTCAGTTAAATAAATTCCATGAGCTAATACTGTCTAAAATGTTATGAATATATCATTAAGATTTAAATTATCAACCATTAATATTTTATATTAGAAAATAAATGTACAAACCTTATCTGTTAGCAAACCTGCAGCATCATATACTCCTGCATAAGATGAAAGTTCAGGAAATAATTTTGTCACAGTTCTAACTTCATCCAGATTCTCAGAGATGTGTGTCTATTTACAAATAGAGAAACTTATTAAAAACTAAATCCATCACCAGAGAAAAAAAATGTCCTGTAATAAGTTTACCTGTACATGCACATTTTTCTTTCTTGCTAAATCGCCTAATTTTTTCATTAAATTTAAATCACAGCTTAATGCAAATCTAGGTGTAATTACTGGTTGTACTAGAGGATTCTATAAATTCACAGGAGCACTGTATTGTAAGAGAAAGAAGAAAAAAAAAAAGAAGTTCTTTAAAAGTAGCATTACTCACATCAATTGTTAATACTGCGTCAATAAATTTGATGGTATCCCTCACAGAATCATCTCCATTTTCATAGTATTCATTTTCATGGCAGCTATTCATATTAACTTTGCCAACTAATGCTCGTTGACCATGGAGAGCAACTTTTTCTGCTAGAATCAATGATGCTTTCTCGTGTATGGAGGCATAATAACAAGCTGTAGTTGTTCCCATTTTCAAAGTTCTTTTCTAGACAACAGTAGGAAAAAACTTAGAAATAAATGCACATATTTGTCTGATATTACATTTGAACAGATCAGTTGATTAGCTTACCACAGAAGCATCAAAAACTTTTTCAGCAAATTCACTGTCAATATACTTTTTTTCAAGAGGAAAGGTGTAAGTATCAAGCCATTCAAGCAATGGTTTATCATAGCCAAGACCAAGATTTGGCATTTGCACAGCATGTATATGGCCATCGATGAAGCCTGGAATGAGAAACTGTCCTTTCTTCAGTAGTTTAACATTTTTTTTCCAAGCTCTGCTTTCATCAGGATTCAATTCAATATTAATTATCTGAAAAACAAATATAATTTCGAAATGCTTGAATAGAAATTGATATTAATAAAAATTACCACGCCATCCTTAATATCTATTTGTGCCTTGTTGTGGACACTGAACTCAGTAGGAGCTGTGCAGTGAATTATCGGGCCGATAATTGACTGAATATGCATTGTAGTTGATCTGAATTAAAGACAAGAAAGAGAACATTGAAAAGAACTGTTTTAAATTACGCAAGCTTGGCACACTTTCCACGCGAGGCATCGTTATAGATGCGAGGGCATTGAAGTTACTCTCTAAGTGTCATACCTTATTAGAGAATTCGTAGCGTTATTGTAATACGTATTGGCAATATAAAAAGATATTTCGAAAGAAAATGTACGCGGCAACCTTTTAGGAAGAAGGGTTGAACGTGTGGCGTAGCACACGTGGATTTAACCATCATTTTCGCCTGAAGGGATTCGAATGAGCGCGAGTTCTTGTGTATGCGTATGTATGTACACAATTGTGTTGTGGAATCGAGCAGCTATAATTATACACGTGTGCGTCCTTTGCCACAACGCCACCTAGCAGAGGAATGCGCCGGAATCGCATTCGAGATTCGCGCGAGGATGCGATGTAAACGGTCAGAGGACTTGTTTTGCTTTCGTAGGCCTATGTCTGGCGATGGTGAATTATAGCTGTGAATCACGAAGATGCGACGACAGCTTTTTCTTCTTCGAAGTTTGGATTTTGGCGAATTTGTTAAATGAAGAGAAAAATAATTTATTATGAGCTTCTCTCGCTCGTCATTTTAACATATTATTTCGTTTCTTCGTGCGTTCGTCGCGGTGAACAAAGTCGTGCGTGCAAGAGGCAATCGTCCGGCTGTCCACCAAACTGCTTTGGCGTTCAGTAGCAGCGGTCGAGAACGAGTTTTGACGACTTGGCGAGGTTTTCGCGAAGACGAACGGCTCGGCCTGCAAACGTGAAATCCAACTCGATTGCCGAAGTATTCGCGATAGCAATTACGCGTGAGTCACATCCTACCGCGTCGCATCCACTATAAGCGCATGTAAACCGTAGGCGCACACTTGGCGATGTATAAGACGCGCGTGCTCCAAGCCTATACCGCACTTACTTGCCGATCACACTGGAGGACTGTGATCTTCCAAAAAGGAGCGTCGAGTAGAGCTTCCGTCGAAAACCAACGAGCGCGCAGGGGAAATTATGCACCAACCTTCGGAGTCAGTGCAGCGCGACAACTGTGCTGACGGGCGAAGCGCTCTATTGGCTCTGAGCGCAGCGTGCTCGCGATAAAAACGCGGTGCCGCGCGGGGGCCACCGCGCGCCGACTAGTTTTTCAATAAACGCCTGGTTTTGCAATTGTAAAACAGCCTGATGCGCTATGACGCTGTTAATCTACCTTCGCACTCTTCAGCGGACCGGATGGAACAACGACTCGTCGTCTCGTACGTGATCGGAAAATATTTTGCCACTCGCTTGGGCGCATATGTATTTTCGAAAGCTAGCGCGTATGATCTGGCGCCACCCGCAGCTAAGTCTATGGCAACATCGACCCAACGCTCGTGCCGCACCGTCGCTCGCGTCGATCTTCGCTGTCGAATCTTGGAACGGAATGGAGCAGCAAGACGTTACCGAGGCCGCGAGGCCAACTCGCATGAAGTTCCCGGACAAGCCGGCTCCGGAAGCTCATCGGGATTATTTGGACATGGACACGGACGAAGAGGAGTTCGGTCATCAAGGTACTCTCACGCGCCTACGCGGGAGCAATATGTCGAGCTCGCTCGACGAAAGCGCGAAAGCATCCGCGTGTAGAAGCCGTTTATCGATGCCGATCCTATTTCCAAATGTTCCCAAGGATGGCGCTCGAATTGTCTATAATTATGGGACACGCCATTTTTACAATTTTTCAAACGTTCGTGTTTTCTATTGTCCAGGCGTCATATTGCTTTTGTGCGCGCGCAAAATGAATACGATGCGATGCTCAAATCTTACGTTTATTTCGTGTTCAATTAATGTTATGTGCCTGACGCAGATTCCAATTGACGCCTCTGCGCGCTATTTTCTTTTGCAAGTCATATTCAGAGAGCTCGCAGTCTGAACATTTACATACCGTTACATAAAACCATCGCGGAAAATAATTAGCAAGCTGGTTACGCGATTCGATCGTCGGTCGTTCTCATTCGAAACGTTATCTCTCTAAGCATCTTGGTCTCTCGACAGAGACGCCCGAGCCGCTCGACGAAGCCCCGCCAGAACCGGAAAAGCCGCAATTCACCACCGAGGAGCTGGATCGATTGGTCAGTAGCGAAAAGGCTTTGAAGACTCGTAAAGTCGAAGCTTGCTCGAGCGGTCGCAGGCGTTGCCATGTCCGGACTGCTCGTGACGATGCCCACGGAGAACTGCAATCTGCTGCGCGCAGGTAGAGCTGACCAAGAGGCTGACGCTGCTGCCGAACCTGTCGGACGAGCGCTGGAACGTCAGCTGCCTGGAGACGATCCGCCAGTTCTTCCGCGAGCCGACGCAGCCGGTGCTGACGATCTTCTTCCGGAGGGGCGAGCTGACGGCTCGGCTGGGCTTCCCGCGCAGCAGCGACTCCGGCCTGGCGTACTTCCTGCGCGAGGCCCGCCAGGTCTACCGCGCCGACGACTTCGCCGGCAGCGCGAGCTTCGGCAGCCTGTGCGAGAGGAGCGAGCTGGCGCTGCTCAGGCTCGTCGAGGGCCTGTACGCGCCGCTCGCCTTCCAGAGGCCCGACTGGCCGCGCAGTATCCTTCTCGCTTGCGGTCGATCGCATCGCAGGCCCACCCGGCCTAACGCACGTATGAGCCTTGACCGCGAAGCGCGCAGTCGCGAGGAACCGCGTGCTCTCGGACCTGAACGAGTTGCTCGCGCGCGCGACCGAGCTCGCCTACAGGCCCACGGGCCTGCTGCTGCTGTACGCGCCGTGGGAGGCCGCGCGGGGCGGCGGCGGCGTGGCTATGAGCCCGCGGGAGCGCGTCCAGCTGCTCCACAGGCTGGACAGAGTGGCGAACACTTGGATCAGGCGGATCCGCGAGGTGCTCGCCCGGTCGCCGGCCGCCGAGGACCGACAGCTACACGACCTCGACGGCGAGTCCGACTTCTGGCAGGCGAGACGTACGCTGCCTCGACGAGGCTCGCGCCTCTGCGGCCGCTCATTCGCGCTCTCCTTCGCAGACGATAACCTGGCCTGCGTAGCGCAGCAGCTGGCGAGCGATCGGCTGCAGTCGATCGCGCGACAGCTGAAGGAGATCGGGTCGCCGAGCGTCGAGCGCTTGGAGCTGCTCGCATGCAAAGTGGACGAGGCTCGGCGCGAGGCACGATCCAATCTCAACTTCTTGCGGCTGGTCCTCGACGGCTGCCGCGAGCTCGACGGGCCCGCGCGGATTCAGGAGCGTCTGTCAAGAATTTTACTGGTCGTAAGATTCGTATGGACTGAATCTCCATACTATCGTTTACTGTAAGCCCTGCTAACCACGATACAGCGACCGCTTGCTCTTTCAAATTTTCCTCTGATTTATCAGCGACAATATCGAGAGGCTGCTGTGTTCCTTGAGCGTCTACGTTGTTAAAATTTGCATCGATAGCGTCGATCTGAACCTGATATGCGACGATTCGGAAAAATGCAAGCAGATAATAGCGATCAATTTGCAGTGCTGTTACTCTTATGCCGTCATTTATGAGAACGTGAGTCGTCTGATTGTTTCTCGCGGGAGGCCGTCTTCATGTTTGATTTTTGCTTTAGGCGATCGATAGTTGTATGCAAGGAGAGTCCGCTTGGAACGTTGACAAACGCAACGTGCTTAAATCTATCAAAGCCTTTGAGCACAGATGCCGCGACGTTTCAGAAATTTGCGACGCGATTTTGATTTACAGCGGGTTCGTAAAAGTACCTACAATCGCACGATTATCCTAATTACTCTCACACGTTTTACTGATTGCTGCAGCTTGAATAAAATTAATTTCGGAGGCACGAAAGGAAATCACCACGAAATGCAGTACAATCACGTGAAGGATCATTTTATTCATATCAAGAACAACATGCGCGTCTGTTGCAATTATGCATTGGACATTACGGAAATTCAATGGTTTCGAGATATGTCACATTTTAGGAACAGCCTCGCCGAACTGGAAAGCACCATTAAACATTTATTCATTGGTTTGTTCGAAGAAGTCAAAAACGTTAATATGGGTGTCGAAACTCTATATACCTTTCTTCAATTCAAGGAGGTAAAAGGATTTCAGGACATGTTGCATGATCAGTGGACAAAGGTTAATAAAGTCTATCAATTTATTTCATATTGATTCACTTCCACCTTAAAAATATCAATCTATGTCAATAGGTTTGGGAAATATTTTACGAAGAGATTAAGCTCTGTTTGCTCTCTTCACTGGATCGTCAAATCATTCCCGATCAAGTGAAATTTCCGCAATCAGAGGAATCAATGATAACAGATATCCATAAAAACTATTTACTCAGCCTACGAAACATTATGGTCAATGCATCCGATTGGCTTGGAGATTGCGATATCCAGCATGAAGTTTTATCAAAGTTTTCATGAATCAATAATTTTTTTCCTCTCGCCTGATTGATTACGTCTAAGATAATGAATATGAATAAAAAATTTTAAAAAAGATAGTTTTTATTCTGGTGTAGGCTATAGATACAAGAAACAACATTTATAAATAAAAATATAAAAATGCTATAAAATATAATCTTACTATGGTGTTGAAACTTATTTGGTTTTACACTGCATTGATTTTACTTTACTCCAGAAATCAGCTAAGGTCTGCAATTAAATAATTGTCACGTTGAATTCCTTCAATATCTAAAAGGGATTCATCCGACGATTTTTTATTGATTGAATGTATTGTCTCTTCTTTTATTTCATTCGTCAGAATTTTTTCTTTTTCCAACGGCAGTAAAAAAATTAAAGACACCGCTATAATCACGTGCCAGGCACTATGGACATACTGAAAGTGGATTTCTGCATTTTTAAATCATTTTCATTTATTTCTGTTTTTGCATAATAAATTAATACACAAACCTTATAGTTAGATTCAGTTTCAATTAGAGAAAATAATAGCACCCCACAACCCGCTAAACAAAGTCCTATTAATAATTTGATTGGTCTTTTTGGTCTCGAAATTTTTTTCTTTTTGTAACAGTCATACGTATAAGAACAAAGCTGTAAAATAAAATTAATATTAATTTTTGTAGAACAATGCGATTGTACATTATCGATAAAAAGAAATAAGGTTAAAAATTATTACTGGTATAGCAACACCGATGACGATAGGTATTAAAGAACTAGCAAGTCCATTCTTGTCAGATTCAACACCAAAAGTAATAATAATGACACCCATCATGTGAAAGGTTGAAATGTACTGCACGGGCAAACCAGCCATAGTTACAAAGGTTACCCAAAAAGCGAGTATACCCGAGAAAAAATCACAGTATTGAAGTACCTAAAATTTTTATAAAATTTTGTATTTCCCAATGATTAATTAAAATATTTAAAATACATACATTATATTTCGCAACACAAAAACTAATCGATTGCTGATCACAAGCATGATAAAATGCCGAGAAAAGCATCGTACAAGTGTAGATAAATCCTTCTGTATAAAATTTTCGTATAAATGCCAAGTATATAGCTGGCATGAATGCGAGATTACTCAAAGTTAGACCTAAGGTCTCAAGTAATATTGAAATTTTGGAGATTGCATTTGATGAGTCTGTACATGCTAATCCTTGATGACCTAAAAAGTGTATATTTCATAAATCACTGAATAATCATTAAAAAAGTTTATCATATCTATACCTGCAAAGCATTCGCAAGCCGTATAAATAAAAAGTCCTTTTTGTATTTCTTGACAAACTCCATATTGACCACAAGACTGGCGCCCTTTGAAAATGCACGCTTGCAGTTTTACACTTAAAGATAATAATATTTCTTCCATTTCACAGTGTACTTTTATTCTAAAATTAAGATAAATGAAAAAATTCTTGGTCTTTTTGTTGAGCGATTGTAAATGACTGCATGTAAAATTACCCGTTAACATAGCAAATAGCTTGAAGTGCGATGTACCATGTATCAGGTTGAGGATAAGGTATTAGAAGACTAGAATTGTACACACCACTTGTTGATAACTTTATCGTCGTGCGCATATTGTCACAAGTGATATATCCTAATAATTGTTTAGGTACTCGTCCACGACTTATGCAAATATCTACTGCCACTTGTTGTTTGTGCTGAGACTAAAAGTAATCAAATTTATTTCATTTATATTTATACGTTTTGTGATACATCATCGATTAAAATCTAAGTGTAGATACCTTATCTAATTCGAGATTTAGGTTAATCTCAAGAGATCCGCCAATGTCTATAAGTGGCAGAATATCAAATTGTGTTATGATGGGATATGCATCGGTTAAAGCTACCCACGATGTAAGCCAATCTCTTCCCTAAAATTATTATTGTCATTAATTTTATATTTCCAAATGTGTAGCTTTTCTAAAAAAACTCACCCTCAGTAAAAAGTCCCGAGAAAAAGTCTGTGGGTTTTGAATTCTCACCAGTCGATACCTCGGGATACATGAATTAGAATGGCGTTCTTCGCCTACAAAATCTGATAATGATTGATTCTCAAAAATAATCTTCGACAGTATATTGCTCCGATTCATAGAGTGACTCTGGAAATACGATTTTTGTGAATCAACGTCGTGAAATTTTTCGGAAGAAGTGTGATATATTGGCGCGTGCATGTATCGTCTTGTATAAGTATCTCCCAAAGTTCGGACCGGGCACTCTAGAAATTATTAACTTAACTGTAAAATATTGTAAACTTTTTAACAGTTTTCAATATTTACCAAAAGTTGTTACTTTAACACTGAAGCTTATCGCACTTTCAGATACCACCATAAGATAGTACCAAGAATCTTGAAATGGAAAAAGCTCAGTAAAAGTATATTTGTCCATTGATGTTATTCTTCCAAAAGAGCTAAGATTTGAATGATTGTAGTGTGGGAGAGATCTTGCTTTTAAACTTAAATTTTTTATACATTTATTTTGCATGTTTAGTGAAGATTTTAATGTAAAATTACAATCCCATATATCTACCTTAAAAGTCCATGTATTCATTGGGATGTAAATTCTAAAAAAAGTTAGTTAATTAGCAATTTGAAGAAAATAAATGGAAAAGCAAAAATATGTAGGTGTACATACTTGTAATAAGAAATAGTTTCAATGGTTCTTATGGATATTTGGTAATCTAATGGAATACTGTTTATATTAGAAGTTTCTGACCATACTCCAACTGAACCCAAACTGTAATGGCAATCACGTCCTATGCCCTGTAAAAAATATTTATAGAAGTAGTGTTAATCAATGAATCTACGTATTAGACATAAACTACTAACTTTTTGATGTACACTTTCATCCCAAGAAGACAGATGAGCACCAACAAACCAGTCTCCTGGTTCTGGACTGTATACTGGTATAATGGTCATGGATTTTGGTTCAAAAGCTGTGATAGTAGTAATTTGAATTGTATTATTTTCCAGATACATTTGAGTTGGATAAGTGGCATTATTAACATTTATAGCAGGATAGCTTCCCCATTTTAAAAAACTGCAATGTTTAAAAATAAAACATTATTAGACATATGTACATGTAGGCAAAAGAGGAATAAATAAACTCACATATTCACTGTACGAGGTGGGCAATTCTTGTTGTCCATAAATGCAGAAAATTGCCAGGTAGCACGAAGCACTTCCTTTGGAACATTGTACTGAAAGATAACAATGTCCTTGTGAGTTTTAAATGAGCGCAGTGGCCCCTCTTGGCTAGCCTCAGGTGTAACACAATCTCCATTTTTCAAGTGAATAGCTGAAACCCAGCAAGTGTCAAATGTAGGTCAAACAAAAAATCAAAGCCAGTGGCAAATGTCATCTTGTGCTTACCATTGATTAGAAGCAAAACAAATTGAATAAAACCCTGCATCTGAAGTGACATATTTCACTTGCTCATCTCTTGGGTGTAAGCATTTGATAGCTCTAATGCAACTACACTAAATCAGAGCAGCAAAGATAAAACTGACAGCTAATTCATAAGGCTTCCGAGATTGCAAGGGCAAATAAGCTTTAAAAGCTTTATAAAAAGTACAGAAGTAAAAAGGATGCTAATAAGGAGCACTGTATACGCACGTTGTATTTGTTGACATTCGAACTGCGGGTGTTTGTTTTGTCTACTAGTAGCAATATTGAATGGGCCCTACAGTGTGCGTCGATGGCGCTGCAGCCTCCAGCGTCCGGCAGCAGCATCAACGACGTACGAGAAAAATAAACGGATGTCTAGAGTCGAAAGTGGTTATCTTCCGATTGGGAATCGAGCGTTCGCCGGATGGCAATTCGTACGATCGGTAGTGTCTGTACGGAATCAGCAGGGCGTAGTTGCAATTCTTCAAGCGCAAGAACCTTAAATGAACTGCGTGCTATGGACCGTGGTGGAGTGTGTTGTCGTGTGCAAGAAAGAGCGCAAGCGAGTGTGTAGGTATGTTATGCTGCTGCTCGCGGGAAGTGGGTCTGGTGGAGGGGGCTCTATGGAATGGAAAGGCCTCTGCGTGAGCCGAGCGAGCTGATTGACTGATTGCAGGTCGCCGCCTAGCGGCCGAGCTCTTCAACCCTGCAGTCAACGTTATCGCAAGCGACTAGAATCCTTTCTAGTAACATATATATATATACCTATATCGAAGACCGAACAGAGCTCATACCTTTTCGCCCATCTCCCCAAGTCATCAACGTGCGACTAGTGTGTCTATATATTTACAAACATACATATTATTTTTTGAGTGCGATTTAGGGAAAACTTATTATATCGTGAATTTAAGTAACTCAAAAATTTATCAATTGTCTAATTTCAAAACAAAAATTGGTTTGAATTAATATATTTCAAAAAAATACTCAAAGGTTATGATACAAATATATATATTACATTAATATAGTTGATTTTTAAGAAAGTATACACATACTTAATAAACTTTCTTGTTTAATTTATTAAAACTTGTTATATTACAATGTTAATTATTTTCAATAATATACTATTTAAAACATGCAGTTCCAATCCTCGATGCAAGCAAACAATATTAATTTCAAGAAGTAATGAACAAGAAAACGTGCTTTTTGACATTCTTTTCTATTGAAAAATGTGGAAGAATATAAACAAATTCTTTTTATAATAAAAAATATAACCATGTTATATATAGATATGTCTGTAATAATATGTGCTATTATTTTGAACTCAGACCATAAATGACAAATAAAAATCGAAAATTTTATTTTTACAAAATATTAAGATTTGATAATTCTTAAAAATGTTCAAAAAAGTTATTGTTGGTATTTCTGGAGGAGTTGACAGTGCAGTAGCTGCCCTGCTATTAAAATCAAAAGGTCTAATTTTTTATTTTTTTCTAAATTACAATTGATTATGGTTATAATATACTTATTATTATTATATTTATGTGTAGGAATGAATGTAACAGGAGTTTTTATGAGAAATTGGGATGTAGTTAATGAAGCTGGAGAATGCCAAGTTGAACAAGAATTACAAGATGCAAAATGGGTTTGCAATAACTTAAAAATTCCATTGATAGATGTTAACTTTGTTAAAGATTATTGGATTGATGTATTTAGGTAATGATCATTTAAAAATTTTTATTAACGTACATATGAATTTTACTTAAGTATCATATTATATTTGCAGTAATTTGGTGGAAAGTTATGAAATAGGTAAAACTCCTAATCCAGATATATTATGTAACAGAAAAATCAAGTTCAATAAATTTTTTCAATATGCTTGTAATGAACTTGGAGCAGATGCCATAGCAACAGGGCATTATGCTCATAGTAGTTTTGGTCCTTTTCTGGAATATTATCAACCAAATAAAAGTAAGACATCAATTGTTTAGAAATTGTCAGCATAAAGTATTTAAATTCTATAACTGTTTATTTTTAGATGTCGCTTTACTCAGAGCCAAAGATTTTTACAAAGACCAAACGTTTTTTCTCTCTCAAATATCACAAGAAGCGTTAAGACGAACTATGTTTCCAATTGGTGCTTTTTTAAAAAGTGATGTAAAGAAAATAGCTAAAGAAGCAGGTTTAGACGTTGTTTTAAATAAAAAAGAAAGTGCTGGAATTTGTTTTATAGGTAGGAGAAATTTTAAAGAATTTATTAGAGAGGTAAACATGTATTTTTATTTGAAGTTTCTTTTTAATTATAATGCTTATGAAAATTGTCATTAGTATGTTGAAGATAAGCCAGGAAATTTTATTGACTTTGAAACTGGAACTTGTATTGGAAGGCACAAAGGTATTCATCAATGGACTTTAGGACAAGGTTGTAGAATTGGTGGAACACTAATGCCTTATTATATTTATCAAAAAGATCTTGAAAATAACAATATCTACGTTGTAAGCATCAAATATTGTTTTGCATTAAAAGTCTCATGTCTATTCTTTATGCTGTTCATAAATTTGTATTGCAAAGGTGGCAGGTAATAATCATCCAGCATTATTCTCAGAATTTTTTTCTACTGCTGAAGTGCATTGGATCAACAAAGAGCCTGAACAATTGAAAAATAGTAAAAGTGTTTTTAACTGCAATTTTCGATTTCAACACCGTAGACCACTAGTCCCTTGTACAGTATTCAAAACAATTGAAAACAAGTTGTTCATTCACGTTGAAGAACCACAAAGAGCTGTTACTGCAGGACAAGTAAGATGCTGAATATTAATTGGATAATCAATTTTTATAATTTGTTTAAATTTTTCTTATTATAGTATGCTGTACTGTACTGTGGGCAAGAATGTTTAGGAAGTGCAGAAATTTTAAATACTGGACCATCTTTTTACTTTATTGGCAAAGATGCTAAAGAATATGTACAAATAGATATTTAAATACAATGGTTTTTTGATGTTCACTTAAAATGTACATATTGTTCAAGTTTGTGAAAAATAATTTTCAATAATTGTAAACTATTTTGTAAAAATAAAATAAACTGATTTATTAATAACTTTTTCACATATTTCTTAGTTAAACTATTATTTAATAGCTTTAGTATTCTCTTTACTGTTCATATTTGTGTTTGATGTCATCCCATAATTTCTGTGAAGAAAATAAAATACTTGTTATTTTCAAGTAAATATTCAGTCATTTAGTACGCTAAACAATAATTGAGTTATACTCACTCCTTTGTTGATGCTGCGGAATATTCCATCAGACACCAAATCAAATGTTCTTTCAAAGAAAAAAGCACTGCCTATAATTGTAACCATAAAAGTGGATGTTCTTTTGAATAATAAATTATACACAGTAGTTCCAATAGACATTTTAAGCGTTTAGTTTACCTAAAATCAAAGACAAATGAAATTAAGATATAATTATTTTTAAATAACTAGTACAATAAATTTTTTTCAAACAAAATTGGTAGCACAAAATGTCAATTATTTCACAGGATCTATGTATTTAGAAAATATAGATATGACAGATATAACGATATAGATATGACAGATATAAGATATAACCAATAAAGTATTTCAATTAAAAGATTAAAATTAATGAAAATTATTCTGAGAATCATTCTGGTACTACAATACTGAACCGTTGTTGTTATTCATTTCAATGTTAAAATTCATCAAGCACAACTCATCACACTTGGTTAGAATGATCTAATCACCGCAACCAATACTCAAAAAAATTATTAATAATATAGTATCAGTTTGATTAATCGAATTCCTCCAAAATAATATAATCTAACAATATTTATGAAAATAAAGTTTGTTTAACCTACCGCTTACGTAAAACACGAAAATCCGAAACCAAAGTCCAAAAACTAGCAGAAAGACCAGAGAATCTCCAATGATACGACCACAAACAACAGACTATATCAAGTCAAGATTTTTCGTGCACGGTGATCAGAGATCGTAGTTTACTAGTTTGGAGCTGTTAGTTAAGTCATGAACATAGTAAATTTGCGGGTGTATTGAATTTCCCAAATGCCAACGTTCGAAACTGCTGACAATCTAATTTTCAATGTGCGTACGGGAAACTAATAAATAAATTTGATTGAATATTTTTGATCTATTAGGAAAAAAATAACATAAAAGTCAAGTAATTGTCCTGAAAAATGAAAAATTGGAGCACGAGTGATTATCTCCCCACCAGTTACGGGAATAAGTGTGCGCCGACGCGATTCTGCCCATTTCCGTTTCCGTTTATCGACCTCTGGGGGTACATACAACATAGCGTCTGTCTGTCTCTGTCTTTCGCATGTAAAAGATGGAAATTGACGCTTGCGCAGTGCGACTTTGGCGTTGTGGTGGGTCCGAATTGGAGCGAGAGAGAGCGATCGAGGAAGCCGGAGAGTGGATCTGGCGGCGCCACCATTTTCGCCCCTGGTATGAGCAGCGAAACGTGAGCGTAGCAGAGAGCGCGAGCGAGTAGGCGAGAGTTTGAGGACGAGCGACTGTGAATAACTGCGAGGGAGAGCGGTGCGTTGTGTGCCTGTGGCTGCGCGAGTGTGAGATTGTTGTGAATAAATTGTAAGAGTTAATCTATATACATCGTTGTCCGGCGAAGAAGAGTTGCACAGATCATCGTACAGCGAAGACATTATCGAGGAAAGAACGCCTGCGATCATTACTGAACGAGAGCGAGTGAGAAAGAGATAGTGCGAGCGAGAACGATCGAGAGAAAGAGAGAGAGAGAGAGAGAACACGTAGTATATCGGCGCCTTTCGCTCTCTCCCCTAAGGCGCAACTCTCGACTGTGTATGTGTGTGTGGAAACGAACGAGAGCGAGAGAAACAACGCCAGGCCAGCGAGCAAGCGAGACAGACAAGCAACGCTATACTAAATTCACTCACACGTACGAGTAAACGCGCAAGCCAAACAAGAGAGACAGAGAGAACTAGCTCTCGAGATTTTTTAGCACCATAGCAGCGAGCGAAGTACAAGAGTCGGCGGGCTCGAATCCCATCATTCCTGAAACAAATATGTCCTATATCCAAGTCTCCGAAGACGAGGGAGAGGAGCCCATAGAGCTACCCACCGAAGACGACGGTACTTTGCTATTGACGACTCTGTCTGCCCAATTCCCGGGTACTTGTGGTCTCAAATATCGCAATCCCGAGTCCCGGGCGATGCGAGGCGTTCGCCTCGTCGATGGCAGGCTACATCCGCCCGAGAACGGCTGGGGCAAAGCGATCTATTTCTGCGTCTTCCCAAAAGGTCAGTTTGTGTGCGAGTTGTGTTGCGTATATGACGGGGGGGGGGGGGGGTACCGCCGCAGCAGCGGTAGCAGTAGCAGCTATACTTTCCTCTCTGCATCTGGCTATGCCGGCCGACGCGCGTCCGACCAGACTCAATTTTTTTTTTCCTCTCATCGTTCCCCCACTTTAGCACCACTGTGCAGTGACCCCACGATGCAGCTTTATTTTACGCCTGGAGAATTGTCATAATGCACCAGATTTCCTGGTTGTTTTGAAACTATCTTAGCCTGATTTTTGTCTTGCTTACAAACGCGTAATCTATTTTTCCTCAATTTCCATCTTGCAGAGGCTTGTTATTATAATCGTATTTTATTTATAAATCTCTTTTTTCACTGTAAATGGCAAGCTGCATCTTAGATCAATATTATTTACTGCTCTGTAACTGAGCTGTATGGGATATAATTAAAGAGAAAACTGTTCTACAATGCATTTCAATAAATTGCCACACTCTACTTTTACTCCATTGTTTTGCTCTGAATTCAAGTACCAACATGTATGTATGTCTCACCATATTTTATTCTTTTATTACAGAAAATAAACGTAAATCAGATGACAACTTGGAAAATTCAACTGCAAAAACAAAACGTATGGAAACAAAACTTCGCTGCACTGACTTGATAGTTCTTGGTCTACCATGGAAAACAACTGAACAAAACTTAAGAGAATATTTTGAAACTTTTGGCGAAGTTTTGATGGCACAGGTTAGTCAATGCATTTAATTCATCATATCAAAACTATTTATACTGATACAGTTTTATAACAACTGTAAATGTTGTATAGGTAAAGAAAGATGCAAAATCTGGACAGAGTAAAGGTTTTGGCTTTATCAGATTTGGAAGCTATGAATCCCAGTTGAGATGCCTTGCTCAGCGTCATATGATTGATGGCAGATGGTGTGATGTTAAAGTTCCAAATAGCAAGGTAAATTATCCATATTTTATTATAGTTAGTACTTTTGGCATATATAGTTACAAATGAAGAAATGTTCATTGATAATTATTGGAAAAATTTAAGGTTTGTGAATGCAAAATCCTAGATGCACAAAAAATTTTTTATTTATACTCTTCCTCAAATTCTATAAATGGATAATTGATTAATTTTATTAAATATGAACCTAAAATTTTTCAAGTTCTACAAGTGTTTGTCAATATTTTCAAGGTGTATTGTATTTAACAATTTCATAATGATCAATTCAATTATATTGAGTAACACTTGATACGTCCATGAGACTAAACTTGCCTTGCACACGAACACCTTGGAAAACTAACACTTGTTTCATGTGTGATACGATAATGAAGACCAACAAGCAATTATAACCAAGTACAAAAGTATGAATAAGTAGATGAATGTTTAAGAGACTAAAGAGAGCAAGTATGAATAACTCGAGCGATGAATGCATATTTGTGTGTGTGAAGCTTGGCTTTTTGAATTCTGAGTCCGATATCCTTTTTCGATGTAATTATTGATCTGTGCGAAAAGGTGAGAGTGGTTTGCTTATTTTGTTGATGTATGATGTGAATGGGTCATGATTTAGATATGTTGGTGCGAAACATCTTTAAAAACATATGCATTTTACTTTTAAGATTTCGGTGTGTTTGAATTCTGTGGGCGTACCGATTTGTGCGAAAGGAAAAACCAAATTTCTGGAGCGTTTTTCAGCTTAATGCGTGACGAAATATTTAGATACACCAAGTTGTGTGAAAATTGCTTTTTTCTTTTCAAAATACGACTACCAAATGCGAGTATTTTTGGATTTGCAGATGTATGTGTGAGGAGGTCTGCTAAGAAAGACATGATTATTATACTTTGTACAGATGTTGTCGGAATCATGTATTTAAATCGGAGATATGCATTGAAAACGGATGGGTATAGTGTGTGTTGCAAAATCGTGCGCGACCATTTTGCGGAATAAAGCGAACACCAGAAAAAAAATGATGCGTTGATCGGCTGTATTAAACCAGTGAATGTTGAATGATAAAACGCTTTTTTCGTGTATACGTTTTTTTTTCTGAGAAATCGTTCTTAAAATGTGTTGATTCAAGGAATGACGAAGCATTCTGAAATCTAAAAGTAATGATGAATATTTTTAAAGAGGCTGCACCAGCATCATGATGGACGTGTGTGACAGAGGTTCGAGAATGAATAGTGTGTTGCGTTTTCTATCGTTTCCTACGGCATGAAACTTTGATATAAAAGTGTGTAACAGCTTTATTGAATTTTATTTTCTGTTAAACTTACTTGGTATTGAAAGAAATGTTGTTTTGTAAATTCTTACTTATTCTAATTAAGTTTTTAACTATCTTTGAATGGACAATGTTATAATTGATAAATAACAAGATGTTGATGCATTCATAACTTATTGATTCGTTAAGAGGTGCTTGTAGAAGCAATGCTGATCGAGTAGATGTTTACCAAAAGGTTTAACAGGAGAAAAATCAATGAATGCGTTGCCGTTGCTTGCCAATCCGTGTTCGAATTCGGGGTATGAATTTGTTGCTTTTTCCGTGAAATGTGTATATTTGACTGTGAAAGCGGCGCAAAGATGTACCTCGAATTGGAGCGTGCTTGGCGTCGCAGCAGTCGAGCGTGGCACAGTGCCGCGAGCCTGGAGGGCGAGCAGAGAGAGAAGCAGAGCAAAGAGAAAGGCAAGCAGGCAAAAGTGTGCATAAAGTGATCGGCGCGTGCATGTGTCGTTGTGTCTGGTGTTGCAGAATATCGATGGCATAGTGCTGTCGCGACAGTACGACACGGCCAAAGTGAATGAGTACTACCGGCCGATGGGCGGGCGCTCGCGCGGGCCAGTGCCAGCAGCAGCAGCGCCGAAGCCGGCCGGCTACGAGTCGACGCCGCCGCCGCCGCCAGCCCGCTACGAGAGCGCGGGCATGCCAGGCGCCGAGTACGACTACCAGAAAGCCTCGCACTACCCGAGCTACCCCCCCAACTACCCGTACGATAAGTACCCGGAGCAGCCGGCGCCGCCCGCCCAGGCGGGCTACGGCAGCGGCTACCCCGGCGGCGGCGGCGGCGGCAGCGGCGGCTACGAGGCCGCCGCGCAGGCCGCGCCCGCGCTCGCGCCCTACGACTCGCGGGCGTACGCGGCCGCGGGCGGCGGCGCCGGGCCCCAGGCCGCATACCCCGAGGCCCAGTACGGCGGCTACGACGAGCGTGCCGCGGGCGGCTACGCGCAGGCTCCGCCGGCGGGCGCCGTCGAGGCCCACGGCCCCGGCTACCACCACCACCACCAGGACAAGTACGCCGGCTACGCGGACGCGCGCGGCTACGAACACGAGGCCGCGCCGAGGTACGCCAGCTACGAGTCCAGGTACGGCGACGCCCGGGGCGTGGCCGACGGGCGCGAGGCCGACGCTCGGTACGACGAGCGCAGGTACGAGCGGGACGAGTACAAGGAGCATGAGGAGCGCTACGCCGACTCGAGGTACGCCGAGGCCAGGTACTCCAAGGAGAACTACTACGACAGGTACTACAAGAACCGGCCGGCGAGGGAGCACCATTCCGAGGCCTCGAGATACTAAAGGCCGCGCGCCTCCGCTCTCACTCTCTTTCTCTCCTTCTCCGACCTCCGCATGCTTTGCGCACTTTCAGACGATGAACCTCTGTACTTCAAGTTGTACCCCGTTGACGACTGTCGACTTGGCGATGATCGACACGATGTTTGTAACCGTGATTATGTATGCATTGCAATACAGTGTGAAGAATAAAAGCTGGGTGTGTCTATGATTGGTGTGGCGATCCGAGCGGCGACGGCGGCGACAGCGGCGGCGGCGTGCTCCGCGACAGCGAGTCTCGAGTCTCTTAAACAGCGTCGGTTATAAGTTGCTAGTTGGTCGAGCGGTGGGAGAGCGGCGCTTTGCTGAGCCGAGCTGGTGTTGTTGTAGGAGGGCATGATCCAGCAAGTGCCGTGCAAGGTGTTCGTGGGTCGGTGCACGGAGGACCTGACGTCGGAGGATCTGCGCGACTACTTCAGCAAGTTCGGCGAGGTGACGGACGTGTTCATCCCGAAGCCGTTCCGCGCCTTCTCGTTCGTCACGTTCCTTGACCCCGAGGTCGCGCAGTCGCTGTGCGGCGAGGATCACATCATCAAGGGCGTGTCGGTGCACGTGTCCAACGCCGCGCCCAAATCGGAGGGCAACAACCGGGCGAACTTTAACAATCAGATAAACTCGAACATGCGCGGCGGTCGCGGCATGTCGGGTGGGCCGATCGACAATAACATGCAGGGCAACTACCAAGGTAACAGATACATGGGCCACTCGGGCAACAACATGGGCCCGAACGGCTGGAACAATCCGGGCAACCGCGGTAACCTCGACATGCCCAATCTCCAGGCGCTGGGCATCACGGGCCAGAACAACGGTGGTGGCCAGCAAGGCGCTATGTCTAATCCGCTGGCAATGGGCGGCCTGAATCTCTCGGCCCTGCCCATGAACCCGGCCCTCGTCGCCGCGGCCATCAATCAGGCCAGCTGGGGCCTCATCGGCAATCTGCAGAACCAGGGAAACGACCAGGGCTACGGCAACCAGCCCGGCCCGCCGGGCCAGCCGCCCGGCTCGGCCAACAACAGCATCGGCAATAGCGGCAACAGCGGCTTCCTCAGCTGGATGAATCAGACGGGCGCGGGCGGCGCCGGCGGCGGCGCCGACGGCAACGCCGGCAATCCCCAGTCCCAGGGGCCCCAGGGCCCCAACAACCCCAACGCCTCTCAGGCCGCCTGGCAGAACCACCCCCAGCAACGGGAGCCCAAGTCCAACACCTTTCTCAAATACGAGTAAACCGGCGCCGGCCCTGCAAGCTCTAGCCAAGCTCTCCTTCTGACGCCTTCTGCCCCCCGTTACCCCCTGCCGACCCGCTCGTTTCGCACGCACGCCGAACGGTTGGGCTAGAGCTGCGCGCGCACGCGCCCGCATCACACACACACACACACACGCGCGCGCGCGCGCGTCTACACACACGATTACACGGACCCACACGCGCGCGAGCGCGCACGCACACACTCTCTCTCTTCGATCGTGTATTGTCTATCGTTCGACGCAGCACTGTTTTCCTAGGGCCGTCTGCCGTTCTACTTGATCCACCGATAACGATGCTCGCGAGTAAGCGCGAGCTAATCTTTTACGCGCGCCAATGTTAAGAGTATTTGGGTTTACTCATTGTCAAATCAATCCGCCGAGCTACGTCGAGCGACGATGTAATTTTCTGAACAAATTGTGAAATAAACCTAATGCCTGGAAGTAATAGTAATAATTAAACGATATCGATAATATGAGAAGACAAAAATATTGTAAACGGTTAAAATGACAATTTTATGAGTGTGCGGAGAGTTGAGCGGCGACTGCGCACGCAGACTATAAAGCGATTATGTATACATATATATACTTCTAAATATTGTTGTGCGGCAACAAAAAAGCATGGATATGATGATAAAGCAAAAATAGGGAAAAAGAAAACAATCGCAGCGTGTATACACTTCATTTTATTGAAAGTTTATTGCAGTGTGTTTGATATATTTAATACTTCAGCAACGTATTTGACGATAGTTATTTATTACATGAATAAAAGATATTGAAATGAATATAAGGACGACTATATTAATGAATGAATTGTCAAAGCAAATAGTTTATTATTAAAAGTAATTACCGAGAAAGTTAGCGAAACAGAAAGAGAGAGAAAATTGAGTTTTGAAAGCGTGCGAACGTTGCTAAAGAGGCAAAGTTGAAGAGAAAACGAGAGTGAACGTGACGACTACTCGACTAGAAAAAATGATGAGAGGAGAGAGAGAGAGAGAGAGAGAGAGAGAGAGAGAGAGAGAGAGAGAGAGAGAGAGAGAGAGAGAGAGAGAGAGAGAGAGAGTGAGAGTGAGAGAGAGAAAGAGAGAGAAAGAGAGAAAGAAAGAGAGAGAGCGAGAGAGAGAGAGATTTCAGCGGCAAAGTATGAAAGGGCGACAGAAAGAGAGAGAGAGAGAAAGAAAGAAAATGAGAGTCGGACAAGATGTATTGTTGTTTGAAGCATGTGGCCGAGAGAGAAAGAGCAAAAGCAGCAAGAGTGTGTAACCTTTTAGATGTCTAAATATAATTAAACGTAGATTCTTCATCGTTAGTTGGTATAACACGAGTTTCATTTATATTTATTCATATTAAGCGAATGAGATACGAGCAGCGAGAAAAGAAGCATAAAAAAATCATGACAAAGCTTGTAATTAAATACATTAAGATCTTTGTGGTGGGACTTTTTACGCGGACGATCAGGAAGCCATTCTTTGATTAACTCTTTGCACTCGTGGATCGTGCCGATCCGTCAACCAATCAGTAACAACTATTTGAAATAAAAGTAAATGAAACTTGAGCATTTTCTTAGTTTATCCTCTATACGAAAACAGTACGGTGTACCCTCTCGAGTCTTTAATATCAAGGCAACGTACGGACAGCAGCGTCGGACGCGAATGTAACGTCTTTCTGTATTATCCTTCGCGCGCAGCTTTCCGTCGAGATTCCATCCACCAGTCGCAATAATAACGCAGTGCTTGACAACGCTCGGGCTCGCCGTGAGTCCGGGGGTAAAAAATTGTTCGATCGCTATAGGCAATTCGTGAGTGTCGATGATGATGATGATGATGATGATGATGATGCGTGTCTGTAGGTGTGAGAGGAGCCACGGGAACGTTTTTCTTTTTCGCACGAGGTGTCGGTTTTACTCGCTACTTACCGTTTTACGAGACAAAACTTTGCTACAAAAACTATCGATAATATTAGTCAATAAAATAAAATAGAGTTTTGAGACGAGACGAAGGTGAGGGCCGCTCGAGAGACGCGTCGAGTACCTGGACTCTTTTTCGGCGGCCGTCCGTGCAAGCGCCGAGTTCGCGTCTCTCGCCTCGGGGAATGACGCGCACGCCGGGACGCTGGTACGACGTTGCTGACGATCGAGGCGTTCGCGTGGCCCGGAGATCGCGTGCGCGCGCGCACCACCGCCGCCCATCGCCGACGAATCGCAAGATCAGAGGTGTGCCGAGAGAAAGAAAAATAGTGAAATTAAATTAATCGTTTATTCGCTTGGACCGTTCAATGACTGTGTAATCAATGATGTACGTAGCGCATCGCTTAGGAATGTATTTATTGTGTAACTGTTGTGTGACTATTCTTTGATTATATGAATTTCGATGTGTTCGATGTGTTGAAAAAATGAAGTTGTCAAATGGAGAAGAGGCAAGGGACAAATCGACGGCCAACTTGGTCGTTCGCGTCCGCGTTCGTTTTTCTTTCTCTCGACACCAGTTCCGACTCGTTTGGGAATCCTAGAAAAATAAATCGGCGTACAAGGGAAAGTCGGCGATCGGACGGTTCTTTTAATACCAGAGACTGAATCGAAACTTATATGTATATTGATATCATTGCTCGTGCTTGTGTGTGGATGTGTTCGCGTGACAAGGGAAAAGTAACGAAAGCGAGAGCTGGCTCGTATGTTAATTGACAGGCGCGCGCTACGCGAAAGATCGGGCCGCGAGCGTATTTAAACAGATAGGATGCAGATAAAATGAAACTAAAATAGAGAAAAGACAAAAAAGTATAATACCTATATGAAGAAAATAAAGTATAATAAAACTAAAAGCGTAGTTGTATTTGATCTTATTGATGCTCTATCGTATTATATATGAATATATTTAAAATGTACTGTGAATGAACTGCGGCAGCAGAGGGAGAGAAAGGAGAGCGAGAGTGAGAGAGAAAGAGAAAGAAAGAGAGAGAGAAAGGGAGAAAGAGAGAGAGAGAGCTGATAATGTGATGAACGAAAGAGAGAGCGAGGATTACATGATGAGGGTGCACTTTATGCTTTCGTGAGTGTGACTCTGACAAATGATGATTAACAAAAATGCGACTAAAATTATGCGTGCAGTTGAGCAACTTTTCCCACTTAAGAGGAAGTAGTCTGATGCTTTGGGAGCAGATGATCGTGTGTTTTGTATACAAACAAAGAGTTACGCGAGAACGTTAGTTTGTAAAGATTATTAAAAAAAAAGGAAATCTAAAACAAATAATGAAAAAAATTTCTATAATAAACGACAAAAGTAAAGACGATGATAATTGACACATACACAGACTGTAGTTTAAGGCGGAGTCCATTATTCAGCTCGGTCTCTTCCAAACCGTCGAAATATATTGTTAAAGAATCGCTTTCTTTTTGTATGACGACTTAATGTGCATGTATTGCCGCTTCTCGAAACGTTCGTTCAATTCAATTGAAAAGATAACAAAATACTTGATTCCTTCGAAGCAGATAGACAAGCGCGCGCGGGAACGAAGTACCGGCAAACAAAAGAACTTGCCTTGACTATACCTGACACGCAGTCACTTTATAGATTAAAGCTAGCATTTGTATAGAGTGTGGGAAATGAGGTTCATCGAATAACCGTGCAAAAATGATATAGAACAAAAAATGAAAACATACGAATGATGCCTTGCTGTAACAGCGCGATTTGGAAGCGATCGTGAGCAATTTGTAAATACAGTCAGCGAATGATTTATAAAGAACGTTTATGAGTTTTTAAGGTGTTGGTGGAAATGTAAAGAAATCTATAAAAAAAAAAGAAGCGTGATGTAAATGAAGAATGTTATGCTGTTTGTTTGTTTGAGACTCTTCTTATTTTTTAATTAATGAAAACTCGGTAAATTAAAATAAAGCTCTTAAAGACTGCTCTTGAGAAGTCGGAGATCTTGCCATTGTATCAAAATGAAAAAAAAGCGTACGGAGCGTTGAAAAGTCTCTACCGACACACACGCAGCTCGAAATATCCAACCGAAAAAGTGTCACCGACATGTAGATTCTTCGTAGTCTTGTAATATAATGGGGAGTGTTGTATCGATGACTCGCACGAAAGACGAATTTGTATATAATGTGTTGGAGTGAACAAAACGCGACTTTATCAAAACGAATCGGGGGATTCAATCGAGCTCTTCTCTCTCGCAATCTCGACTTTAAGATCCATCGCCTCGTTGATGCTGCTCATGTAATGATGATGATGATAATGATGATGATGATGATGATGATGATGATGATGATGATGATGATGATGATGATGATGATGATGATGATGATGATGATGATGATGATGATGTTCGTTTTACTACACGAGAGATTGATAAATAAAACTTGAGACTAACTGATGTAGAAGACACTCTCACCTTGACTCTGTCGACGAGCTGATATATTTGATGGTGGTATGTGAACAAGAATTAATAAGTTTATTAAAAAACAATACAATCACATGACCGTTGCGTGTTTTTTCACTAAACTCGCCCTTCCTCGAAGTAGGCGTCTCTTTCACTTTGCAGATGTATTTAATTAATTTCGTTTGTTACTCATTTTACGACTAATTCAAGGTACAAATGTATTCCGAGTTGGTTAGGGTGCTGAGTGTTCAACTGACGACCCGTGATCAACAATGATCAGATAGAACAAATATTGTACATTTATTGATAAACGGAAAATGTGTGTCCAACTTTCAGCTGCGAATTTCTTTGAGGCGGAGTGTTCTTAATTTTTAGTATGAATATACTTTTGATGTTCTGGAATAAATGATGATAATAAAGTTATATATGCAATGGACGCATCTTGTTCATTCTTTTATCATTTCTAGTTATTTTTCGTCTTCTTTTTTAATTCACATTAACAATTTTGATCTAGGACATAGTTTCTTTTTACTTTTCATTATTTACGCGTTTAAATAACGTGATATTGAATGTATAGATTTGATAAAAATAAACACGAATGTTTATGTCATTTATCGATCATTGATACTTTTTGTACTTTACGTTTCTTTTGGTATTAAAAGTTTTAATACCAAGACTGTGATCAAATGATGTCATATTAGCCAAATTAAGGCATATAATAGGCAAACAAAATTGAAATATTTCTTAATGCACTGGCAATTTTATCAACAATTTTTTTCTTTTGACAGTTAGTTGATTGGCATAACTGAGCGGTTGCATACTGATACGTGCGTAGACACTTTGCAAAGAATATTATTAAAATGTGATGGATAGATTAGAAGAAAAATGTAGAATTAAATCAAATTTATAGAGAAAAAGTTGTTTTATTTATTATGCTTACTTCAAAAATGTTCAACATGATGAAACTTATACAAATTACTCTAACAAACTCTCCAAACTAGAGTCTGAATACGTCAAAGTATAAATTGGAATTGATTTAACGGCATATACACTTAGTAGAGAGAATCCATATTTTTGACTATACTGACTCCCATCTTCTTATGTGAGCGTTTATGTGCAAAAATGATATACACATAATAGGTGTTTATTTTGCACGTTTTTTTTAATATAAAAATGAAATAATAGATTGCTGTTGCTTCCAAAATAATTAATTCGAAAACTTGTCAAATTTTTATATTTATGCAATTCGTGTGAGCTCTTTAAAAAAAACAAAACTATAAGAATCAAATTAACAAAATTAAGAAACTATCGATTCATTTTGCCGATGAAGAAGAAAACAGCGAAGGATTGACAAATATTTTATCATGTTTTGCATCAGAAGTGTATACCAATCACTTTTAACATGTTTTCAACATTAAAAATGCACAGCTTTCAGCGAAAAAGTTGTTTTTAACACGTAACTTGTGGAGAACTTGTTACTAAATAAGGTAAGTGATTACGTTATAAAATCTTCCGATGCGCAAAACTCGATTAGCAAATCATTACAGCTGTCCAATTTGTTTTCATTATTCATTATTCATAAATTCGAAAGCCGTATGAGTGATCCATTTGTAAGGTAAAAGGTATAAAAATGGATGATTGAGAAGACAACACTCACATACATTCACGCGTTTGTCGAGAAATATATCAGTATTTACTTCAATTGTGATTCATTTCTCGAAATAACTTAGTACGTACGAATTCGCGATAAAATGAGCCTGAACACCTCTGGTTCGTATTGATTTTCAGAACAAATTTTCAATTGTCTAATGTGAGGATTCTGAATGTTATAGGTGAACTAATATACAAGTATATCTTCATTGATATGGTTTACGATCGGATTGGAAGATCAAAAGTATTCGAATCGGAAAGCCCGCCCACAATCACTACCAAATGGCCCGCCAAAGAATTCTTGGAATCGGCTTTCCATGTCCATATCTGAAACGGAATTCACGAGGTCAATAAATGTCTTTTCCAGTGGGAAATGTGATGCAAAATTTTAAAGATAAATCTACCTTGGAAATTAAAGTCAGATTCTTCCAAATCCTGACCACTATCGTATCTTGATCTTTTTTTCGGATCAGATAGAATGCCGTAAGCTTCTCCTACTTCTTTGAATTTGATTTCTTGTTCCTTTTTCTCTACTTCAGAAGCGCTCGCATGCTTATCTGAATAATATTTAACCAAATTAGATTACTTGACTAAAATTACGTCACAAAATTAACAAAGTTCAACAAAAATTCTTTTTACCTGGATGGTGAACCATTGCCCTCTTTCTATATGCCTTTTTAATATCATCTGTAGAAGCATTTTTGTCAATTCCAAGAATTTTATAGTAATCTTTTCTCTTGGACTTTTTTAGAGCCATTTTAGCTTCCAAAAGAAGGCGTTTGTTATCTACGAAATCAAATGAAATAGAAATCGAAATTTATCGATACCAAGAATTGTCTTGTTTATTATTTATTACCTCGACTTTTGTCGACTTTGCAAGCTCTTTCGTAATCACGCACAGCTTCCTCATATTCCTGAAGTTCCATAAAACACGCTGCTCGTCTTAAAATAGCTTTTAGGTAACTGTCGTCCAACTTAAGTGCTTCGTTACATTCGATTACCGATTCTTTTAATTTCTTCAACTGTCGGTACAACATCAACATTATTAAAAGAAAATTTGAAACGAAGAAAATGCATTAAGCAATCTTGATTTCATACCTTGGCGGCTGCAGTTGCTTTGTTGAAATGTAATTTAGCATTTGTTTTTATGTTGTTTGGATCAATAAGTAATGCCTCAGTGTACAAATTGTAAGCTTCTTGATATTTTTCTGCTTTGAAAGCAGCATTTCCTTCTTCCTTTTTTTGCTTTAATAATTTTGCTTTCTGAACAAACAATAGAAATTTGTCATCATTTTTACTATTTATAGTTATTTATTTATTACATCTTCAAATAATTGCAATAAAGTAAGTAAATCGTACGTAGATGTTTATAGGAAAATTCACGTTACATGATCAGTTTAGACGAAAAAAATGAAATCATCAATTTGGATGAAATTGAAAAAAAAAAAAAATTATTTCGTGGAAGTTACGAGAAAATATGGTTTCAAATTCAAGTTACGATACCTTGTAAATATCCAAGGCCTTATTGTGGTCAGGAGCCAAACGTAAAACTTGCTGGAAATGTTTGAAAGCTTGGTCAATGTTATCTTGATAGTACAAACACGTGCCTCTCACGTATATTGCATCAGCATTCTGTTTATCTGTGTGCAATACGTCGCTGTAAAAGTATTAAATTTATAATATATTTCATTATTCTTTTCGCAATATTATATCTATTTAAAGCAGTTATGTAAGATGTACTTTGCACTCATTTCAGCTTCTGCATATCTTCCCAAATAGGCTAGACATTCAGCTTTCGTGATTTTAAATCTAGGACAAAATGAGCTAACTTCATTGCACCTATCCATGCAGTAAACAACCTATAAAATGAAAGTTGCTCAACTTTAAAGGCTGTTTAAAAGATGCAATTGATTTAGAAAATGTGTAAATTTTAAGTTACCTTGCGGTAGTCTTTAGCATTGTAAGCAACTTCAGCTTCTCTCAAATATCTTTTTAGAATAGAAAGATCATTTAGTTCTGAAGCAACTGATTGTTTAGAAGGTTCTAGCTGTGCTAATTTTTCTATTGCAGTCTCAGCTTCGACCACATCTCCCAACATTAATGAGCATTTAGTTAAACGTGTGTAAGCCTTTAAAAATGAAAATAGCATTTATCATTTATACGTGTTTGAATATTTTTAAAGGAACTATGATATTTACCTTAAGAAATTGAGGATCCAGTTCAATGCACTTTTTAGCATCTTTAAGAGCATCTCTGTATTGAGATAGCATCATGTAACAAGCACATCTATTACTGTAGTATCTGGCAATATCTGGGCATAATTCTGAAATAAGTATACAAATATTAGAACTGGATGGTTCATAGAAAAAAAAAATAAATGCAATAATCAATTACCCACCAATAACCTCATTGTAACCTACAAGTGCTTGTTTGTATTGCTTACCAGCATACAATTGGTTAGCTTCTTCTTTTTTCAATTCTGCCAATCTGAAAGATCATTGAGAAATATTAGAGCAACTTTACCCTACTTGCATATCACAGCTATCGCAGAGTCCTCATACATGTACATGTCATTAATTTAATTGGGCGAAAAATCAACAAGTCACTTGAACCACTTACGATGTAACAAAGCCATCAGAAGCTCTCAATGACATGTCTAATGAATTGAGTTACTATGGTGATGATATTTGACTGTTTTGTTAGGGCATTGTCAAAAAATAAAAGCGTGCGTGGTCTGGTCTCATTTGGATTGACCTTGGTATCTCTGACAAGTACCACACGATTACCACAGAATTGCATCGGTAGCTGGGCAAAGCAAGCGCCAAAATCGCGAGTAAATACGGCCATAGAACTAGGAAGACGTGACATGCGGAAATAACGCGGATCCGCGTGGAGAGGCGAGGAGTGGAGACGCGAGCAGCTGCAATGACCGAGGTAAAGTGCAGTCGAACAAAAAACAATTAATGTGGACGAAACTTACTGCTCAGGCTTGAGAGGTACTTTGGGCTCGGTGGGTCCCGTGCCGCTGGTTGGTTTGGTGTCGCAAGTCATGTCGCCGCTGGCAGTGGCCGTGGTTGGCGAGCTGACGTTGCTGCCGCTAAGGGACACCCTGTCTTCGTCACTGTTGCTGCGACTGCTGGTCGCTGGTCTTCTGCTGGCTCTGGCACGCGACATTCTTTAACACGAGTCGATTGGCAAAATCCAACAACTCTTCGGTAGTAGCACAGCAGTACCAGCAGCACAGCAGCAGCACCACACAATTTGCGCGAAGAGAAAGGGCAGCACGCGTGCGCCAGCGAGTGACGACGCGTATCCGCGACCGCCATATGTATGCATCGTGAACGGTGAGCGGTGCTGACATCTGCATATGATAATTTAGGATAAAATAGAAATTTACCATTGGTATTAGCGAGTCATTTGAAAATGTCAATTAGCTAAATCTGCTTGATAATAAACGAACGAAAATCTATAACATTTATAAATAATATTTCTTTGAAAAATTGTCTACAAGATGTTAAGATACATTGGCACACGTATAGCTAATAGAATGGTCAGCGGCGCTTCCAAGACATAAGGGTCGGAATAATTGTCGAAATGCAGCACTTGAAGCATTTGTTGACGATGGTATCTAAGTAAAATTAGGCACGATTTATGAGGAATAGTCGAATAGGCATATTTGATCGTGAATTTTGTCAAGCTGTTGGAAAATTTAAATCGAAAGAGCGTAAGAACTTTCGTGTAATCGATGGAGTTGAACAGTTTCCACGGCCGATTAATTTCCAATCAACTCTGCACACGTTGGTCGAAGTCAATTGACACAGTTGACTTTGCAGTTTATAAAACTTGCATGAAAAAAAGAAACCGATCCCTATGTTATCGAAGCCTCCGCTCGATGACTATTAATTGCGTAGCTTAGCATTTCACATGGAAGGCTATCGGGGCTAATAAATATTGGACGGTCTTGTTTGGTTGGAGGTTAATTAATCACGTCGACGCGAGTCTTCGCGGCCTATCTAGTCGAACGGTAAAACGGACACGCGTGCGATTGAAGAGAAGCGAGTTGGCTTGCGAAAGCTTCGTCGCTTGCTCGTTTGGAATCGCCAAGAATGGTCGAGCGATCGGATTGTTCACCAGGAGTACGTCGCATCGGAGTCGACGCCTCTCGGAGCCAGAGCTGCGGGCTTTGGACGCGCGAGAAACGGACAGACCAGGGAGCGAGCGGTAAGGTGGCGCCGCGGAGAGCGCCGGCCCGAGCTGCAGCGCGAATTCCAGCCGCGGGCGTTGTTTTTTGGTCGTCCTTGCGCCGAGAGTATCCTCGCTCCCTCTCCCGCGCCGCCGCTCGGCTCGCTCCGCGACAGCCACTTCTCTCTCTCTCTCTCTCTCTCTCGCTCTCTCGCTCTCTCGCTCTCTCGCTCTCTCGCTCTCTCGCTCTCTCGCTCTCTCGCTGTCTCTCGAGACTGGCCGCGGGTCAGAAGCTGCGCGAGCGCCGTGCGTGCTCGTGTTTCTTGCGCTCCGGCAGGCCAGGTCGGCCAAAGTCATGCGCGCGTCGTCGTCGTCGCGAGAGGCAGACGTGGTGCGTTGAGCCGGCGATGCGCGAGGACACGCGCAACTTGGAGGCCATGACGGAGGTGAGTCTGCTGGCTTTGCTTTTTCGCACACCTGTCGTCGGCTTTTCTTTGGCGCGAGCGAGCGCGACATTCCGATCTCTCTGCGCCCTCCCTCCCGCCCCCTGCTGCCCTACCTCGCCCACTTGTTCTTCCTTCGCCGAGTTACGTCTGAACGTTCGGCAGCCGCGTCGTCAAAAACAATCAAAAACAATCGCTTCGCCCCGTCGCTCCCTCGATCGATAGTTTCGTGCCGCATCCGCGGAAACCCGTTTGTCTTCTGCGGTTCGACGGAGGCACGCAACTCTGCCGGCGAAAATCGACGGATACGGTAGCCGCGGACGCGGCGACTGCGCGAAACGCGTTGAAATCGCCGAAAGGCGAAGCGAGCGATCGGACATTCGGCTGCGGTGGCCGGCCGATTCGCGAAGCACGTTCCCGTGGCGGTCGAGGGGAGCCGCGCGCGGCGCGCGTGTCCCTTTGTCCTCCGCGGCGACAACGAGGCTCGCGCCCATCCGGAAAACCAGTTGGTCGGCATTGCGCGCGCGCAAATTAATCTGGTCGCGCGAGGCGAGCAGACGCGTCGACCGGCGTCCCGTTAGGAGCTTCCTAGAGCCGAACGAAATCTCGTTCTGCTGTCGCCGCTCGCGCATCGATCAGGTCGTCGACACCGTGCGACCGGCCAGCGCGGCGCCGCTCGTCGTTCTCTCGTCCGCGCGCGCGTCGGCCCGCCACGGGTTGTCGGCACATCCGAGGACCGGCGCCTCGGCGACCTACTGCTCCGGCGCACCGCGCGGCGTCCCCGTTTTCATCGGCTGGGGGGCTCCTCGAGAGAATCCTCGCGCGCGACCTTAATTGCCAGCGCGTCAGACTCTCGTTAATGACCTTCGCGCCAGGCGTCGCGGCAGGAAAACTTTCGCGGTTGACTTTCGTTCCGCGACTCTCGCGTGCCGCGCGCGCGCGCGCGCGCGTGGGAGCGACGCCTCTCTCGCCCCATGCCGATCTGTCGACGCCGCGTGCACGCGGGAAAAGCGAACGCCGACGTTCGCCGCGGGCCGACACCCTCGCGAAGTCGCTGTCTCTCGATCCGTCGACGTCTCGCCAGCGGCGAGAGGACGAGGCTGCGAAATCGCGCCGGAACGGCAGAGCGACAAAACAAACGAAAGCTCGCGAGCCGAGAAAATCGGATCGCACGCAGTCGCGTCGCTGCACTTTCGCCGGAGAGGAGCCTCGATACACTTTCTAATTGAGGCGCGCGCGTGTGCGCAGGCAGGAGTTCCGCTGGGAGAGCGCGAGTGAAGAACAATGGAGGGTCAACCGTCAGCGGCGACTTCCGTGGGCGCGGCCACGGCCGCGTCACGACTGGACAGCCCGCGCAGCCAACTGAGCGTCTGCATCGGCGCCGATCCCGGCCACGAGATACTGCGACCGAAGCCCAGGAGGCCGCTCAGGTACGCCGCTCTTCTCTCTGACCGACGCTCTTTTCGCCCTCGCTCGCCTCGCTTGGCGCTGTGCCCGTTTGCTTGACATCCCGATGCTCGCCTATCGCGGTGCGTACTTGGTTCTGCGTTGCTTTTTCGCCTAATCGAGAATGACCGATGCTCCCGCTGAGAGGATCGCCGCCCTCGTCGTTGTCCGGATAGAGAATATTTGAGCTTCTGAGTTTCCGAACGGATCTTCCGTATACGGAGATTCCCGCGCGTCCTTTTTATCTGTAACTGCGGACGATTCGCTACGTAATCTTGCCGGCGTTTCGAGCAAATTATAAACGTTTCACGTGAAACGACGTGAAAAAGTATTCGTTTCGCGGATCGATCAACCGAGCGGCGGCAGAAGAAGAGATCGCGCGCGCGACGAGCCCCGAAAAGTTGCTCGTTAATTGGAATTATGTATCCGGGGAATCCAAATGAAATCGCTCGCGCGCACCTCGCGGTCGCGAGCCGTCAATCAAGACGAGACAGATTTACTTCTCGGGAAACACGAACCGAGGCCGTCGCGTCGCTAGTGAATTCGGCATCGGCTGTCGGTTCATCGAAGCTTGGGGTAAAGGAACTGCAGTCGCAGCTGTCTACTTTCGCGTGAACCGACCGATACGTTTGATTTTCGAGAGAACGAGAGAGACAAGCGAGCACTGATACGCACCCGAAACTCACGAAGATATCAATTTGAAAGATGCAACGGAGCATTGGTCGGTGAGGGGTATTGAAATTGTTACCTCCAAATAATCATCAAGCCTCTTTAAGTATATTCGGGAATAACGGAGAGAATGAGAAATCAAATGGATTGCTCCTCGTACGTGAAAGACTCGGTCTCGTGGCGACAGCCAAGCATCTAACGTCGCGCGCGGTGAATAGGCCGCAATGTGCGAGGGCCTCCTTTCTCCTTGTTGTTCCTTTTATCGTGGGCTACGAGGGCTTTAATATGCGCGACGTTGGCACGAGATGAAAGCAAACCGTGCGTAATAAATATTTGGAACACGCGGGAGAACATTCTTCGGTGCTCTCAGAAGGGTCACACTCTTCTCGCTTTTTTTGGGATTCTTGATGGCTCAAGTTGATTTTTGCGCGTGGATGGATGCGAAAAAGTGGGTCGAGCAGTTTTAGCGCTGCAGTGAATTTCAAGATCTCACGTTGGTTGCGTTGTACACGTCGCAAATAATATTCACAATTACAATTGTTTATCACGGTGGGGCAGCGGTAGCGTTGTCGTCGTAAAGGATGCGCGAACGACGGATCGAAGGCAAGGGGGCGTTCCATCCGAAACGCGCGTGGTTTCGCTTCAGGGAAGCAAAGGGAGGCTCTCGGCCGACGAAGGCCTGCGTCCAGTTGCCTACACCCCGAGCAGGTCTGCCGGGACCGTACGGTGCGCGTCCGAGGGTGGCTTCCGATAAAAACTGCGACGAGCGAGGGACCAGCTCTCCCGAATCGCGGCTCCCGGAACGCGCCGGCAGTCGGCGATCGACGATCAGGGAGGCTCGCACGGCCGTGGCACACATTCCCGCGCGGTCGCGGCGAGGAGCGTCGCGTCGGCCCGCATATCGCGCCTCTCTCACGCGACTTGCCGCGAGCGAGAGCGGCCAATTAGCGAGGCGCTCGCGCTCTCTCCCGTTCGCACGGCGGCGGAAGCTCCCCCGTGCGCCGGGCGGCCGGCGGCGACCAAGGGAAATCCGCTCTACCCGAACGCACCGCCGGCAACAGATGGGCGGTCACGCCGGCCGAGCTCAAGACTAGGGGCGGCCGCCGAGGGCAGCTCGAGGTCCCGGCCGAGGGCTGCGCTCGGCGTCGTCGGCGCGCAACAAACGCCGGAAGAGCGACGATTTCTTCATTAGCGCTCGCGCGGCCGGCCAATTACAGGCGTGAAAGTGCGGAGCACGCGCGCGCGCGCGCGCGAATCGGGCCGTTTTCACGCGCGAGAACGCCGCTGCGCTGCGCTGCGCTCTCTCGGCGCTCCGTCGTGGCCCCGCGCGATCGTCGATCGCGACCTCGCGACGCCCCCGCCGAGCCGCGACCGGCCGGCGGGCGCCCGCGGCGGAGCCACTGCCCGGAACGGAACATCCTCCAATTAGGAATCCGGGCTGCGGACGCCGACGGTCGAATCGCGAGGCCCGGAAGCCGGTCGAAGAAAGGCACCACGCGGTCCGAAGGAACGCGGCGCGCAGAGGTGCGAGCGCGCGCCGCGTTCTTCCGGCGGATCGGCCGCGCCGCGCGGCGGTCGCTCGGTCGAGCGAGAGGAGGAAGGAGCCGCGCAGCTCCCGCTCGGCGGAAGCGCGCGCGCGCGCTTTCAGGCGCAACAATAGCGGCGCGGCGGGCGCGCGGCCGATCAGTCGACGCGGGAGCCCCGCGGCGAAGACGCGCGCGCGCAGCGAGGATGAGCCCGTGGCCGGTGGCGAGCAGGCGAGGGGCGGACCGCGAGCCGGCGGCGCCGCTGGACGCGGGCGGCTTCGTGCCGCGCCGGGCGCTGCCGCTGGTCGAGCGCGCGCCCACGCGCGAGTGGCAGGAGGCCTGCGGCGAGGGGCGCGCGGCCGGCTCGCCGCTGCCGGAGCCCGCGCGCCGCTACAAGACCGTGGTGCCGGTGTGCTACTTCGGCGACAGCATGGACAAGCCCACGCCCAGGCCGCGCGCCGGCGCCGGCGCCGCCGCCGAGGACCGCGCGCCACTGGAGGTCGGGGCCGAGCGGCTGATCGTCGTCAGCGTGAAGCCCTGCAGGGACGACGTGGTCCGCGTCGAGCAGGACGAGGGCCGGCTCGACGAGTGCTGGTCGCTGCCGGGGGGCGGCAGCGGCTTCAAGGCGGACTGGAGCTTCGTGCAGCAGTGGCGGCTCAGAGGGTAATGACTGGCGCGCGTCGGGGCGGGGCTGCGGGGCAGCCGGGCGGCGGGCGGCCGAGCGGGGGGCGACGGCGACGGCGCAGCCGGGCACCGCGCTCACCCGGGTTGCTCGAACGTGTTCAAGGCCGGGCGGTGCGAGCGGCAGCAGCACGAAGGGGACGGGCGGCCACGACGGCGGCCCGCGGCAGTGCGCAACGGCGAGGCGCGAGGCCGGGGCCGCCACTGGACTCGGCGCCGCGGCGCCCGCCAGCCAGCAGCACCAGCTCGCGGGCCGTCAGCTCGGGCTCCCCCAGGTACGTGCCGCGCCCGCGGCGGCGACCGGCAGGCGGCGATAATCGGGCGGCGCTCGTTGCAGCGACGTTCGGCGGAGTGCGCGGGTAACAGCTCCTCGGACGAGAACCGGTCGTCGGGCCACGCGAGCATGTCGGACACCGGCGGCCACACGAGCGGCAGCTCGCCGCCGCACCGCCAGCAGCCGGCCCCGCAGCCGCACCAGCAGGCGGCGGCCGACGGCCTCGAGCGGGCCGACGAGGCGCCCGCGGACGAGCGCCTGACCGCGGGCGTGACCGCGCAGCGGAGCGCGCGCACCAGGTCGGCGCAGAGCCGCGTCCGGCACCGCGCCGCCCCGGCCAAGGTAAGCAGCCCGGCGGCGACGGCCCGGCCGCCGAGAGGCGCCGCTCCAGCCGCCGCCGCCGCCGCGCGCGCTCGGTTGCAGGCGCCGTGGTCGGGCTCGGGCCTCGAGGACATCAAGCTGGCCCTGCGGCAGCTGAGCCTGCGCTCGCACGCCTCGACGTCCACCCGCTCGTCGCAGAGCGGCTCGGAGAGCTCGGGGCCGGCGGCGCGCCGGCTGCTGCGCCACTCGAGCCTCGAGACGGTCAACAGCAGCGCCACCAGCGCCGACGAGTTCGTCTGGGTGGACTCGCAGCAGCGGCTGGCCGAGCTACAGCAGCCGCCCTGGACGCAGCAGGACGTGCTGCGCGTGCTGCAGGCCGGCCGCGCCGCCCAGCACATGGACCGCGTGAGCATGGAGGCCGTGCCGCGGCTGTCGTACCTGCTGCAGCGCGCGCTCGTGCGCGTGGGCCGCGAGGCGCAGCGGCTGGCCCGACCGCTGGGCCTGTGCGGCCGGCGCGAGGTGCTCGGCGCCCTCAGGATCGTGCTGTGCCCCGCGCTGGCCGACTCCTGCGCCAAGGTAGGCGACGCGCCGCGAGCCCGCGAGCCCGCGAGCCGCGCGAACTCACGCAGCCCGGCGCGCTTGCAGGCCTGTCTGCGGGCGGCCGCCATGTTCGCCGTGTCGGGCGAGCAGCCCCGCCAGTCCAAGGGCGCGCGCGCGGGCCTGCAGATGCCGGTCGGGCGCTTCCTGCGCTGGACGACGGACGCGCGCCTCGGGCGCATGGTCCACGAGCACGCCGCGGTCTGCCTGGCCGCGGCCCTGGAGAACCTGCTGGAGGAGCTGCTGATGCGCTGCCTGCCGGACGAGCCGTGCGCCGCGCTCACGGCCGCGGCGCTGGAGCGCGCCGTCGCCGGCAGCGCCGAGCTCTGGGGCCTGCTGCAGCCCTGCGCCCACCTCTGCGCCGGCAGGCTGGCCTCGGGTGAGTGCGCGGCGTCCCCCCGCGGGGCCGCGTTCGCCGCCAGGCACTAGCCGGCTGTCCTTCTCCGCAGGCGCGCTGTCCCCGTCGCCGGCCCCGGCGGCGTCCTCCGCGGAGGCCGCGCTGCTGACCACCTGCGTGGGCTCGTCGCGGGAGCTGCACGAGCTGCTGGCCCGGCTGGGCCGCGCGCCGCCGCTCACCGCCAGGGCCGTCGACGCGCTCTTCTATTTCATGCGCTGCTCGCAGGTAGGCGGCCCCGCGCGGCCAGCGCCCTCGCGGCCCCTCTCACGCGGCACCTCTCCGCAGCTGGAGCACGGCGGCCGCGGCGCGCCGGTGCAGCGGCTGGCGCACGAGCGCGCCTACGCACTGCTGCCGCCGCTCGGCGAGTGGCTGCGGGTGGCGGGCGCGCACGCCGAGTACCGCCAGGCCCAGGCGCTGGACCAGGACGACGTGGCGCAGGCCGCCAGGCTGCTGCTGCCGGGCGTCGACTGCCCCGCGCGGGCACTCTGGTGAGCTCCGCCGCCCCCCCCCCCCTCCCGCCCCCTCCCCACGACCGGTGCAGTCCGTACAGAGGAGGCCTCGTTCGCAGCTCCGAGGGCGTGGCGATCGTGCCGGGGCCGCCCGGTGACGCGGACTACGCGCGCCGCCTCGGCCTCGAAGTCGCCTTCAAGCTGCTGGCGAGCGGCCGGCCGGAGCTCGTGCCGCAGGCGCTGCCGCTACTGCCAGGCGGCAAGCTCGACGCGCTCAACGAGCAGGGCCTCACGGCGCTGATGCTGGCCAGCGCGGCGGGCGACGAGGCGGCGGTCGCCACGCTGCTCGACGCCGGCGCGCGGCCCGACGCGGAGACGCCCGCGCCCGCGGCCCAGCCGCAGGCCTTCGCCGCGGAAACCCAGCACTGGACGGCGCTCACCTTCGCGGCGCTGCTCGGCCACTGCGGCGTGGCCCGGCTGCTGCTGGGCCGCGGCGCCGCGGTGGAGGGCGGCGCACGGGCCGGCGAGGACCGGCCCACGCTCACGCCGCTGCAGGCGGCCAGCGCGGCCGGCGACGCCGAGATGGTGGCGCTGCTGCTGGCCCACGGCGCCCAGCCCTTCCTGTCCAGCCTCGCCGGGGACGCGCCCTGCTACTCGAGCGCCGCGCCGCGCGGCTGCTACAGGTACGCCCCGTCCCACCCCCGCCCCCGCCCGTGCTCAGCGGCCCGCGCTCTGTCCGCAGCGCCGTCTCCGTGGCGGCGGCCCACGGCCAGCGCGCCTGCCTGCGCCAGCTGCTCGCGCACCCGCTCAACTTCTCGGCCCGGCGCGGCGAGAGGGAGGTGCTCTCGCTGGAGGAGATGCTGGCCGAGGACGCCCCCGGCACCCCCGGCGCCGGCGCCCAGCCCGGCGGCCCGGCGGACGGCGCCGAGCCCGCCTTCAGCAGGAGCCAGAGCAAGGCGCTCCAGGAGGCCATGTACCACAGCGCGGAGAGCGAGCACCTGGGTGAGCGTCCGAGCATCTCGCCGCCGCGGCGGTCCGTTCGTCGCCTCATCGACGCCTGCCCTCCGTAGACATCACCATGGAGCTACGGGCTCTGGGCGTCGCCTGGACCCTGCACTGCTGGACGCACAGCCTGGCCACGGCCCACGAGCTGAGGATCGACTCCGTGATCGAGCAGCTGCTGCGCGACTTCCTCCAAGTTTGCCCGGACGACTACTCCGCGCAGTTCGCGCAGGAGTGCCTGCCGTTGCTGTTCAATATCTTCCGCTGCAGCAAGGTGCCCGCGAACAGCGCCAGCGTCGCCCGTCGCTCTCGCGGCGCCTCACTCGCTTGTCTTTCCGCCCGCAGAAAGAGGCTACGACGCTGCTGCTCGCCGACATATTCTGCACCTGCTTCGGCTGGGAGCCGATCAAGCCGATCAGGGACACGAGCGCCCTGCGCACCGGATCGCGGGTCGATCCCAAATTTATAAACAACCCGGAGCTGAGCGACGTCCAATTTCGCGTGGAGGGCCGCGTGTTCTACGGGCACATGGTCGTCCTGTTCTTCTCGCGGACATTCGGAAGCATGCTCAGCTCCAAGTTGTGCGAGGGAAATCCGCCCATCGTCCAGATCAACGACATTCGCTATCACATCTTCCACGTAAGATCTATCCACGTAAATCTATCCGATCCACGGGCTCTCGCGTTTATCATCGTCGTTTCGCCCCCTTCACAGTTGGTCATGGAGTTTCTGTATCGCGGGAGCTGCGCCACTCTGCAGGTCGATCAGAGCGACGTGCTGGAGTTGATGGCGGCGGCCAACTTCTTTCAACTGGACGGTCTCCTGCGGTTTTGCGAAGCCCAATGCTCGACGATGGTCGATCTCGACAATGTCGTTTCCATGTACATCCACGCCAAGGTACGGAGCGTCCAATCCGTCGCGAGCGCAAGCGCTAATCGGTTAATTTGGCTGTCTGTTCTCCAGGTCTACAACGCGGTGCAATTACTGGAGTACTGCCAAGGATTTATACTTCAGAACATGGTGTCGCTCATGACCTACGACGACTCGGCCAAGCGACTCTTGTTCGCCAAAAAATTGCCGAATCACGATGTGCTTACGGGCCTTCTGTTGACGCTGCAAGCTCGGATGAAAGCAAGACGACCGCAAATCGCAAAGTGATTTCAAAATATGACATCTGGAATTGTGATGTTTGAGTTTCGGAAGATCTCTTATACACCTATTCTATAAGTGTTACGACTGAATTTTTGCTATTACTTTCTATTGTTATTTAGATTTAGACGTTTACGAATTTCGAATGCACAAATCTTGTATAAAGCTTGTATCAATTTTATCTTACAAAATTATCGTTATCGTTTACGACATTGTATTCTTCAGAACTCATTAACCATGGAATATGATGCGTTTAAATTTCTTTTCTTTTTTATCAACTTGTTAATTGTGCGATTGCTACGCGAAAACGTGACTAAACTGTTCGCATTGTTACGCATTATTATTTATGATTGATTTTATTACAGTTCAGTTTATCAACGAAACGTATGCGTTTTATCATCACAGAACAACATGTCCGTCAAGTATTATAAAAATTCTTGCCAATTTTTTTAGTTATAATGAAATTTTTATCTTCAAGATGTAATTTGTTAAACTGCCTTATCTCAAACTATTTATACAAATACGTTTGTTTCGTGTTTGTGAAACAATTTTTACATAAACCTAACTTTAAACTGCTTATATATGCTAATATGTTCTTATCGGGTCATTTATTAGCTTAATGAAAATTTCATTTGAAGAGTTAACAAAACGAATGTTCCCCCGGAAATTAATCGCAATGTTAAACGTATGATTCAGAATCACGATAGAATGCAAGTTACTAATAGCTATTTCTACAGTGATTGAAAAGCGACAAAAAAAAAAGTTGAAGATAAAACAAATATATATAAATCATAATATTATATACTTATAAGATATTCATATTGATATTTGATATAACTATCAATTTTTTATAAATGTCTAGATTATAATATGAATAAAATTTGATATTTTATTGTTCACCAAATATAAGTATTAATTAGGTCTCAAGATAACAATATTCATACTTTTTTCCCAGAGAAATGTGTTATTTTGCCATCCTTTGATAATCACAATTTCATCGGAATAATGAAAGTACCATTATGTATGATACTGTTGCTTTTACCATCAACAAAAATATAATCGCAAACGTGGAATATCTATGTTGAACAAATAAACGGCTTAATACAGATGACGAACTTGTAACGTCATTTCGAGAATGATCATCGTATGGTCGATCGATTTACTCTATCTTCTTACGTATATTGAGTTATATCTTAAAGTAATATTATTATTATACATTCGCCAATTTCGTTTTCATTAACTCGTTCACATATTTAAATATTCAATATACTTAGTCGTATTTTTCTTCTGCCGATTCACTTGATGGACTGTTGATACAAACACACAGATATTATGTGCTTGGAATGTAGAAAAAAATGCTAGACAATATATTGTTATTGTTGTGTCATTTATTCGAAATTATATTAATCAATTGTATATACAATTTTTCATTATTTTAGTAGCATTCATAATAGTATCTGATGGATTTTTCGAAATTTGAAATATCTAATGATCAGTGTATATATAAGCGTCGATTGAGGCTTCATTCAAATGGCTGTCTCAATCAGATTAGATTCATTTTTTTGCATCTGGCGTGATGTGCATTATCATAACACATGAAGCAATAATTATGTGTATATATTTTTCAAATTAATGATTATGCGCAGCATTATTTATTATAGCATTTTCTAAACGCATAAATTAACATGAAGTTTTCTATTATTTTCATATTTGATAACTAAATTTTACATAATAAACATCCTTTTTAATGCTTTCAATATACAATAAATTACGAACGGAAACATTCGTTTCATTATTGTTTATTGGTCGGTAAATAGCAAAGATATTTTATTGAACTCGTCAATAAAACCAGAAGCCGTTAAGGAAAGTACGAAAAGATCGCAAGATAGATTAATCGTCAATTGAAATGAAAATATATAGGCACATTATTCTCAACGGCTATTAGTTTTCTTTTTCTGCAATAAATTTGAAAATACAGGTAATAGACAAGTGATATCATGACAATGCATATATAAGTCAGCCCCTGGCTGATGTTTTTAACTTGAAAATGTATTGAGGCGAGCAATTTCAAATCTCAACGCGCTTTATAAACAATTTGATTTTTTTACAGAGAAAAAATATATGTAAAATTTGAGCACACTATAATACAATAAATGATAAAATAGTAATAAAAATATAATGACGATGACGCATGTATTATGCTAAAGCAACAATTTTTCTAGACAAAATTAAGTTTTTATGATATTTAAATTGCAATTCAACTCACAACAAAGGAGACAAATAATTTTCAAGTACAATAAGTATTACAATTTACAATTCTTTATAAAAATTGTGACGACGGGATAAATTTTATCGATTAATTTTTGAATTTCATTGATTAATTTTGTACAATAAATGTATACATGTTTCCATAAAATTTTTACAAACAATCTTAAGCAGTATCATATTGAATAACAAACATTCAAATATAACACTGATCAATGCAGAAAATTTTTTTACTTAACACAAAACTATTTCAAAATTAATGATTCAATAAAGTAATTAATTGTTATATTATTAGTGATAGAACTCTAGATTTCCAGAAATTAATTACCCAATATAATACCTACTTAACTTACAAATACTTGAAGAAAATGGTAATGCACAGTTCGATTTTGTTAATGATTATAAGGCTAAAGCCATTACAGCATGAATTCAGGAAGCTTACAAATAATTCGCAGAACAGTTTAACCTTTTTTTATGGCGCATATCGAAAATGCAAATTCAACGAAAGAACAGACAACGTAATAATTACAATAAACATGACTTTTAGAACACAAGTCATTGCCGTTAGATTGAGACAACCAATTACAACTTTCCACATTCTTAAATATTTAAAATTGCTAACTTGTTTTATTGGTTAAAACTATGCACAATATCAAAATAGTTGCGAAAACAACAGCTACAACTAAGAGAATGCATACTTTCCGTCTAAATTTATTTTGGTAGTTACTAGCCTTTATTAACTCCTGTGTTCCCAATTCAACGTGTCCGTGTGCGTTTTCGATATTGTTTTCAATACTATCTGTAATTAAAGTAACAACAATCAATTTTTGCATTTCTTGAGAAAACATTTAATCTATTTATCTCCTAGAAATGAGCCAAAAATGTACTTACTAACTGAGTCTGCCTGTTTATACACAAGTCCTGCTAATTCTCTCATAATTTGATTCACGTCTAAAATATCGCCTTCGATTTGTCTTACTCTATCCTCTTGATCCAATGTTAAGCCATGCTCAAATTGTAGTTGCCTGACAGAAAAATATGTAAAGCTTATTGATCAATTCATTATTGTATTTGAAATAAAATTTCACTTTTATCAATAAAGAGTCTGCTCTGTAAAGACTTACCCTCATCAAAATAGTTTTCAATTTAAAGACTGTTTTTGTGAAATATTATTGTAAAACTCATTTGATATCATGCAATTTTATTTTTACTTTTTTAAGTACTAGATTTATTGTAAATATTGTGAGTGAAGCTACAAAGAATTATAGAAAGTGTTTTCTTTTATGTGAACGCATAGTTTTAATTTGAAACAAGGCTCTTCAAAATATCAAATTTGCAAACTCTTAAATATTGATTACACTTACCGCAGTTCAGCTTTCCGATCAGCAGTTTCCTGAGCTTGGATAAGTTTTTGTTGTTCTGCTTGCTCATCATCTTCAAAATCATGGATTTCTACAGTTCCTCTCACAAGTATGTGCCTTTTCATCTTGTCTGCAATGGACTGAAAATAAAATTAAAAAAAAATGTTTATTTATTTATTAATTAATCTTAATTGGAGTTTTAAATCCAACTTACTCTTTGCATATCAGAGTATTTTTGTACAGCATCTTTAAAGTCACTTATGAGCTTCTCAATTTGTAATTTCTGCTGTTTGTCACCTCCTCGCATCAAAACTGTCAGTCTTGCAATATCTTTACTAGTTTGAGTCACCGTTTGGTTAGTGCTCAGCTGCGTAATATGCCTGTAATTGAAGTAAGAAAAAGTTAATATAAAATAATCAACAGAAAAATATGCAGAATGTGAATGAAAATCAAATATATACATTAAATCGTACTATTAAATCAAGCAAACCTACACTTTATCTCTAAGAGTCTGATTATCTTTATTGGTTCCAATATGCTTGTGGGCTCGCTCCAAAGTCCTGTAGCTCGTGTTGATTGTGTATATATTTGTTATGATGTTTTCACTGAGACTGTATAGCTCTGTAGGACTAAAGCCCACATCAGGTACATCTGACCTTTGGTCTGTAGACCCATAGGTGTGAGAACTGTGTGCCATCCTGTGAACAAACACTTGCACAGTTTTTTTTATCACGCCCAACACACACGATTTTAAATTCACAATGCTGTATTAACAGCAGGAGTACTGGATTTCCACTAGACAAAGAGTGGTAAAAAGAACGGTAATTGCCTGCGAAACAATGAGCAATTTGAAAAGGCTGCACTAATTTCCTTAAGTAGAGTATAAAACTGACGAGATTCTCCGATCTGAGTAATTGCCGACGTAAATCAGATTCGCAAAGCGTTACAGCAACTCTCGTATACTTTCACGAGTTAGAAAAAGAAAAAGCAACACGGATCGTTCGTACTCTAACACGACTAACATCGAGTAGTTTGCTCAGAGAGACAAAGTACAACAAAAAAAAAGCAAAGAAAGTACAGCATCTATTGCAACTTAACGGAAAAAGGTATAATAGATACATAGGTAGGTATGTGTGCGCGCGAACGCCCGTATCCGTCAATAACCGTTGCGATAATAAGCGCGAGAACACTAGAGATGAGTTTTTTTGCTTCGTTGACAATAACAAACTCATTAGCTGTCACCAGCATATACGAACCTGTGTGAGCCTCTTGACAACGACGACGACGAGTTCTCGTTTGATAGAAACCTTTCTTGCTAGGACATTTAAAGGTAGGCGCAGCTGCAGGACTCTCCCCAGGAAAATGACAATTACCCAGTGCAATTTTCCAGCTCAAAGTCTATGGATTCGTTTATGTGCGTAAGAGCGTACGTGTGTGTGACACGTCTGTGTGTGAAGTGTATATGGCTCGATAGGCTTCAGTTCGTGCGAATTTGTATTCCTAAAGGTGCTCTCTTTCGCTCGCTCACGTCGCTGCAGTCGACAGAAACCTAACCTCACTGAACATTTATGACATTGTCCAGCTGTTCTCTATCGCGTACGTGTGAGTAGGTGTATACTATAGGTATACAATATTCATATAGATGTGGAGGTATGCGGGCGCGCTCGCGCTGCTGGTGTGAGTTGCTAGAGAGCTCATCACTATATAATGTTCTTTGTTAGAAGCTGTGATGTTGCTATGAATCATCCTTATTTTTTTCACGCCTAGAATGCTTTTATTTATTGATGTTTCAATTGAACACTTTTATGACGGAATCAATCACAATGTCGAATCTCATGGAAATGGCAATTCAACTAAATTATGGTTTTTAATAAAATCAATTGAGTTTCAAGTTGATAAGGATTTTGAGAGATTGTGCGTACATTTTTTGTTATCAAACGTCTGTTTAATGAAGTAAGTAATGCGTTATTACTTAAAAATGGAGCAGATTAATTAGCCATGGAATTCGAAAGCCCCGCGTTCTATAAATCAACTAAAAAAAGTGTTCTACTATATATGGGCTAGGCGACCTATCATACGTTTGCGCAGGCTCAACAACAAAGCTGCGCACGCACGCAAAAGTAAGCCACGACGCTAGTCAAAGTAACCACGTACAAATTTATCAAATTTTTGTTAAAAAAGTTCGCTACACAAAAGTCAATTAGTAGCCATCGATTTATTCGATTGCTGCAAATAATAGCTAAGATAAAAGTGTCGACTGAACCTTCGCAAGACATTCAATCTGGGAAATTGCCGTGTTTATCATATCACACACGGCAGTAGATAGACATACCGCATGTATAGTAATACATATATTAAGATGTCCCCCTCTCTCGGTCTTCTCTCAGGCTGCAACAGCAGCAACTAACACATAGCTACGTCTCGTCAGTCGCGCGCCGGACGCTGAGCGCTGAGTCGTCGACTGCATTGAGTTCGGACGGACAGATCTCAACGTAGGTGTGTCAGTGTGAGCGTGCGTGTGTTGCGATCAGGCCAACGACGCGCCAGTCTACACAGACACACGCTCAAAGCACGGTCAAGTATAGTGTTAACCTAGCGCGCGTTAATCACTCTGTTTAGCTCTGTGCCAGCCAGTCCGGACTCTCTTGGCTTTTTCTTTTCCTTCGAACGAAGAACGCACACACATCACCTGGGGCTGCAGCCGCATAGCAAGAGATCAAAAGTGAGTGTCTTTTCTTAAAAAAGCATCTTTTGGCCTGTATTTGTGTGTTAAAAAGCACCTTTTAACTTGCACTTGTGTGCCAGGTTAATAATATAGGTCTCGGTCAGATACCGCCATCGATATCATGCGCACACATCGCCCTTCGTCACTGCTGCCACGGCATGAGCGAACCTCATTTTATCTCTTGACTAGTCGCGTGTCCTCGGCAAGTTTATCGCAAAAAAGAAACCAAGAGCGCCCGCGATGTTGCATTGCATTCTCTTTCTCTCTTTCGCTCTCACGACATCCACGGCCGATAATGTCGGGCGATTAACACGGTCTACACGTCATTCTTACGTTTTCTCAACTAGAATACACTTGTATCGCTCGCTAAAATTGTTACTCTCGCTTTTTCGGACGCGCACTTTACAACTTAGTATTGTGAAATGTATCGTTCGCTGAATTTCAATCAATGTTTCTCTGGTGGTAAACAAGTGATTCATTGTTAATCTTTTACTTTAAGATGCCACTTCTGTGTAATAATTGCACATACTTCTTTTAAAAATTTCGAAACAGCGTATGTGTGCCTCGTTAGTTCGTATTATAATAGTAATCATATTCCTGAAAAATTATTTAAATAGCACAAAGCAACATAAACATTGGTATATTGTATGGTCAGCGAACGCGTCACTTGACGGTCTCTCAACCGAGTACAGGAAAACGCACTCTGTCGTCATCACTCTAAAAGTGAGAGAGAGAGAGAGAGAGAGAGAGAGAGAGAGAGAGAGAGAGAGAGAGAGAGAGAGAGAGAGAGAGAGAGAGAGAGAGAGAGAGCGAGAGAGCAGACCGTGGCGGCCGCGCGTGCTCGAGAGATCGTTGTTGGCTCTGTCTCGTTCAAGAGACATTGGTCATCGTCTAGGAAGTAGCCACAGTAAGTAACCAACTGAGCTTTTGGATCGTTCGTTCCAGGAGCGCGAGAATGTGAGATTACTGTGAGCGAAGGTTCTGGACAGACAGTGTGTGTGTGTGGTGTGTGTGCGCGCGCGCGCGTGTGTGTGCATGTGTTGCGTCTCCGCCGAAATATAACATGGAGTCGTCGTCCCCGCCTTCCGGTGTGCTGCTGCTGCTGCTCCGACGGAAACACATACACTGTGCGCGTCCATTCGTCGTATGTGCGCTTCTTTCTCGATGTCGTAAAAGAACAGATATGTTGTGTTTTTTCTCGTCTATAACTTCTGCTCTCTCGTTTGTTCGGGGGATGAGTAGGTATATGCGAGATATTGATTTTTTTTTCGGAGTATGCTCGACGACGTTTTGTTGACGATTTTACCTGGCTGCGCGCAAAGGGCTCAGATCGATCCACGCAGATAACTAGAGCTTCGAGGGTGACTTTTTATTCAATCTTCCCGACGTATTGCGGAGAGACGCTGGAGGTTTTCAAGAAACCCGTTAAAGGCTCGAATAATTGTTGGTGAAAGACCAAGCCTTCTTCGGTTTAGCCTTTTATGGACGGTGCGACAGGCGGGTGGGCGAGAAATTGCCTCGGCTCTCTCACTCTCTTCGTTTCTGATGTCATCCTTCTCGAGGATACCAGATGAGGATGTAAATTCAACGTTCTCGATTGTGCAAGGTGTGTGCGCTGCATAAACGAGACAGATAAAGTCGAGTGGTTTCCTGTCGACGAGTTTCGTTTTCTTGTTAGAATCTGACTTTTACACATCTAACATCATCATTGTTAGCTCGAAATCTAGGTCGTGAACCGTACACGAACTTTTACGTAGATTCACGGATCTATTTTTGTTCGTAATGTCAAATTGATGCGCGAATGACGCTCGTGTTTTGAGTTTTTTCCTTATCCACGCGAATACATTACATTTCGGAGCCTGTTTCGAAGAAGAAATAATTCTCTTAGATAGAACGTTCAATGATATGTATCCGGTACAGTCAAAGTATTATTTACTCTGATTTCGAACGTTGTTTGTTGTCGTCGCCGCGATGTAATTGATCCGTCATTAGCTAGATCGCTCTTTTCTCTTTCTGCGCAGGCTTTTCTTTCCGCGAAATCACGACGAAAGAAAAAACACAATCAAGCTTCGGTGTTATTCCCTGATCGCGTAATCAACTTAGAAAATGATCGATGCAATGAGATTTCCCAACGAAATGCTTCATTTTCTTTCTGTCCACCGATTGGTTGAGTTGCTCGCGACAACCAACACAACTAATCCCACTCGCTCGCGGGAGTTTTTTCCGCTGTATGTTGCATCAGCTGATATGGGCGGCCTCTTTTTTCCGCAAAATAAAAACACGCACACGCACAAAATAACCAGACAACGACAAAAACTTGACGGCATTTCCCCGACTCGCGACAAAACAAAAGAACTCGCGTAGCCGACGAAGGTTAATGTTAAATTTAGCCCCGCGTTGCGGAAAAAAAATAGTACAAGTCGATCGATCCGAGAGCGAAAGTGATTAAAAAGACATCGCCGCGACTTTCCTTTTTGCTATCATACGCGACGACATTTCATTCTGATGCGTACGATGACGTTTAACTATGAATAGCCGCTTTCTCTCTCACTCTCGCGCGCGCACTGATTCCCTTTCGGCAAAATCGAGGTCGTAGATAGCAGCTGATCGCCGATTTGTAAACATCAGCTGATATTTCTTTTCCTTTTTTTTTCGTTGTTGAGCACGTTCGAGAGCTTTGAAAATTCGAGTCGCCTCAGCGATTCGTTTGATGCGTCGGCGGGAGAGCGGAAACGCCGTTTAATTCCGTGCTCTCTTTCTTCCTATTTCCGGCTCTGCTGCCCACGGAGAGCGGGCGCGAGAGGCAACATTATGGGTCGTTCATGCGGCTTATACGCCTCGCATTATTTTTCGTACGCGTCGCCCCAAAAAATTCATCGTCGATGCAAGCGTCGCAAATGTTTTCACAATTCAACCTGACGCCAGACGAATTATCAGAGAGAGAGAGAGAGAGAGAGAGAGAGAGAGAGAGAGAGAGAGAGAGAGAGAGAGAGAGAGAGAGAGAACATTCTGAAAAGTCGCGAACGACATTTTACATAACGAGTCTGCGTTATCAATTTAAAATGGACGTTGAATGTGAATAAATTGGTCGGCTTTTGTGTTTGGCGTTCGCTCTGCTCGGATTTCGCAGCTGACCTCTTTCGTGTTCATTCATTTTCATTATCCAAAAATTGGTCGGCTTCCGTGCCCCCCCCCCCCCTCTCTCGCGTTGTGTCTGTTCACTTTTCTGAGCTCTTCTCAATATTTAAATGACGTGCAGAGAGCATCATTATTTACACGAACATTAGACTTTCATGACTTTCTTTGGGGATTTCTGTAAATCGTTGCGTGGCTTTTCACGTAGAAAATACTTATAGAGAGAGTGATCTTGTTGAGCATAAGTTTGTCAAAATGTAAATTGTGATGCTATTTTTGAAATGCCGAACAAGAGTTCATTTCATTCTTTGTAAGAACGGGCAAATCGATTGTTTTGTTCTCCGAGTCAGATTCCCTTCTGCTTTTCATACGAATACCTTTCCGCGTGCACGAATAAATTTTTCTTTGAACACGTGTTGTTTCACGAGGCATATTTTGCCATCCCCGATGTTTTCGTCCCGAGGGAAGAGTTCTGAACGTGACATCGGAAAGAGGTAAACTGTTGACTGCTCATTCGAACGTGAACAGCTCGAGCTCGTTATTGACCTGTCGCACCAACAACTTGGCATTCGATTCTCATCTTCGCGGTAAAAAAAAAAGAGATAAAGAGACTTTGGCGCGCGACGAGTTTGGCCGAGGAAATTGATCACGCGGGAAAGAAGCGCGAGCGCGTCCTGCGCGAGAGCCGCGACGAATCCGCGCGAGGAAGCGATGGCGCCCGCGACGCGCGCGCTCGGAGCAACAAACTTGACGCGACTTATAAATAAATTCCATCGAGCCCGCCTGCTCGTCGGCTGCGCGCGCGCGCGAGGAAACAAAGCGCGCGAGCGTCGGACAAAAGCCGCGTCGCTGGGGCGCGCGAGCGAGCCGAGGCGTCGCCTGGAATTCTTTTTCGCCGCTGCTCCTTTGTCCGCGTAGCGCGACGGCGGAGGTTCAAGGTTGTCGCCGTGCACGGATTTCGGCAATCAGCTGCTGCTCTCGCCTCGCGACGGAAGCACCTGCCTGGCAGCCGCGCGCGTACGCGTGTGCGAGCCCGAAGCGCACGCGCGAAAAGTTCATTGACCGTCTGACCATGAGAGAGAGAGAGAGAGAGAGAGAGAGAGAGGAGAGAGAGAGAGAGAGAGAGAGAGAGAGAGAGAGAGAGAGAGAGAGAGAGAGAGAGAGAGAGAACCGCGCCCGGCTCCCCTGAAATCCTGCCCTCAAGATCAAAGTCGCCCCTCTCTCGTTCCGTCGCTGCCGCAAACGCACGCACGCACGCACGCACGCACAAGTGGGGGAGAGCAATGGATCTTTAACCCCCCACGATACGCGACGCAAACCAACTCGGACACGGGATGCAAGCGTAATTCCCCCCCCCCCCCCCCCCTGCCCCTCTCTCTCTTGTGTGAGGATGACGGCTAGTGCGTGAGCGCGATGAATATTAGTCGACGAGTTCGTTGAATCCGCAAAACGTCGTCTCTTTGTTTCGCCGTGAAATTCACCACAGGCTTTCGAAGAAACGCCGTTTTGTTTGGCAAATGAAAAATCTATCGCCAGCAATTTCAGCGAACATTCAATTTTATCACGTAACCGAAGGCTTCGCAATAGACGTACATCGTTTTATATATTGATTTCTCTAGTAGAGTAAGCATATAACAGAGCGAGAGAGCGAGAGAGAGAGAGAGAGAGAGAGAGAGAGAGAGAGAGAGAAATAGAAAGCGCACAAACAGTTTCAATCGCAAATATATCCGTGCCCGCGTACAGCGAAGAAATTTTATGTGCGTGAAATAATAAGAAAAATCAGGCAGACGACGCGCTTCAGGTAGCGCGTTCTTCCTTCCTTTTCTCGCTCTGGAAGTAGATGCCAGGTGAGAAGACATACAGTCGCCTCACGCGCGCGCCTTTTTATTCTGTTCTTTTTTTTTTTTGTTTGCACGTCACTGCAGTCGAGCTGATTATCAGTTGGACGGCTTATCGTGTTGTTTTTTTTTTTGTTTTTACCTTGTGGCGTGTCGAGCACGCGCGTGAGCGTCAGAACGAGGATTTGCTTTACTTCGCAAAGTTGTTGTCGACCGGATTAGGCGCACGCTCGAACGCTCGTCGGCGATAAAAGCCGACGCAACGGTGAAAATCGCGCAGCAGCCTGGCGAACGAGGACGGCGATGAGCTTTTCTCCGTATTCGTGATAATTAATTGCGGTATTGATTTGTGTGTTTCAGCTTGCCATCTGACGAAAACTGTGTGCCGTGATTTATCGTTCTGGGGGCCAAAACACGCGCAACAACGGACAACCCCACAGGACCGGGGGGTGCTTCTCGTGTCTCGGGAGGAAGGTCAGGGCCTTAATCAATAAAGTCTCGGCTGCCGTGCTTCTCTCTCACCTCGAAGTCCTTAGAAAACCTCGCTCAACTCTCATCACTTTGACTCTGAACAACACGCGCACACACACATACCCACACACACACACACACACACACCCACACACCATCACACCCACATCCACACCAATCCCTCAAGCAGTGAAAGCAAGCGAGTGGCGCATTGTCGTTGTTCAAAAAAGAGACTAAAAGATTCGATGCCTTCTAGGGACGATAATCGCTCCCTATCCACTGAGCAACGCTGGATCCCTCCTTCAACTATTAGACGCGATGCGCTCACCCCAGAAAGCCGAAATGATGTCATCTTCAGAAAGGTGCGGGGCATTCTTAACAAGCTCACACCGGAAAAGTTCGCAAAGCTGAGCAACGACTTGCTCAACCTTGAGCTCAATTCCGATGTAATTCTAAAAGGTGTCATTTTTTTGGTGAGTAACAGGACAAAAGGATCGCTGAGCAATTGCCGCTTTCTCTGCCGACCGTAAGCTAATCAGCCACCTTTCCCTTGCAGATCTTCGAAAAAGCTCTCGATGAACCGAAATACAGTTCTATGTACGCACAGCTGTGCAAGCGGCTGTCCGAAGAGAGTGCGAACTTTGAGAACACGCAAAAGCAAGGTATCGGCAGTGGCAGCTTGCACCAGCAGCATCAGCAGCATCAGCATCAGCATCAGCATCAGCATCATCGAGGAATTAGCAGCGCAACATCAGCAGCAGGCGGCAATAATCACAACCATGTGCAGCACCAGCATCAGCAGGAGGCGGGAGGAAAACGCAGCAACGACAGTACGTTCACCCGCCCTGCTGCTCAACAAGTGTCGAGTGGAGTTCGAGAATCGTAGCAAGGCCAACGAGGCATTCGAGCTCAAGCAGGGCGAGCTCTCGGCCGAGGACGAGGAGCGGCGCCAGAATGCCAAGCGCAAGATGCTCGGCAACATCAAGTTCATCGGCGAATTGGGCAAGCTGGAGATCGTCTCCAACTCGATACTGCACAGGTGCATACAGCAGCTACTGGACAAGAGGCGTGGCGGATCCAGGGGGGACCAGGCCGAGGACATCGAGTGCCTCTGCCAGATCATGCGCACCTGCGGTCGCATCCTCGACACCGACAAGGGCGCCCTGCTTATGGAGCAGTACTTCAAGCGTATGAGCGTACTGGCCAAGAACAGCGAGCTACCGCTGCGCATACGCTTCATGCTGCGCGACTGCATCGAGTTAAGGCAGAACGGCTGGGTGCCGCGCAAGGCCACCAGCACCGAGGGACCCATGCCCATCAACCAGATTCGCAATGACAACGACGATCACCCAGGACGCCAAGGTCACCTCGGCCTCGGTGGCCATCAGGGTGGCGGCGGCGGCGGGCATTCCGGCCCCGGTTCCTTTTATAATAGGAACCGCGGCGACGATCCGGGGTCGCGCGGTATGAACAGCGACCTCTTCAGGCGCATGGGCCGCGTAAGCTTCGATGTCGACAACCTCGGTATTATACCGCTCACCTCGGCGGGCTTCGCTATGAGCTCGCCCTTTAGTCCCAATGGCTTTGGACCTCCACAGCCGCCTGCGCCCACGTCCAACACTTACGGCCCAGGCCGACACAACCAGCGCAACCAACCGCCGGCCAACTTCTATCCCAACCAGAATCGCAACCAGAATAATTACCAGGGTAAACACAACCAGCAACAGCACAACTCGCCTCAGAACTTCAACAATAGTTAGTACTTTTTGATTTATCCGTTCGAGCTTTTCTTGTCGACATTTATTTAATTTTTCTCGCCTTTTTTTTTCAGACGGCAATAAGGAGTCAGTCAGATTCAACAAACACAAACTCATCGGACCACCCGAGGAAATATCACTCAGGCCTTCAGCTAACTCTATGACTTTCAAACAACCCAACATCAATCCAAATATCACGACTACTAACGGTAACTTCACCGTCTTTGCATAACTCTTTCTTATGCTTTAGTGACGTTTATTTAGAACGTTCTTCATGAATCATCATTTAATGACTGATCTGCTAAGAATGCTTCGTTTTCGTTAACATTTTATTAACATACGCCAATTGGGTTAACTAGTAACCTATTATTTTACATCGACAGCAAATGTCTTAATAAAATAAAATATTTTTGTTTGTGTACAGGAGGAATCGACTTGTTCCCTGGTCGTATTCCTGAGTCGCCGTTGATGCGCGCGGCAGCAATGCGTAAACCAAGTCCTCCGCTAATCCCTAAAGATCCACCAGCCACCGTGGTAATCAAGCAGGCTCCACTGGACAAGCAGAAGCGCGAGCGCAAGGACAAGGGTCCTACCAAGGAAGAGGTGATGAAGAAAGTGAACGCACTGATGGACGACTTCGTGTCGCATGGCAACATTCCCAACGCGATCACGGCCTTTAAGGAGCTTAAAATTCCTGAGCGTTTTTTGCGCTGGGCCGTCCATACGATCTATTCGAACGGCACTGAGCGCAATGACGCCGAGCGTACTTTGGCTGCCAATTTAGTCAGTCAGATGCGCAAGGAAAATGTAATTAATGCTCAGCAGTTTCACGATGGCTGGAAGGAATTGGTGAACTCGATCGCCGAAAAGGAAAGCGCGGTGCCGTGTATCGCCTCGCACACTGCTCAACTCACTGCTCGAGCAATCATCGATGGAATGATGCAGCTCGCTGACTTGGCAGCTGTTACTGAGAACGGCCAGCACTATCCGCTCTTCTTGCTTACTCTTCAGCAGCTGCACAAGATCCAAGACAAGCAAACGCTCATGGAGATCTTTAACGACAGCAAAGTTAATCTGATCAGCCAGCTGCCCGAAGCCGAGAAGACTAAAGAACGCCTCGGCGAAATTCTCGAAGATCGAGATCTTACGTTCTTATACCCGTTACTAAGAATCCAAGGGGATATGTGGAAGCAGCTTGAGAGTGATCCTTCACCCAACAGCCTCTACAAATGGATCAAGGAGAAGCTCGACCCATCTCACCATTCCGATCCAGGCTTTATTAACGCCCTCATGACTGTACTGCTAAAATATATCACGCAGGTTTGTAAACTTTTTCATTTTATTGTTCATTTACTTAGTTGATATAATAAGTATCGTTTCGCCTAACGTGTTATTAATTATTTCTCCGACTGCAGGAAACAACATTCCCGCTTGGCACCAATCCAGCTGTTATCCCTGATAAATCTCTGCAAGAGAAGGAAGTTGCATTACTGAGCAAATATCAGCGTATGCTGCAAACGCTTTTGCCAACCATCGAATCCCAGGTCACTGCCGTACACTCCCTACAAGTCTTCTGCCTATCGCAAGGTTTTCCTAAAGGGATGCTATTGCGTTGGTTCATTGCACTTTACGATCTTTCAATTATTGATGAAGATGCTTTTATGCGCTGGAAGGAGGACGTTAACGATGCTTATCCAGGAAAAGGCGATGCCTTATTCCAGGTAATTATTAAAAGATGAAATTTTTTCTTCTGGTTCGACGTGAAACATTGATCTTGTTTGTCTTTAAGGTAAACGCGTGGTTGACATGGCTAGCGGAGCAACCGTCAGAGGATGAGGACGAAGAAGAAGATGAGAAAGGAGACAACTAAGAAGGAAAGAGGAGAAGAAAATCCCGGGAGGGAACACTGTCCTGATAACAAAAAAAATATATGTCTATGATTTGCGATAGATTTTTACTATCTCACAATCTAGCTGAGCCTTGAAGGTTTTGGTTTCATCAATTACGTTGCCTATCTAAAAAAATAAGAAAATTAAAAAAAAAACCGGAAAAAAAGTCAACAAGCGTCCTGTCAGCGCTTGTCAGTGCCCTCCAGCAATCAAAAAAGAAAAAAAATGTTACACAAAGAACGCATTGTTGACGCGTGCGAGCTTATACATTGGTGCGCGCGCGACCACCGCGAACAGCTTCGGTACAGTGAACAAAAACAACAATATAAAGACAGAACAAATAGCAAAAATGATTAACGGTTTAATATAGAACTACCAACGGCGCTTGATATAGTTCTGCGCGAACAGGAAGTTTTAATATATTAGATAATTGAATATTGAAATATTATTATGATTTGTATTATCATTAAAGAAAAAAAAATGTTGAAAAAATGATATTGGGCCAGCAATGAGTATTGGTGCAGAAAATAGTATCTGTTTTATGATTGAGGAAAAAGCAATGCGAAAAAATGAAAATAGCAACATACACGCATGATTTAAATGAAACAAAAAGTATAGGGTAAATCAGTAAAAAAAATTAGTCTGATGATTTGTATTGTCCAAGTTTTTGTCTAGTATTGTGTACGTGCCACGTTTTATAAGTCTTTTTGTCTGCGCATAGAGGAGAGAGCAGCCTGTTATATCTGTGTATCAACTTTTACACTTATAATGAATCATTATTGCGTATTGATCGTTATTAATTAAATGCATTGTCCACGTGACATTCGCGTATGTGAGAATGTTCAACCCGGATAATTCTATAATCGACTCTCTTATGAACAAACTTTGACCTTGATCCCAAAGTGTAAAACGTGGAAAGTTGAATAGGGGAAAAAAGTCGGCTATTTGATTTTATAGTGAAAGAAGATTCGTACTCGCGGCGTCAGGGAGAGACTTTTCGTTTTTCGGCGCTTCGAACGTGTATTTCTTATCGTTGTAGTGGAAAATTCAAGTAACGAGAAAGAGAGACTTATCATTGGCAAATGGAGAATTATATCAATCAAAATATCTCTGCCTGGCAAATGCAATCGTAGTCACCTATTCTATGCCCAAAGTATGTGCGATGAATATAAACAGTTTAATTACAAAAAGAAAAAGAGGGGGATACGATTGAACGATTAATTATATAACAACCAGCAGCCAGCGTCACATCCACATTAATAAGAAGAAAAACATAACATAGCGAAAACTAGTGACACTTACTAAATCACAAGCAAAAACAAATGAATAAACACGAGCCTCAGTGTAATTTATTAAAGAACAGATAACGTGAAACAGCTCCTCCGGTTGTTCCGTCGACGACCAAAATGTTTTTCAAGCCTTTTACCTTTGTTTCCTTTCTTATTCTTTATGAGTTTTCCTCTGAATTTAGACAATTACATTATACAATATACATATATAGTTGAGTTGAAAAAAGTGGCAAGTAAAAATGTTGTTCGAGCGATTCAAGCAAAAATAATAAAAAAGATATTAATAATAAATTGATTGAAAAGGTATGAGTGTTTACTTTAATAACCTTCAGCCCGGATGATTAAATCAAATTTAATTTGAAAAAAATTTCGCCTGGATGTCAGTGCAATAATCGTGCTGCGACAAAGTACGCTTGTTTTTCCTTTCTTTCCCTTATAAGTTTAATTGTAAACTAAATTTTTGCATATACACTAATGAATTATGTTGAATGAATGTAAAATAATACGGAACTATCATTGTTTCATCATGTACATAGAAAGTTTTTGTTATCTCTGGACTGAAGTGTTAATGAGAAGAAAAATGCTAGTTATTGAGGTTGACCGTTTATTTCTGTAAATCCGTTTTCTCTGTAAAATGTAATCACGTAACTAGACAAATTTAATGGAGAATCGGATAAAAGTAAAAAATTAATGAACAGCGTATCAGAAGAAAAAAATGGAAAAAAGTACTACATTGTGTTAGATTTATTGTTTCGCAATAATTGATTGGTGTGATACTCGACCGACCGACCAAAAGAATGTATCGTTTTTTCATGGAAATCATAATAAAAACATTTTTTTTTAATAATGTAATGGCAAAAAGGAATAATATTTTCCATCGACGTCTTCTGAATACTGCAATTTGTTCTTTTGATAACGCGTCGGTCGAGTGTCCTATAATTTCCAGTGTTATAATATGAAAAAGAAAACTATGAAAATGAATAAAAAATACGTCTTTATACCATTTTTCACACATAAAATATATCCTTTGTTTGTAATGTCGCGTAGGCGCGAAAGTAAGCGAATATAGGCGGAATGAGAGAAATTTAAATTGAAGATAATTCGTAGTGCGACGACTCTACCTCAATGTAAGACATCCTTTCGTCTGAATGAAATTTTGTACTTTGAATCATTATGTAGTTCCGTTTAGCAAAGAGAGAGAGAGAGAGAGAGAAAGAAAGAGAGAGCGATATTGAAAATTACTCAAAACTATCAATTACGTAGCCAATTACACTTTTTTCCTTGTACCTTTCGCTCAGTTCTGTTTCTGAAGGACAAAGTTAATCAATCGGAGGCGAAAGAATCGTCGCGCTTCGATGGATATCACCACAGAATCTCCATTCAAACAAATTCACACAACACTCTGTAGCGAAATATTTCTGTTTTATTTGAGCGCAAAAAGTATGTTTGCACGTGGTTCTTTCTGTAGCAACAATCAATGTAATATTTAATGGCTCTCTGTGGTATATGCATCCATTCTCTGTCTCCCAATCTCGCTTCGTATGTCATTCGAACTCGTCAATGTAATACACGCGCTCGAGTCTACCGAAACGGATAATTATGAATAGACATCCATTATGTCTCAACTTTACTGCTTTTCTTTGCAAGCTCGACGAACTTCTGTATGCATCATCTAAACATTTTCTTTTTTTTCTTTAGTGTATTGTTGAACCATTCGCTAAATGAAAATCTACTAACCACTTTCCATTCGTCGAGACGAAATATTTGAGGCGACGAATGAACATTTTTTTGGAAAGTAGAAAGTCTTTATTTGTTCGTTTTCGAGTGTGATAATGGAAAGGAAAAAGAAAGTATGACAGTATTAATTGTTTTCTTTTTCTTTGTGAATAATCGCTGCATTATTACCGATATTTTGTGTTACAAATGTGAGATAAAGGTGACGCGCAAGATTGAAGTAAAAATAATAAGCAGGTTGAGAATATATCAATTTAGAATTTTTTTTTGTTCTCTAATACTAATCAATTTTTTTATGTGGACAATTCTTAGTTCTCAGAATAAAATAATTTTTAGTATGAATTTTGTTACTACTCTGAATTTATAACATTTCGACATAGTTTTTAGACAAAAAATGAGTTTTTTTGTTTGATTTATGACGACCAAGTCATAATAATGTTTTTTAGTCAATAATCATTTTGTTGCTATTATTTATTGAAAAGCAATCACTGTCAATTTAAGTTCCATGTTTAGCAATTTACATACAAGTCAGTTTAATTTTATACTATATAAGAGAATAGGGAAATGCTCAATTCATTCAATTCATTTTTTTGATAATCAAACTACGTAAAATGAATTATCAATTTTTGTTTGTAGATAGAAACACGATGAGAAGATTTTGAATTGAAAATTTATATCGAATCATAGATAACAAGTAAAATTGTGTAAGTGCAAGAATCTATAATTTGTCCTGAAACAAAGCCTTGAATTACAGTTTTGCAACCATTAATTGAATAAACTTAGCCTTACCGACAACATTTTATTCTTTTAAATTGATTTTTCAACCCTTCTTACACTATCATATACTTGTAACATAATCTATTTTTAAAATGTTATTTCAGCAAGCCGTCATTGGAATACATAGCCAACAGTTAAGAATTTTTAAATCGAAGAACAAATTCTTACGCACAGGTTTGATATTTGGCCACACGCTACCTCCGTGGCAGATTTGAAAAGTATTTCTTGGAAAGCAACACCTTGAAATATAAAAGATAACGTCGAGTTACTTTATCTATTCCATTGCATAACTCAGACGTATATACGTGCTAAAAAGGGACAACAAATTCTTGAGATATACAAATAAGTGATCAGCAAAGTAATTTTCGAATGGTGTTGAACGAAATATTTGAGATTGCAACTGTTGTCCCGTAATTAGTTGGATCGAAAAGGGAAGCAGGGAGCTGGATACAGCGATAGGAACAAAATATCACAAATTCCCAACGAAAAATCTGTTTGTCCAAATTAAATTTTTATTAAACACGTTTTTCTTTTCTTTTTCATTTCAATAACATCGAGGACGAATCATATAACATAAATAATTATTGATCAGTTTCACTTCTCAGCGCTCAACAATGAAACTACGAGTAACACTGGAAGATATTACTACGCGGATGTTGTTATTTCGTGGTTTTTACTTTTTGTAATTTGTTGTCGGTTGTTTGAAAGAGGAAGGGGGCACAGCGGCGGCGGCGGCAGCGTCGTCTTCTTGGCTCCGGCTGTGCTAAACGGTTTTTTTAATATGCGTGAGAAGCGCATGCTCTACTTTATTCTCGCTCTAGCTCTTGGCCTGTCACTCGCACTTCGATCGCTCCAAATTTTACTCATTTTCTCTCTCTCTCTCTTTCGCGCGCGCGCGCGCATGCACTCTCAACACCCGTTCGTTCTCTCTCTCTCTCACGCTCTCTCTCTCACGCTCTCTCTCTCTCTCTCTCTTTCCATCTAATTGTATGTGTAACATGTGTGTTGATACTCTCGTCTTTTTTACTTGTTAAGCCCTAAACACAGCGCAAAGCACATAGTATGTATATAATAATAGTTAATGATAACCGGCGGCGAAAAAACAATTGAAAATTATTTTTCTTATATTTTGTTTGTTTTTATATAATTTCAAAGTTGTGGTATGTATATACATCACACGTGGTACAATCGCTTTACAGCTATTCACATGTATATTTGAATTACGGATTATATTTATAGGTATATATATGTTCAGCCCGTTTCTCCTTCAATCGATGCACTCCAACTCTATCTATTTCTTTCTCTATCCTCTCGCGAAGTCGATCTTCAAGCAGCTCTGCTGGGCGGAGGGGGGGGGGGGAGAATTACACGAACGTACAAACATAAATGGATTATATATATATATATATATATATACGTCATTCTCGTCTACTGCACAGGCTACTGCACAGCAGCGCTAAACTTACATATTTTTACGTGTTTACGTAGTTATGTGTATATATATGTATATATGTATATATACACATATATAGAGCTAATTGTTTTATTTATAAGTAACCGAGGAGAGGACTATATATGTATATTATATATAAATCTCGTGTAAGTGTATTGTTAAGCGTGTGTTTGCTCAAACGCGTGCAATTTTGGGAATATTCCAAACAAAAAACAAACCAGAACATGATACAACTCTTGCACTCGTGGGTGTGTACACGCTCTCTCACTCATTCACCACCACCGCGTTCCCCGGCCTTATAATTCGATTATTATTATTACAACACATATATTGTCGTTGTTTTATCGTCTGTCCGTCGTAATCTTGGTCCTAAAATAACCTGTCATCTCGAAAAAGTACAATTGGCAGATAAGAAAAAAAGAAAAGAAAGAGAAAAAAAAAGCAAATACTATACTCATATTACTAATCAAGTGTGTGTGTGAGCGACAATTCGAAAAAAACAAGATTAAAAAGAAAAAACAACGTAACGAGGCGCGAGAGAATGTTTATTTTGGCTGGCCATACGCAGCCGCCTCCGCCGAAGTACATAGATACACGCACCGAACAACAAAACATAGACATATTGTATGCGAGGTACGTGTATAAAGCTTCGCTATGTCCTAAGGCAGTCGGTCAATTTTTATTGGAGAAACCCCAACAAACTTATCTCTCTCTCTCTCTCTGTCTCTCTCTCTCTTTTTCATAATTTTTTTATTTTCTTTATATGGAATGTACAAATTTTTAATTTGAGAGCCTGCTGCTTTAATTTATTTTGCGTTCTTTCACTTGTTATTTTCAATCCTGCGACAAAAAACACACTATTGGTGGTAGGATTCAACTCTCGCGCCTCCTTAGCAACTATAATACTATTTCGTTATTATTTTTCTTTGTCATCAATGGCGCGCCGAATGTGTGTTTTCCGTAAACTTTCATTTGCCGGTTATTTCAAAATTTTCTCTCGCTGACTCTCACTCTTTCTCACATATTCTCGCTCGCTCTTTCTCTCTTTCTATCAGGCTAGCTTCGAGTTTAATTTGCATTTTACTTTTTCGTTATAAACAGTATTGTATCATCGTCGCCGCATCGCTTGCATTTTTTTTTCATATATGTATACATATATTTATATATATTTATATATTTATATAATTGTGCTAAGTGTTCATTTATCGATAAACATTTTTCTTCACCGCCTTATCTTCGTCCTTTTTTTATCCTTCATTTATAATAATATACTTTATACATTCAGTAGAGCCAATAAGTTTTCAATCAATCAATTCAATTGTTCCATCTAGGCTAAAAATGATTACTATACAATGATGAAAGATAAAGGTATCGGTATGGGATATGGGCTTGGTTAACCATCTCTTTAGCTTCTCATCGATGTGTCTCTTTTGCTTTTCTTTTCTTGTGTAGTTTTTTTTAACTCTTAAATCATTATTGCCGCCTGCTCTCCTAACGTCAACTTCCTTTGCGCCCTCCGAGCCATCTAATATTTTCAAACTTTTTTTTCTTTCGTTTTTTTCTCTCATTCTCTTTCACACACGTCAAACACTTCCGTGAGCGAGTGACACTTCGTAAAAACATTTTTACTTTGAACTGGTTTTATTTCTTACATGCAGCTGAACGTTAAATGCCTTGAGTCTAAAGAATTAATTTAACAACAATAACATCGTAACGTATATATCAATTGAGATGAAGAATGCAGAGAAAGAAATTACATCACTTGATGGTTCAGTTTGAAAATGTATAAGATTGTTATGTTATGTTATGTTTGATAAGTCAATAAAAAGAAGACAACTCGCTAAAACGATATACACGGCTATACGAGTAAGTTTCGGAAGCGAAGTGGTCGGTTGGATGGCGCAGGCGACAAACGATAATAGTGTTCCTGCCACTACGCGATCACGCTCTCTTTATACTGTTTGTTAATAGTCGGTGTCAGGGTTGTGCCAATCCGTTTAAGCGGTCGGTTTACCAGACTATCGGATCACAATTACAAATCAAAATCATGATTTTCTTATTCTTTAGCAATTGTTTAAAAAAAGCCATATATATGTATATATATATATATATATATATTTCTATAATGTATGTATGTTCAATCCTTCTCTCCATCCATGAAAATACGGTAAGAGATCCGGCGATAAATGATTCAGTACAGCCACGAATCGCGTTTTTTTCTTAGGCATGTCTTTTTTATTTTTCCATGGTACAAGTTTTAAAAAACAAAAAAGATTCAACAACAATAATAATAACCTTTTCAAAAGATTTTTTTCCCAAAGAAAAAAAGTAGTGATAACAGACAAGAGCCGTTTTGTTTAAAATAACAGACTTTCTCGTGTCTTTAACTCTACGAATAATAATAATAATGGTAATAGTATGTATAATAATTGTACAATGGTTGGCGAGTATCTCTCACGTTTCCCTAATTATAATAAATTTTATTCAATAATTAAAACTAACACAAAGAATAGCTCGCTATATAATAAAAAAAAACAAATTGAGACACATACAGAGAAATAATAAACGACAAATTAAGCTGCCATATACCACTCAAAATTCAACAATAGTCGAACAAAGCATTTTTGTGATTTTTTTCAATATCTTGTAAATGTGGTGTTTCTTGTAATGTATGATATGGGCTCTCAACAAACAATCAATCGGAGATGATGTTTTTTTTTTCAATTAATAGTTTTAAGCGTAGGATCACCGCTTGTTTGATGCTGTTGTTTTAAAACCTCAGATATTACAATATCTCGCGAAGAAGAAAATCATGACTTTGATTTCTCCATGACTGTGAGCGTCTTTTTGTTTGTTTGTCGTTCGCTCTGCTCTCGTTCGCACGCGCGGCAGCGGCGGTTGGTATAGAACACCACCGCGTGATCTACTTAGAATACATGTAGATGGCGACGATGAGACCGTAGAGACCCAATACCTCAGCGAAGATGAGAATCAGGATCATACCGACGTAGAGACGTGGCTGCTGAGCTGTGCCCCTCACACCGGCGTCGCCCACAATGCCAATGGCAAATCCGGCGGCCAAACCCGAGAAACCTACCGCCAGACCAGCACCCAGGTGAATAAAACCTCTGCAAATCGTTAAATGATATATAATTAGTTAATCCCGTGTGCTATGACATTTGTTAATGTTGGCTTACTCGAATATCACAACAACGAACGGACAAACAGTCTCGACGATTTTGATTGAGTTTTGCTCGCGAATCGAGTTCGGAAATGCGAGTTTGCTTGAGATTTCTATTAAGAGCGACAAGTCGCGTATGTAAAATACATGTACTTACTTAAATAATGGGTACTGTGAGGGCTCCTTCAGATCACCGGCGATAAGTACGGACACAACAAGACCGTAAATAGCAATGATACCTGCCATGACCACAGGAATGATGGATTTCATGATAAGCTCGGGCCTCATCACAGACATAGCTGCGATTCCGGTACCCGACTTGGCAGTGCCATACGCCGCACCAAGGGCTGCAAATTTCCATTCGATACAATTAATTAACTACTTATAGTACGATGTATTTATCTTAACTTTTGTACGTGCGCAAATGTCTTTACGTGTGTGTTTATCGATGTATCGATGAATAGCTAGTATTATCAGACGAGCAGTGATTCTTCGCGATTACGGTCATTTTTAAAAATTCTTCGATGCACGCTAATCAGTTGCTTCCGTCTTTACATAATACAGTTTTGGCTTGGTATTTTTTTTTCGTTTACGCTTCGTTTACGTTAGTCGATATACACATACATACATACGCGCGCGCGCATGCACACAACACACACACACACACACACACACACACACACACACACACACACACACACACACACACACACACACACACACACACACACGCGCGCGCGCGCACGCACACATATGAATGCAACATGACTCGATGCCTAACGTAGTGTGGGTGGTATCATATAATAGATTAATGAAGAATTTGCCAACTAAACTGTAAAAGTTAGTGTGATAAGTAAGCAAAGTTGAATCATCGTCGTCGTCGGGAGTTCTCCCCAAAGGTCTGGCGCGGACGGCTCGAGGCAGTCATACGTCCCGATGGTCACATGATTCTCACGTTGCTCGGTCACATGACGGCCTCATGCTCGCGACGTATACGCGCTTGCACGAGGAGGCGTGGTTGTTTCGGTGCAGCACCACCGTCGTCTTCGCTCTCGCGCTTTGCCTGACACGCGCAACCACGTGACCGAGCAACGACTGGCCCATTTGGCCGTGTCTCAAGGCTCTCGAGCGATGCATTTCGCGTTTTTTGGAAAGAACGTCATCTCAATTATGCAGTCGTCTCTGTCTCTTGTACACGGCGCCGATCAATCGTAGCCGCTTTCTCTCGCGCAAGAGTGCCACACGGCAGCGGAGAGCGTTGGCCAAGGGATTCGTATTGATTCCTTGCCGAGCTGCTGCCTGGCCATTCGACGTAGCGAAAAAGGGACGCGCGCATACGAGCGAGCAACCCGAGCGCCGCCAACCCTCTACTCGTCTTAGACGACCGATCGAAACTCCTCCGATCCCTGAAAATGCTAATTGCTCTCGTGGATTTGCTCGGCCCGCTCATTCATTCCGTATCGTACATGCTGATACTGCTCAAGTCCGGTAATCATGATGAATCACCGGACGAGAGGAGCGATATTGCGAAGATAGGGATGTACAGCACGATAACGACGACGGAGAGTTTGGTAAGAGCTCGCGAAAGCTCAAGGGACGGAGAGCAGCGAAATTGGCGCGAGCTCGGCTCGCGAATATTGTCGATGACATATTCTGGGAAGTGAGCTGACTGGCCGAAGAGCAGCCACGGCGAGGATAATTGAGCGGCGGCAAATGGGAAAATGGCGGTGATTCTCTCGCGATTAAGAGATCGCGAGCGACCCGTTCGGATGCACACGCACTTTCCGTGTACGGGAATCCCTGAGCGACTTAACGGTTGACGCCCACCTGGTCACGAGGTACGCTCGTGCGTGTACAGCTGTGTACGTGAGTGCATATGTAAGCTAACTCACCGGAGAAGATGATGGCCGACGCGGCACCCATAACGCCGAAGAACGGTCCGTAGATTGGGTTATCTGTGCCTTCGGACATGATGACTCTGTGTGTGTGATGTGGCTGTGGCTATTTCACGAACTCGTGCTTGCTAAAAGCCGCCTTCCTCCCGAGCGAGTCTTCCTTATGTATTTTTAATTCTTTTCGCTCTCCCTCTCGTTCACTCTCTCAAACTCGCTCGCTTACACGCTCGTTTCTCGACTGCTCTTTCTCGCTCTATCTCTGCAGACACACACGCCTTCGGCGACACGACTAACACTAGTATATCAATAGCAGCCAGCAGCCGAGCAGAGTACAGGCACAGCACTGGCAAACATGGAGGCTGCGCGAAAAGCGTGAGCCGGTCATGTGACGGACCACTGCCGGAAGCTCCCAGTTCTCCGGTCGCATTGGTCGATTGCCAAGCCGCGAACCAATCGGGCTACGTACTCGCGTCCTCGTGACGGCCAACAGGCTGACGTCAGCAGCCAGTAACGAACAGAAGGTGACGGAGCTAGCGCCACTTGAATCGCTAAGCGCGTGACCACCTTTCGCCGCGAGATTTTTACCCATTTTCCATCCCGAAATTTCTTGCTTTATGCCTGTCGTGCAATCACGATTCTTAGTTGGTTTACGCGAGAGCGTTGATTATTGACGAAGTTGTAAGTTGACCGAGGTAATGTTGTTTCATGGATTCAGGTCGCGGTAAAGGTTTAAACACATGACGTCCGGGGGCGGAGGTGCCAGTGGCCTCTTCGGGCACTACTTTAGTCGGTTTCGCGAGGATTTCCCGTGATTTATGAGCGCTGATTTCTTATCAGCACTGCAGATCTTGGCTTATTGTCTACTCGTATTTTTATTCGATTTTTATTGTAGGAAAGTACAGCATGTTGCAAAATAATCATTCCGAGGATTCGGTAATCGAGCCTTGAAATTAATCTTGCAGGGGGAGTATTTTTAGTCCCCATATAATAAAAATTCTTGTTGTTCCAACCAAGTTTTATCGATCATCGGTACAACTTTTTTTGGATTCTAATATGCCTACGTCGATACTATATTGATGTCTATATTCATTTTGTTCGTCTTGCTTTTATATTCATTTTAATGCATAAATATTAATTAAACTTTCTATAGGATAAATTAAAAGTTCAATAAACATTTAATATTTCACGGTTTGATATGAGATATAACATACTGACCACATTATTTATTGTGTAAATAAATATGCAGTCGCGTATATTGCGGATATTGATATATTATGATTAAAAAATATTATCAGTGTTTTTATTTTCCAAAGTCTGTTTTGAAATATCACCAGAACGTTTCAAAAATATGACAAAATATGTAAGTTCGAAAAACATAATATTTTTTTATAATCATATTCTTCATGATGTAAATAACACACTTCAATAGAAGTTCACAGTTGTAATTATAGTGCATTTGCTAAACTAATTTCTTATATTTTATGTAACTAAATAAAGCCGAAATCATTTTATTGCGATAATCTGCGGCCTGTATCTTTTATTGCCTACTATGTTTATTTGAAATTAAACTTTCGCATAGAGTTAAATTCAATTTCTTTATCCAGGTATCAAACGGATTTTCATTATCTAATAGTGGTGTGTACACACACATGCGTGTGCGATTATGTAACTATCATCCTTCGGCCAATAAAATCACGAATAAACTATAACTTCACTTTCCAGCCATCAGTATTCGAAAATGGCGCGAAATTCGAATGGAACCGGAAGTGATTCTACTGCTAGGCATGCATGCAGTCGCAGTCGCTCGCAGAAACGTCACAAACGTGGTCGACGATGTAAACGTCGGTGAACTTGCTCAAACACAAGCTTATTTGTATCTTTATTTTTGTTTCAACTTTAATTCTAAAATGAAATTTGCTTACAAGGTAAGGCATTAGTTAAACAGTCGCCTCACTAAATCCTTACTATCCAGTTTTGGTGTAGAGTAATTCATTTCAATTCATTATTTTGATGTGAAAATATGACGAGGATAACCTATAAATCAACAACAGTATTTACTTATTTTTTGCGAATCAAATAGTTTTAAAAAATATAATGAAAAGAAATTGTTGGAAGTTTGGTTAATTTTTTTTCGATGGATGATATTAGTTTTAAATAGGCATTATTATTTTATGAAAATAATTTCACAAACAGAATAATTTTCAAAGAAATAAATATCACAGTGCTGGTGATTTAAATTATTAATAATTTGGTGTTCATTTTTATTATAGTTCAACAATTTACTAGGTTCTGTCTATCATGAAGGAAATCTGCTTTTTACCCCTGATGCGATGTCAGTCATCAGTCCTGTGGGTAATAGAATTTCAATTTTTGATCTTAAAAAGTAAGTATCAATTTAAAAATAATTTTCATTGATATCTGATAAATATAAGCATGTACATTTTTATTCCAGTAATAAATCAGTCACATTACCCATAGAAAGTAGGTTTAATTATAATGCTATGGATTTATCACCAAATGGCTACATATTGATTGCTATCAACGAAGGTATTTAAAATTTTAATACTGTACTTACATTCAAGGTTGTGGGCATATTACACATTAATTTCTTTTTTAATTATTTTTAGAGGGTGATGCTCATGTCATAAGTATGATCAGCAAAACAGTAATCCACAAGCACAGGTTTAAAAGAAGAGTGCAGTGTGTGAAGTTTTCTCCCGATGGAAAACATTTTGCAGTTTGTAAAGAGAACAATGGTAAATTTTCAGTTAGGAAAGTATTTCGGTTAAATAACAATTGAAATAATGTTTAAATTTGTTATTTTAGTTTTTGTTTTTACTGCACCTGGATTATTAACTGGGGAGTACAATCCATTTGTTATGGAAAGAGTTTTTCATGATGCTACAAATGATGTAACATGCATGGAATGGTCATTTGATTCTAGATTATTACTTGTTGGCTCCAAAGACAACTCTACAAGAATGTACAGTCTTGACAAATGGATGAATTTCAGAAAGTATATATTTGGGAGTCATTCTGATTCTATAGTTGGATGCTTTTTTGAAAAAAAGAATTATGATGTTTCTACAATTAGCAAGTAACAAAATTTCACTGTCTTTAAATTATTTCTTAAAGTTAGTTTTAATCAGCAAATTAAATACATTTTATTTTTTTTAAGGAATGGACACCTCTGTATATGGGAATGTACAATAGAGCCGGATGATCTTGAACTTTACATACCTGATGAGAAAAAAGTGAAGATTGAGAGTGACAGCGAAGATGATATTGATGTAAATAAAATTCTAGAGCAAACAGATAAGGAAAAGAAAAACAGTGAAAAAACCTTAATGGATGAAGCTGACCAATTAGAACCAGAAGAAGGGAGAATGACCAGAAGTAAAGATAAAAAGAATAAAAAATCAAATAACCATGTCAAAAAGTTAGCATACAAAAGATTAGGAAAGCATTACTTGGCTGATGAAGTTCGTAAAGGTGACAAAGATGCTTTTTTAACTGCAGTAGCTTATCATCAGTCAACCCATATTTTAGTAGCTGGATTTAGCAATGGATCATTTTTTTTGTATGAACTGCCAGAAGTCAACTTGATTCATTCTTTAAGGTAACTTAAAAAAAAACTTAAAATGTAAATTGTTAAACAACAAATTAATCATATTTTTTATCTTTCTTCAAACATATTTTTGTCAGCATGTCAAATCAACGTATTTCATCAATATCTCTAAATGCATCAGGTGATTGGATAGCACTTGGAAGTTCAGAGTTGGGTCAGCTATTAGTTTGGGAGTGGCAAAGTGAAACTTATGCTATGAAACAGCAAGGTCACAGTACCAATATGAATGCCATCGCATACAGCCCAGATGGGCAATTTATTGTTACTGGCGGTGATGATGGGAAATTAAAACTTTGGAATACTACAAGTGGATTTTGTACAGTAACATTTCATGAACATACATCCTCAATTTCCGGAGTACAATTCAGTAGAAATCGCAAGTTTATCGTATCGTCGTCGCTGGATGGAACAATTAGAGCGTATGATTTAATGAGGTACAGAAACTTCAAAACCTTCACGTCACCTAGACCTGTACAGTTTTCATGTGTTGCCTTGGATGCGAGTGATGAATTTTTGGCTGCTGGTGGACAAGACGTTTTCGAGATCTTCTTATGGAGTGTAAAATTAGGAACATTATTAGAGGTAATTTAAAAGGAAATCAACATTATCACTTAATGCTTGGTAAAAAAATGTTCACTTTTTAATACTTTTTTAGATAATGAGTGGGCATGAAGGTCCAGTCATGAGTATAGCCTTTAATCCTAGTTCAGCTAGTACAGAATTAGCATCGGTGTCTTGGGATAACACATTAAAAATTTGGAATGCTATTGAGAATGGATCAATTCACGAAACGATAGAACTCACTGCAGATGGTCTTTTTGTAACTTATAAACCAAATGGCGAAGAAGTTGCAGTGGCGACTTTGGATGGACAAATCTCTTTCTTCGATGTCAAAACTGCAACTCAATTAAGTTCAATTGAAGGAAGAAATGACTTAGGTAGTGGAAGACTGGAAACTGATCTTATAACTGCTAAGAAGAGTTTAGAGGGAAAGTAAGACAAAATTATTGGTAACGATTTAAATTGCACATCAATAACATATTAAGTCATTTATATATTTTGATTTTAGAGCTTTCACAACGCTTTCTTATTCGGCTGATGGTAATTGCATTCTTGCCGGTGGACAGTCTAAAAATGTTTGTATTTACAACATTAAAGAATCAATCTTATTGAAGAAATTTGAAATTACGCAAAATCGATCTTTAGATGCTGTTAATGTAAGACTTTATAATAGATGATTTATTATAAATCAGCCGGTAATTTTTTTACAAAACAATTTTATCATACTCGTAGGATTTTATAAACAGACGCAAGTTGACGGAATTCGGAAATTTAGGTTTAGTTGAAGAGCGAGATGAGGGTGAAGGAGGAAACGTAGCATTACGTTTACCTGGTGCTAGAAAAGGGGATATGGCAAGCAGAAGTATAAAACCAGAAATTCGAGTGTACAGCTTACAATTTTCACCGACAGGTAACATTTTTTATTTCCAACTTCTTTTGAATTTGATTATACTAAAATTAAGCAAACAATTCATGATATAAACTTTTATTTACATTTTATAGGTCAAGCGTGGTCTGCCGCTACAACCGAAGGTCTGTTGATTTACTCTCTGGACGTCGGATTAGTGTTTGATCCATTTGAGCTTGAAATTGGAATAACCCCAATGACCGTCAAACAAACTTTAAAGAAAGGCGAATATGCGACAGGTACTACGACTAATACATTAAGTAATCATACTGTTTTCACTTGTCGGATCAGTTATTATAACCGACTTATTGTTTTATTTCATAGCAATCATGATGGCTCTCAAACTGAATGAAATGGCACTAGTACGCGAAGCTGTAGAAAGCGTGCCTCGTTCCGATAGTGAGTAAAATTTTGTTAATAATAATGTTATCTTATCGTTATCATTAATATATTTCCTTTTTTTCTTTTAGTTTCATTAACTGTAATGAGTATACCTGGAATGTACGTCGAAAGGCTCTTAAAATTTGTAGCAGCTGAGCTGGAATCTTCTTGTCACATACATTTTTATCTATCATGGATAGAAGCTATTATAACCGTTCATGGGCCGAAAGGAGAAATAATAGTACAAATGCCAACACTTTTACTGATGCAAAAGAATATGCAGAAGAAAATCGATGAATTGAGTAAAGCGTTAGTATTTTTTTCACAGATTTAGTTTGACATTACTATTAAGTTGACATGAAAATACAATTGGTCATATATATAATACTTTCAGATGCGACTACAATAAATACACAATAAGTTATCTGAAAAGACTAAGCCTCCTGAAAAGGAGAAAGAAAGCAATACAAAATCCAGAAATGGCCAGTGACAGCGAGAACAATGTAGAGCAGATGGATATAGAATAGGGATCTTTTTATTTGTTTTGTTTCGAATTGCGAAGTAATATACATAAAATAGTTTTATTATCAAATATTTGTAAATTAATTTTTATACTAAAGAATTATAGTCTGGTTGAAAACTAAAAGAGCTTCAAATACTTTTACCTACAAATCAAAAATCACAGTTTATACATTGAACTTATGCAATGTTTGCTACTGACTGAAAATCATTCTATTTTATACATAAAAAAGCGAATAGAATCGTATATTCAAGCGTGCCCCGCAAAGTCAGTTACGAGCGACGTATTCTTAGAAGGGATCGATTTATCAATAAAGTCTTGTACGTCAAGAGACGTCATCCCGTCTGATTCAACAGTAATATCGGCCAATAGAGCAAGATAAAGACAAAGAAGAGAGCCGGAAAGACAACCCGACTGTATTTATCAATTTGCTTGGCTCGATTCTTCGGCCTGCGCAGCAGAATTTCAGGATCGAACCAACTATTCTGTAGAAGATTGCGACTGCTGGCGCGTTTATTGCGTGGCTTGAATGAGTAAACTGTCTCGCAGTCCCATACGGAGACACTTCTGTCAACGATTGACAGTCGCTAAAGAGAGACAAAAAAAGATATTTGAAATGTTGATTTTAGAGAGTGGAGATTGTCTGAGAGAGCGTCCAAGAGATATTTACCGCTGGCATGCGTCGATACGAGTTTGCAGCTTCACACTCTTCTTGGTACTCGAGGTAGAGGACTTTGACGACTACGAACTCAAATAGAGCTGAGAATACAAACACCATACAGCCAGCCATCCACAGGTCCAGTGCCTGAGTGCAACGATAAGTTATATGTTTGTTTTCGCTCTTGTTATTTAGTAACTTTATATTTATTTTGAATTATTTTCAAAAGTAATTTTACTTTTTATTAATTCGAATAGACCAATAATATTAACAATTCAGCGATATGTCCTCGTCGAGAGTAACAATTAAGAAAAAAAGCTGAAGCAAGTGAACTCGAGATAAGTCGACTATGTTTCTCTAAACGAGAAAAAGATGAGCTCAATTTTTCTTGTTTTTATTGCCTTGCGAGACGCGTCAACGCTCACTCGACAGTCAATCAAGTGTGTCAAACGCTTGTCGAGAATTAGAATTGTTAATACATCCGTTTCTTGGCTCACTTCTTTGTTTTTTTTTTGTTATTTTTTTTTGCGACAAACAAAGGGACTCACTTTCACATAGGCGACCGGTGGTATGTCACTCTTCAAGCCAGTGAACATCGTCACGAGAGTGAGCATACTCGTGACGAGCAGAGCCACGCGACCTGGGATCGCATCCAAGCCTAGCCAGAAGCTGAACCACGACAACATCACCACTAAGGTCGACGGTGCGAAAGTCTGGATCAAGTGATGGCCAATTTGACGTTCGAATTGGAAGTAGACGATTAGCCGGGAGAAGTTGCCTGCAAGAACGCGCGAAACTTGGTTCAATCGATTCGACGATCTGCTCGGTAGTGGGCGAGCAATTGACGCGTTGTTTTGGTAGCCTCGGCGAAATCGCGCTGTCGACGCGTCGTCGAACGGTGCTTTACAGTGCAGAGAGAAAAAGGCAATTTGGAGGAATATGCAAGCGATTAAACAGCTATCCCTTGCGATTACCATTTTTCTCCTTAATAAAGCTGACAGACTCGTCCTTCTCCAACGGATTTTCCAGATTGTACTGCAGCAGTTTCAATTCCGGATTGACCATCACGCCGTCGGGTCCCCATTGCAAGCGTAGCTTTACGCTGTCGTACGAGACTGAAAAAATGAATGAAACGCTGCGTACTGTCGACTCGTTAAAATCCGCGAGAAGAGAGCGAGCGAGCGAGCGAGCGAGAGAGAGGGAGAGAAGGTTGTCTTATCGTAGTCGAGCATGCAGCAGCAGTCGAAAAAGCTACGAGGGTCCACCGATCGCGGGAGCGTTCACCGTTAAGCTATCGTTTTCCTTTGGCACTCGACGGACGCTCGCTAACGGCATCATCCCGCCTGCTTATGATGCTTTTCCTCTCGAAAAGTCGGGCCCACGGCTGGGATACCGTTAGCCCGACGTTTTATTCTCTCTGCCTCTCTGTACTTTCTTTCACCGCCGTGGCTACACGTAATCGAGATCGATCAACAGCGTCCCTCTCTCGCCTCGTTGAGTCAGTTGGAGCGTTGGCTGGCGCACTCGGATGACGAGAGCGGGCGCCGAAAGGTTCGCGAGCAGCCTTACAGCTCTCGATTTGCATCGGGCAGACTTGGATGTCCATCGGGTACAACTGGAACTCCATCTGGCAGGCGATGATGGCGTGCATTCGCGCGGAGTAGCGCACCGTCTTGTTCCTGTAGAGCGTCACCGACGAGTGCTTGCTGTTGAGCGTGGCGATCTCTGCAAGAAGCAAGCGAGCGAGTCGTCGAGATGCGCTCGGCCAAGTGACAAGCGGAGGTAGGCTCTCGATTTCCGCCTCTCGCGTGGTCAAACTTTCGTTCGAGTGAAATTGGCGTTGGCTCTCGCTTCGAGCAAATGTTTCTTTTTCGTTGGCGCAACGACCCACCTGACACTTTGGCGTTCAGGAAATAAGGGTCGGGTTGCCAGAGGTAATCGAAAAATTCGGGCGGCAGGGTGACGTAGTCCTCGTCGTCCTCGAAGATCTCGAGTGGCATTCTCAAACGGGACTCGGTCCAAGTTTGATAAATAAACATATCGACACTGCGCGCACACAGAAGAAAAGATCTGTTGATAGGATCGGTCGAGTGCTTCGTTGCTTTGCGTTCTTTACCGGAAATCCATGTCCTCGACGTTTATCGAGTTGATGTCGACCACGAATATGTTGAGATCCACGACGACCGGCGTTCTGCCTACGGTCGGCGGCCTTATTTCTGGAAAGCAGGCGCGCCGGATTAACGAACGGGGCGAGGGACCGGCGAACGAGACGCTGGGGCTCACCTTTCGAGTAGTGCTCGGGCAGCACCATCTTGGGCAGCGCGGTGTAGTTGTAGTCCTCGTGATGGGCGTCGTGCGAGCTGCTCGACAGAAAACAAAAGCGGTCAGAGGCTGCGGGCGCGCGGACCGGGCTTGCTTGTGGCAGTTGGGCGACGCACCCGCGCGACGATGCGAGCGACGCCGAGAGCACGAGCGCGAGCAGACGCGCGATCGCCGAGGGCCTGCTCATGGTAACATCTGCGCGCTGGCACTGAGTGTTCCCGGCGCGATGCCGCGGCTGGGCGCGCTCGCCGCCAGTTTTCGCCCATTAATCAATTGGCGCATCCAGCGGCACGGCCAAGCGACTCTTAATTGCCGTCCCGGAAGCGAGCGACAGTTTTTGCGCTCCGTTAGCCGTTCGCGATCGAGCCCCCGCCGCTCTCCGAACGACTCGACGTTCGCGAACGGGAGAAAGAAACGGAGGCACGTCAATTTGGCGAGAAATCGAGATCTCGCTCGCTCGTAAGCCATCGGCGACCGCTCGTCGAAAGTCATTCGTTCCCACGTGCGCCGCACCAGAGAGCTCATTTTCGCGGCTCGTCAGCGAAAGTGAAGCGACGAAGCTCCGCATAGTCGTACGCGTTTGCCCGTTCGCGCCCGTCGCCAGAGTCACAGCGGGACTCGGGATGCTGCGTGGACACTCGAGCTGCGGGTCGGCGATCGCGACGACGCGGCTCCGCTGCCGCTGCGGCCATCGGAGGCAATGAAATGGTGTTTTACGAGCGGCGTGCGCCGTCGACGTGGCCACGCGCGCCGACCGTTAAAAGCTAGCTCTCCGGCGGCGGGAAAGTCCGGGCGAACGGATTCCAAAGCGCAGTCGGCGCCGCCAATGTGGCGTACGAGCGAAACGCGCGAAATCGACGCGTGCCCGAGCAATTCGATCGGCTCTCGGGCGCACGGCGCTGCCGATCTGGTCCTGCGCCGCGCGCGCGCGCATTTTTTGCCGCGACCGCGAGGAACTGGTTCGCGGCCGCGCCCAGCCCGAGCGGCCGCTTTCTCGCGCGCGTCCTCGGGCGACGGGAGCGCCGTCGGCCGGTGGGGCTCGGCGAGCCTGCAAGCTCCCGTCGCTGGAGGACTCTCGCGCCCGCGCGGCCGGGCCGTATCGATCGCGGACATGGCGGCGGCTCGGCGGGAGCGCAGCTTGCGGCCAGGCCAGCCGCGGGCAGCCTCAGTCGGGCCGAGCGCGCAGGACACGCGAGTGCATCGACCCGGGCCGGAGGGGCCGGCCATGCCCGCTGCTGCGCTCCGCCGACGCTGCTAGACCACGTCGCCGAGGGGTGAGTGTGCTCCGATTGCGGCTAGGCCGCGGCCGCGGGCCTCGAGCGTCGGGCGAGCGTCGGGCGAGCGCGGCGCGGGCATCCCCCCTCGTCGGCGCCGCCGGGCGCAGGCCGCGGGCAGCGCGCACGCCGACGCGCCCACGGGACTTTTCGCCATATTTCCGAAAACGCCTGTCCCGGCTGCGCACGCAACGGCGACGCGCGACGTAGGAGGGATGTGGCGCGTGGGACGCGGGACGCTCGAGCGTTCCCTCTTGGCAACCGGGTGAAAGTCAGGTCCGGCGCTCTCGTGAAAGTATATTGGCTTTTGCATCTCTCTCTCTCTCTCTCTCTCTCTCTCTCTCTCTCTCTCTCTCTCTCTCTCGCGCCGACTGCGCGCCCGCGTTTCGGTAAACAGACCGCCTCGCGCGGAGTCTTGCGCAACGCCGTGCGCGACGCTGATCGCCCCGAAGCCACCTGGCCGTTCGCGTTTGCGTCATCGCTCGCCCCTCCTCGACCCCCCATTCTCACAGCCACCCCGGCGACACTGATTTTCCTTTTTCCCCTTTTGCCGAGTCAACGAGTCCGTTTGCGAGGATGGATGAAGCTGTCGCGCGCGAAACAAGCGTACCTCCGCGAGGCGGACAACCCGTTTCGCCGGGAGCGTTCGATCGATCGAAGCGCGCCGGCTCTTGTCGCCGTGCCGGGCGAAAAGTCGGAAACAAATTGCGGACAACGAGGCGCGACGGAGATAACGCGTCGTGCCACCACCTCCTCTCTCGGTTTATTAAAAAAAGCCACTTAACCGATAGCGGCGCGTGCAGGCCGAGCGAGCGGAAGATGTAATTTAACACTTTCACTGAAAGTGCCTTTGGGTGCAACGCTCTTTCCCTCTCTCGCGGGAGTGCCGGGTACACCGCCGACGACATCAGCGCCCAGCGAAGCAGATTTTTGTCGTTGCTTTTCTCACTCGCGGTGAATATCGATGCTCGTGGTCAATCTTATCGGCGCTGGAAAAAATCAAGTCGCACGTTCGCGCGTGCAGAAGGCGCACGGCCGAGAGAAGACGGCTTTGGAGGGGGAGGACAGCGGTACTGGTTTCGCGCGTTTTCTTTTGGGTGTCGATTAGAAACTCGTGGCGCTCGCAGGTGCAACAACCTTGGCAGAAGCCGAGCGCTCGCGGCCAAGATCAAATTTCTAATTCGCGGCGTAATAGCGAGATACGCGCGCGGCTTTTCGCTTATTAGACGCTCTACGGAGCGACAGGGGGGAAAACGCACGCGTGGCCGTGTTGCTGGTCCGCGGGCAAGGGCATGGTTTTCACGGTTCTCGTGCACTCCGAGCTGCCGAATCGATTACTTTTGCGAGCATATTGCGCGTTCTGTTTCAGTTGTAATCTCTCGATTATTTTCTTTAGATAATATGGCTGATGTTAAGAAAAAATGACAGTTCAAAAGTTATTAATGTTGAAAGGTCTCCTTTTTTACGCTAACTGCGCGTTAACATCTTGTCAACTATTGACAATTTTTTTTCTAAATGAAAAAGCTTCCTTATTTTTCAAAGTTTGCTCTACCGGTTGCGCTCATGGAATATTCAGTTAGCTTTTTTTCGCGATCTACAAGAAGCGCTTTTCCCGCGCTCAACCGATGCTACGCTACGCGTACACTCGAAAAAGTACATCGAAAAAGTGTCGTAATAATTTTCGTGAATAAACAATTATTTATAAATTATGGTTTACTATTATTAGATGTATTTTTGAAAGTGTAAATTTTCCGATGAGCACAGAAAGAGCAGTATTTAATTTGATCTTTGAAACAAGGACAGTAAAGTGGTAGTAAAGTCGTCATTTATTTTGTCGCTATTAAAATGCCATTTTATCTTTCGTAACAATGAACTTGGATTATTTTATAGATTTCCGATGAAATAACGATTAAATCGTTGCAATGCGGTGCTAAGTCTATGACAAAATTAACGATTCTTAATATCATGTATACCGTTGTAATGCGCACGAGCTCGGTCGAACCAACGAATATAGACGCTCGTATTATATTCGCATCCATATGCATTGGTCAAACGCGCGGTAAGCGTAACACTGGTATAACGTAAAAAAATTGTTAATAGCTAAAAACTATTCAGTGACATGCAAAGCTTTGTGAGAAACGACGATTTTTCGACTTTTAAGCATTAATAACTCTTGAGCCGTGCATTTTCGAGTGGGCCTTCTTCGTCTTAAAATGAGCCAGGCTGTCCAAAGAAAAAATGCGTGCCGCGCGAAGCAAAAATACATTTTTTCTACGTCCGCTCGAGCGATTGCGTTTGAAAGAGAACGCGGAACGTTCGGCAGCTTCGAATACGTCCCTCGTTGGCGCGTACGAAATCATAGCCTGCCCTCGGATCAGACGCCGCTCCTCGTCCGCCTCGAAACGAAGCCTACCGATCGATACGCTCGGCTCTTGACAATTACTGCGCTGCGCACTTTATTGTCGGCGCTCTTCTTTTTCTTTTTCCGCGCCTTCCAATGCAAAACTCGTACTTTGAGCGGTACTTGCTCTCGCAGCCATGCGTATGAAGATTCTCTCGGGCGGGACTCTCGGTGGGCGCCTTATTTTCATTTTCTTTTCACTTGGTCGAGGAAAACTAGAACGAAAGATATTCTCCAACGGCTGCGTTCTTTCACTTTGGGCCGGATTAGCGTTTAAGCGCGTCTCGCTCGCGGTGCAATTGTCGACATTTCGAATTAGAGCATAGGACATGAAAAATCAAGAACGTCCTCCCCGTTTTTTTTTCCTTTTCTTTTCGTTTGCGTTTATTTTATTTGTAACCGTTTGCTTCTGAGAATAGCCAATTAAACAAGGCAATTCAATAGTTATCTGCACGAACTAATTGCAGAGATAGTCCGCCACGATGTAAAAAATTATTGTCGACGCTCGGCTGAAAACAACCGTGGGCATTATCGGCTCTCGCTAATTGTCCGCGAAGGCGATTCACTCGAACGAACAGTACCCACACAAAGACGACCGTATCGATAAGTTAGAGAGGCCTCGCATCAAGGGGAGGGGCATCGGATCAGGCGTGATCCTAGGTCCGTGCATTTGAAAATCAGCACTCTCGGATCGTACGTGGTCCGAAGATCGTGCATTTTAAGATCAACGTGCGAGCTAGCCGATGACCGCCTCGACTATCATCTTTCTTTCAACGAAATTTCTAATGCTGCGCAAAGTGTGCTTGTCCCGCATCCGAATTGTCCAAACGAAATAATCAGCGATTTCAAATTGTCTTCGACAGTATATTCGAGGATATTAATAGCGTTATCCATCTTCTCCTAGTCCGAGTCGAAAACATTTACTTTATTATAATCAATAACTGAACCTTCTCGCTAATAATTACAGTCACACAAACTATTACACTTATATAGATATTGGAATCGTCTGTCACATTTAAAGAACAAGATCACCATCCCACCTCAACGCACACATACGAGTAGGCTGCAGAATCCTAGAAACTATTGTAAAATCTATTTTTTATCGACACATCTAACAAATAATAATTCAGTCGTATTGTCATTGCAGAGGGATACAAAAGTTGAAACCAATATTATTGTTAGAATAGCGTACTAACTTTTCCCCTTTTATAACAGGGTTATTTGCACATCAAATGTTTAATGCGTAAAAATGTGGAAGGCTCATTTTTCAACATATTTCTTCACTTTACTCTTAAAATATCACTACGACAGATATACATGAATATAACATTTTAGAGAAATTTCATTATTCAAAGTTTTGAAATTCAAATTCTTATCGCCCTAAAGGTCGCTTTGATGACAAAAAAAAGTAAAAAAATTGGCTGGTTTTGGGACACTCGATGTTGATTCAAAATAACGAACGGATCCTATTCGTGTTTTTCTACAAAAACATTTTGTCTTTTCAATTTCGAATGTCGTAAACCCTGATTTGATGCCTTTGTAAATAGATCCCAAATAATCCTATCAGTTAAGCAAAGTCTTGCAAATTGAAGAGACTTTTGAAACGATGAATTATTGAACAATAACGCAATTACCTAATGCACAGGTCAAGAAAATCGATTAACATGTACCACTATTATTATACACATTCTGGAAGATTCAACAAAGTATAAACTGCAATTTAATAAAGTCTTTTTTTTAATTATTTAAGATTGTAAAAGATTTGTTGCCTCGAAAATATATGTGTTAACAATTTTATGCTGTAATAAAAATAATGCAGCATTCCAGAAAGAGAGAGAGGGGGGGGGGGCAAGATACGTTAAAACTCCAATTGCTGTGTTAAGGGAGCATTGAGTTATCGATCGCCTAAAACTCAGCTGGTTGAGCGTTCGTCTCTCTGCCTCTCTTTTTCTCCTTCTTCCTTCTCCCCTTTTATAGTAGCTCAGATACGTTCCATCGCTTGAGCCGAGCACATCGCAGCCTAAGTGAGCCCTTTTTCTTGAGTATCTCGCATCTACGTTATGATTAATGTTCAAACTTTACCAATCAACTTGAAGTGAACTCCAAAAAACAATCAGATGAAGTGTTAACTCAACGATTTATAAGCATTCCAATTACGCGTTATTAAGAATCCGCGCTAGACCATAATAATTTTTTTAAATCAATTAGCAGGCGTTACTAGTATCGCACTCTTATGTTCATACAACAAAACCTGAT